AATTGTTTTCCGAAATTGTTAGAACTGGTTGATAAGATTTTAACTGTAATCCACCAATTTTCATAAGAAATGAATTTTCGTGTTCCTTAAGAATTTTACATGGTCGTTCTGAATGAGAATCTTTATCTAGATCCAATGGTATACGAAGAGAGGGATGTAAAATTGAATTCGTCTCTTCAATTGTACAAAAGCGAAAGCGAAAATTAGCATCGAAACAATCACCATGAGGTGTTTCATGAGCGTAAACGTAATGTTCATATCCATTTGAATCAATTTTCATATAAAACAAATGAATGAAAGTATTTCCCAAAAGGAAAATTGGTTGAAATTCATCAACAATAGTAATTTTAATTACTCGAAATCCTTCGATTCCTGGATGTTTAACTGCTGCATAAGCAAATCCAAGAGATTGAGTTGTTCCTGAAATTCCGTAAATCGGAGTTGATTGTGGAACAATATTGACTCCAAATTTTCGTGCAAGATTATGATCAAGCACAGAAGCAGTAGCTCCAGTATCAACTAGAACTCTATAAGTATTAATCGGTCGACGAAGTGGAGATTCAATATTAAGGGTACAAAGAGACATATACTCAAGTAAAGGATCGCCTTTATTAGTAAGAATCGGTGCATTAACATCTTGTCTTATAACGTAACTAAAGGAAGTTGGAATACTTATTCCCTCAGGGGCAGAGATTTGAGGATCACCAATAGGTTGAACAGCAGTATTAACTGTCTTTGCCTCAGAAGCTTTGGCTGGAGCTGAGGAAGTTGATGATTCTTTTCTTCCCATCCCTTTCTTACGTTGTGGACAATTAGGAGCAATATGACCTTTCTCTTGACAAATATGACAAGTCAAATCCTTGTAACTTGTTCGATAACGTGGATTCGGTTTCTGGTCATGTTCATTATTTCCACCATTTCCAACTTTTCGGGTGGAGTTGGAAGTTGATAAAGCTCTAGCTTTTTCTTCGCGATTCTTTTCTTCTTTGTCTCATGTTCATGAAAATGAAGGAACAAAGTGTTCATTATCTTTGCTCATCATCATTGTGTCCATTACGATAAATCTCTTTAGTAACTTCTTCAGGAAGATGATTCAAAGATCGAACAGAAAAGCTTTGTTATTCATTTTCCTTTCACTTTCTCCATTGTTTCTCTTGCGATATTCATAAAAACTTGAGGTGGAACGGAAAAATCGTATTTAAGATTTCGTAATTTAAAAGCATCATTTGCATTTAAAGCGGGAATATTAAGTTTCTCACGAAGAGCGGTAATGTATTCATGATAATTTCAGAATCAATTCGATTAGCGATATGTAGAAGTTCATGTGCTAAACCTTTCTTGAAACAACGTAATCGTGTCTCATCGTCTTTTCAAGACTCAATTTATTGATAGTCTTGTTAATCCATTCTCTCATCTTCGTTTTCGAAAATTCAGTAACTTTTGGGTCTTTAGTCATAGCTAAAGCGACAGCATCAATTAATGTTTTAAATTGATTAACATCGTTTGAAGGTTGAACTGGGGAATTGGGTCGAGTTGGACCTTGATCAACTAGAGTTGATTGTTCGCCAACATGATCAATTGCTTGAGCAATTTTATGAATAGTACCGATAGGTAAACCAATACTTTTCAATTCATCTTCAGTAGCATTACAGATTACTGACTCATCTCGCCTACGATTAATTACAGCTTGTATTTCACTTTCCAAAATGTTTAAGTTTCGAAAAATAATAACCCAATCGGGAGCAATAACTTCTTTTACTTCATCGACCGGAAGTGTATCAATTAAATCATTTGTTAATGACTCACCAAGTATCAGATAATTAGTTCTAATTACCTCATAACATCGCTTTTTAACGAAACTGTTTGTTGGAATTGTTCGCAATCCAAAATGAGTGAGTAATTCCTTATAACCTTGAATGTCCAATTCAGTTATTGTAGCCATGTTATTAACTCGAGGATTTACTGACGGTAAATTGGATGATGAATGTCGATGAAAAGGTGAACTTGAGTTCTCAACACTTTGATCTAAAGATGAAGTTGTTTCAATTGGAATTATTGGCAACGAAGAGCGTCTATGATGATTAGTTAAAGATCGAGAAATTGTCAATTCAATTCCAGCACCAGAACGAGTTATTACCATTAGGTAAGAAGAGAAATGTTAATCAAAAACTTTTACACTTTCACTGTAAACACACAAAGACAGAATCCTGGTAACCTCGCCAAGTGTGAGGAAAATTTAATAAGGAAACTTATTAAATGGAAATCTTAAGTAATAAGAACGAGAAACAAAGGTAATTCGTGTTGAATTAGATCTAAAGATCACAGAGTAAGAAATGATTATTGATTATCCGAAAGGATTAAAGATTAATCTAATGATTAATATTGAAAATTCCAAATGAATTTACTTAAGTAACGTTCACAACAATCAAGAGATTCCAATCTGTCCCACACACAGATTATAATTAAGATTCAATTCAGGATTCTGACAATGTGAGTAAGCATGTAATTAAGTTTATTGAAAATTGAAATTGGTTAACTGAAACTTTAGTTGAATGATATAATCAAATTACAATTGTAATTAAAACTGATAAAAACAAAATCAAGAAAATTGAATCTAATTAAACTTAGAGAGTAAAGTACAATTATAATTATTAATTTCACTAGAGTGATCTTAACGTTTTCATTGTAAAACTTTATCTCTGCCGTTAATTCAATTAACATGAATTTTTAAAGACAAAAAGAAAGAGAAGATAATGAAAAAGACAGAGAAGATAAAATTGGTTTTTCGAAGAGAAAAAGAAAGAGGAAGATTTTTGTCTTACTTTTTAACTTCAGTTTACAAAAGGAAATTATTAATTGAGTCAAAGGCACAAGTCTTATCTCATTAGTGATAAGCTCACATTTTGAACCCTTGGGAAAATGGTAACTTTAGTTATACAAAAACAACTTCCATAAATGGTAAACCCATAAGGTTATGTCGCGACGATAGTCTAGTTAACCATTTACTTAGAAAATGACAATAGTCAAAAAACGGTTGAAGTCAACACATTGAACTTGTGATTAAACACAACCCATAATCAACTAATTGTCGTTAAATTGTGATTAAACTAAAGTTAATTAAAGTTAATTAAGAAAATAATTAAATTGTTTCAGTTAATTGTGATTAAGAAAATAAGAAAATAATTGAATCAGATGAGCCAAAAGGCTACCCTTCAATTTACCGTTACTTCGAGTTTCTAATCACGACAGATTAGCTGACCTTCTTAACTTAAATGTTATTCGAAACTTTCGGACAATCGATACATCATAGAAATGTACATTAAACAAAGAGTCGCTATTTTCTTCTGTTTAGGTTGTTCGTTTTTCTGGATTCCTTATGTATACAAATTGACCCAACGATACCTTTTGAAAAAGGTCCACATGAACAGTCGAGTCAATTTCACTGATATTCGAGATGATTTTCCTGATATTTACATGAGTGTTTACATCAACAATCAAAGCTTAGATTTACCGTTTATCATTCCTCAGAATGACCCTCTAAATCCTGCTTACATCAATTTCATTACCAACTTGACCATTGGACAGATACGGAATAGCCTTCGAGATGTAGTGAAATCTTATTCCATGTTCATCCGAACTCCTAATTTGTGTATTGGTGAAATCTCTCACGAATGTCCAGTCACATATTACACCAATGGATTTGAGATATTTGTTAAATCTCATGCAATCAAATTCCTCACTATGGACGATCATTCTTTAAATCTCTCATAACTTATCGACCTATTCGTTATTACTAACGGAACTTGGATCGATGGACAGTCTGTATGTTTCACATCGTAACGACATCACTTCGATCACTGATGGACAAGAGCATATGCTGGTTAGTGTTGGTAAGCACACGAAACACTTTTATCCTCCACCTGATGGTCCGGCCTGTCAAAATCGATCACAACATTCCCTTCATGATTGTAAGTTCAAGGAATCGATGAGCTTGCTGAATAGATCATTTGAATTGGAAACAATTGTACCTCTTTTCGATAAAAGTTTTGATAATTATCGATTTATCAAGCTTGACGGTTCAACGAAAAAATCAATCGGTTACTCTGACTGTTCAATGCCGCTTACCCCTTGTCGATATGTCAACTATGATACGACAACCACAATCTTGGGAACCCAATTAAACCGATCCGCTCTTTCATTTATACTTGACCGATGTACCGACGTTCAATGTCACATTACTTATGAATACAATTGGCCTGAATATGTTTTTGAAGTCATTGAAATCGTCTCGATTTGGCTTGGATTCTCAGTTCTATCAGTTCTCACCCTGATGGCTGAAACCTTTTTCATGATAATTTCTTACGCTAAATCATCCGCAGTCTCAAAATGCAAAAAAATATTTCCTTACATTTGATGATCTCACTATGATTCAATTGATAAATACAATGTATTAACTCATAATCACTCTTAATCTTTAAACAACAATTTATCTCAATAATTAATCTTATCATTTAACTGGTTTGTTATTATTAATAATAAATTGAAGGACAGAGATCAAATAAATAGACTAAGTTAACAACGATTTCGTTTGTTGCGATATTTGCAAATACTAAATTCGTAGTCAATTGTTTAGGTTTGACAAATTAACAATCCATCAAGCTCATATTCACTCAATATTATTGATTAATTATCACTTTAATGGAATTAATAAAATGCAAATAAAGATTGTCTTGAATTGACGAAAGAAAAGACTAAATAAATATTCTATTGAAGCAAATGATGTAAAGACTGGACGATGGGCACTAACGTGACTCTACTCGAATAGCTTGTCAGATGATAACCGAAAGTTACATGTGATAACATGTGACAGAATAGAGAGAGAGAGAGAGAGAGAGAGAGAGAGAGAGAGAGAGAGAGAAAGAGCTGGAAGGAAATGGAAGGGGAAATATGAGAGGCGAAAATTCTGATTCGAGGAGATTATTTTGTTGCCATGAAGAAAACACGATTTTCTACCCAAAAGTGATGCGAGGGCTCTCCATTTCTCTCTCTACCTTTTTCGATTTTGTTCTTATAATATTTTCTCATTTATTGAATATTGTTTTCGATTGTGCGTCTTCTTTGCTCGAAGCTACTTTTTAATTTTCTCTGTCATTTCTCATCTTTTGTTATCAATCAAGCGCTTCTTTTCGTTCTAACTTGCTTTTCTCAAATGAAAGGTGATCATCGTGCTCCAAGTACTTTTCCGGTTCAATGTTCTACTCTCCAGATCAACGGTTATGCTATGATTAAAAAACGACCATGTAAACTCTCGGAAGTGAGTGCATCCGAGACTGACGGAAAGGTGAGGAAATGTTTTCTATTTTAAACTCTTTTCTCGAGGAATTAATCAAACTGGGATACTCTAATCATGCGTGTTTATTGTGATCATTAACTTTTCTTTTTCCTATTCTCAGGTTCATCTTGTCGGAACGGATATTTTCACGAACAAAAAGTATGAAGATTCCCTTCAACCCTCTGATAACATTGAAGTTCCAATGGTTAAACTTAACGATTATCAACTGCTTGATATCGAGGATAACTTGTGTTCGATGATAAGTCAGATGAGAAGTGTGAAAAGCAATTTACGATTACCCGAAGGGGAACTTGGTACCAAAATCGCAACGGAGTTCGAAAAATCTAAAAAAATCATTGTCACTGTTATAAGCGCTGCTGGTGAAGAAGCGATTAGTGATTTCAAGATAATCGACGGTTAATTAGAACTTTTTATAAAAATGATCGAATAGTTTTCCCGAAGACAACCTCTACTTTAGATGCTTGGAACGGTCGTTGTGCGATTCAATGTCTCATAACTTATGAATACAATTGGCCTGAATATGTTTTCGAAATAATATATCGAAATTGTTTCGATTCGATTTAGATTCTTGGTTCTATCTATTCTTACCCTGATGGCAGAAACTTTTTTCATGACAATTTCTTACGCTGAATCATTCACAGTCTCAAAACACAGAAAAAATATCTCCTCATTATACATTTTCTTTGATTAAACTGATAAAAATAAATTACTTATCTTTACTTTAATCAATTGTTTATCTAAATAATCAATGAAATCATTTGCTTGGTATCTTATTAATAAATTGAAGGACGACGATCAATCAAAATCAACAGAAAAGTAAACAACAAATTCATTGACAATACACATAACGATATGAACATAATCTCAACAATAATAAAATACATTTCATTTAAATAGATTAATCTATCTAATTAAAAATTTCTCGTTTCATCGCATTTTCCTATTCTCATTCTTCTGTTTCCGCTTCCTTTTTCTCTAACTCTTGACTTCGAAACACTACTGTAGTTATTGTTAATATTTTCAATAGAAGCTCTGATGATCTCACTATGATGCAATTGATTCACTTCTTTAACCTTCAGGAAACAATTTATCTAATTATTTGATCACTTACATTGAACAAGAGATATCTGATTAAGGCAGGAAAAGAAAAGGATGAAAGTGTCGTTATTTTTACCTGGAAAAATTTACTCTCTCTCTCTCTCTCTCTCTCTCTCTCTCTCTGTTGCTCCCTTTTACTCTCATTCTTTAAATGTATCAATAAATTGAAAGTTTTTTCGTTTTCAATTCTACTCTGTTAAGAATAAGTGATTGATTGCTTTGTTTTATACGAAATGGATAATCAACAAGAGAACCCTGATGATAGTTCGTCAAAATACATGTATCCGATTCAATGTTCTGCTCTTAAACAGTCCGATGTTGCGGTAATTAATGATCGACCATGTAAAGTCATGGAAATAAGTACCGAAACTGTGAAAAACGGAAAGGAAAAGGTGAGAATAATTTTTTAAGTTTAATTCAATTGTTCAATTAATCGATTTTTTTCCTCTCTTTTCATCTAATCAAAAATATCTTTTATTACAAATCAGTAACAAATATTAGTATTGACACAATTATTTATATTTTGACGCTTTTTTTAATTCTCAGTTCCATATTAAAGGACAGGATATTTTCAATGGCAATAATCATGATATTTTCTGCCCTCTCAATAGCATGATTAATATTGCTGTAGTTTCAGAAAAAAATTACGCAGTAATTGATATTCTAGATAATGGTTGGTGTTCGCTTATGGGTGAAAAGGGAGAAGTTCGAGATGATTTACGATTGCCTGAGGGTGAACTTGGTACCAATTTGTGGAAGTCTTTTGAAGAAGGTGAGAATATTTCAGTTACTGTTTTATCCGCTTTGAACATACACGAAATCATTCGTTGTGCACAAGATGCCGTAGACGGTACTCCTAGTCGAAAGATTGTTACAGATTAATTGTCGTTAATGGCAAAAGAAAAAAAAATACAAACGTTTAAATTGGCAAACTACAGTTCGAAGTGCAATGCGTTTCCATTACATGAAATATGTTCAAAATGAATTCTATTAATAAATAATCGGGCTGTAAAGCTCATTGCGAGAATTACAAATAAACAATATTCATTATTTACCCAATACTTTGGGTCAAATCACTTCACTGTTTTCACTTTCGGTTTCAATTGATTCGACTTATTTGACAGGTTAGGTGACAATCAATTGGTTATAGCTTCTTTGATTAAGATTCAGTAACTTAACCAAAGATCTCATCTCACGTGTTGATCATATTGTTCAATCGAAACCATTTTTCACGATCATGAAAAATTGTATCTCTGTTAACATACATGATGGAAGTTCAATCTTAATAAGATCGTCAAAGTCCCGAATATCAGTATAATGATTTACCGAAAGTTTCCGCATCCATTTGGTAGAAATGTGATTACCTGCATGGTGACAGTAACGACTTTATTGTTGACATCAAAAGATACGTTCTATTTGTTTTATTTCTTTTCTTTCACATGTGAAATAATTGAAAGGGTAATGCAATAATAGTGAAGGAGACAGAGAAGGTGATCAAAATTGATACTCAAAGATTTGGAAAAGAATTTGAGTTTTGAAAAGAACACCAATTTTCAATCGAACATTTTTCACTCACGTGCCTGTCCTGATTTCTTTGTCTGGCCGAGGTGCTTAATTAATGAAGCTCATTAGTAAATGAGAGAGTAAAAGACATAGAAGGATGAAAGTTAATACCACTCGAGTCTCAAGATTAGATTCTCTTAGGTTGATATGATCAAAGTGCTTAATCAATCAGTTCTGATTGTGAAAGTGTTTCTAAGGTCATAAATGAGGTCTGATAGTATTAATACTTACAATTAGATTGTTGTAATGGGAATATTGATTTAAATTGAGTTTGTTTTACCGTTTAGCCTTCAATTTAACACAAATAATCATCACCATTAGGGGGTTTTTAACGATACAGTTTCAATTAGTCAGAATCAATGAGTTCTGATGAAAAAGACGCAAAGTACATAGTAGTGTATTCAAATTAAATAAAAGTTCAGTCTTCGAACGCACAATAACGGAATCAATCGTATTGCTTTAATGAATTACAAGTTAATATATTGATAGATTTTCTTATCCAAAGAATTTCTATATAGTGTTTCGAATTTGTGAAAAGTTCTAGTTGGATGATGGTAAATGAAAACTAATCGAACATGCTAATAGTTACAAATGTCAAGATCGAAATGAAAACAAACTTTTAGCTGGGAAATTAATTCAGTCGATAATTAATAAGATAAATTCACGATTACACAATTGCAAAACTGTTGACCATTGTCCATAATTGAATAGTAGCCATAAGAATGTGCTAATGAACAAGGTGACCAATCACCACGAAGTAATTACCTTATATCATTAAAATTTTCTCGCGTCAATAGTAAATTCATTCATAAAATCAGATCATTGTAATAATTGTCATTTTGTTGTCAATTGAAAGATTACGAGTTTTCTTTTCTCTCTCTCTCTTTCTCTCTTTGTCATACGTTAATCCATCTAATTAAAAGTTTCTCGTTTCATCTCATTTTCCTATTCTCATTCTTCTGTTTCCGCTTCCTTTTTCTCTAACTCTTGACTTCGAAACACTACTGTAGTTATTGTTAATATTTTCAATAGAAGCTCTGATGATCTCACTATGATGCAATTGATTCACTTCTTTAATCTTCAGGAAACAATTTATCTAATTATTTGATCACTTACATTGAACAAGAGATATCTGATTAAGGCAGGAAAAGAAAAGGATGAAAGTGTCGTTATTTTTACCTGGAAAAATTTACCTCTCTCTCTCCCTCTGTTGCTCCCTTTTACTCTCATTCTTCAAATGTATCAATAAATTGAAAGTTTTTTCGTTTTCAATTCTACTCTGTTATGAATAAGTGATTGAACTGCTTTGTTTTATACGAAATGGATTTTGAACAAGATGATAGTTCATTTACGACTCGTGAGTTAACATATCCGATTGGATGTTCTGCTGTTAAACAGTCCGATATTGTGATTATTGATGGTCGACCATGTAAAGTCATGGAAATAAGTACCGAAACTGGGGAAGACGGAGAGGAAAAGGTGAGAATAATTTTCAAATTTAATTCAGTTGTCAAATTAATCGATTTTTTCTTCTTTTCACCTAATCAAAAATATCTTTTATTACGAATCAGTAAAAATATTAATATTAACACAATTATTCATATTAATACTTTGACTCTTTTTTAATTCTCAGATTCATATTAAAGGAGAGGATATTTTCAATGGCGATAATCATGATGATTTCTGCTCTCTAACTGAAATGATTACTATTGCTGTAGTTTCAGACAAAGAGTACGAACTAGTTAGCATTGAAGAAGGTTATTGTGTGTTAATGGATGACAAGGAGAAACTGAGTGGATATACGATTGCCTGCGGGTGAACTTGGTACCAATTTGCAAAAGTTTTTGGACGAACTTAAAACAATTTCAGTTACTGTTTTATCCGCTTTGGGCGAAGAAGAAATCGTTCGTTGTAAAACATACAGTTGAAACTTATAATCAAAATGATATGATTAATTTTCGTCAATGGACAGTTCGAAGTGCACTGAGTTTCCATTACATGAAGTATTAATATGTTTTAAATGAATTCTATTGATAAATAATCGGGTTTTAAAGCTCATTGCGAGAATTACAAATAAACAACATTCATTATTTACCCAATACTTTGGCTTAAGTGACAATCAATTGATTGTAACTTCTTTGATTAAGATACAGTAACTTAGACTCAAAGATTTCATCTCACATGTTTATCATATTGTTCAATCGGTTTGGTCCATCGGTAAGCGGACTGATATCGTCAGGATATGAAAAATAAAACTATTCTAAGATAATTGAAAAGGTAATGCAATAATAGTGAGAGAGACAGAGAAGGTGATCAAAATTGATACTCAAAGATTTGGAAGAGAGAACCAATTTTTCAATCGAACATTTTTCACTCACGTGCCTATCCTGATTTCTTTGTCTGGTCGAGGTGCTTAATTAATGAAGCTCATTAGTAAATGAGAGAGTAAAAGACATAGAAGGATGAAAGTTAATACCACTCGAGTCTCAAGATTAGATTCTCTTAGGTTGATATGATCAAAGTGATTAATCAATCAGTTCTGATTGTGAAAGTGTTTCTAAGGTCATAAATGAGGTCTGATAGTATTAATACTTACAATTAGATTGTTGTAATGGGAATATTGATTTAAATTGAGTTTGTTTTACCGTTTAGCCTTCAATTTAACACAAATAATCATCACCATTAGGGGGTTTTTAACGATACAATTTCAATTAGTCAGAATCAATGAGTGAATCAATTTCATCAGAAATCTAATAGATTTACATTAATCTCTATTGACAGAAAATTTGAAACTAGTTCATTCTGGACAAACAAATGAGAAGTTGGCATGAGTATTGGTCATAATATTTAATTGGTAATTGTGACTCGATTAATTGTCAAATAACATGATTAACTGATAAACACGTTGCAAGTACATTTGCATTTGATCATTTAAAATTTTGATTGACAAGTAAAAGTTAACTCTAATTACAACCGATAGATGGAATTGGAGCTCGCAAATTTATTGATACAAACTTTGGATTTAATTGTGATCATTAATTAGTACAATCTACATTTGTTTTCTACATCTGCACTACTCTGTTTAATTGATTAACTATTGATCAATAAATTGGACTTATTCTCGAACTGTAAGTTCTAAGTGAAAAAGACGCAAAGTACATAGTAGTGTATTCAAATTAAATAAAAGTTCAATCTTCGAACGCACAATAACGGAATCAATCGTATTGCTTTAATGAATTACAAGTTAATATATTGATAGATTTTCTTAACGATCGAAAGAATTTCTATAGTGTTTCGAATTTGTGAAAAGTTCTAGTTGGATGATAGTAAATGAAAACTAATCGAACATGCTAATAGTTACAAATGTCAAGATCGAAATGAAAAACAAACTTTTAGCTGGGGAAATTAATTCAATCGATAATTAATAAGTAAAATTCACGATTACACAATTGCAAAACTGTTGACCATTGTCCATAATTGAATAGTAGCCATAAGAATATGCTAATGAACAAGTAATTACCTTATATCATTAAAATTTTCTTCTGATCTAATTTTCGATTGGTTTTCTAATTAAAAGTTAATTTAACTCTCATAGTAAAAGAAAATCGCATCAATAGTAAATTCATTCATAAAATCAGATCATTTAATCCATTGATAAATTTTTTTCTCTCTCATCTATAAACATCTTCCTCTCTCTCTCTCTTTCTCTTTCTCTCCCAGTTAACAGTTGCTCTTTATTGATGTAACTCCGCCATCTTTGTCCATTGGCCATTCACAAGTAAATCTAAATACAATTTCCAGTACTATTTGTTTTCTACTTCGCCCAACAATCAACTAATTGTTCATTTTAATGGGAATAAACTTTCTAATTAAATACTTCCGTCTACAAATGGAATCACTAGAATAGAAAAAAAGGTAAATTCGATTTTCTTTTTTTTTCTGGTTTTTCTTCATCTTCTCTTTTTACTTCTCATGCTAATGTTTACCATTTACGATCATTTACAGTTACTTTTTCTTCTTCTGGTTAATTAATTGTTCTACCGTTTTAATTGTTTTCGTTTTCTCGATTTCCCTGTTAATTTGTGCTCTTCAAGTGATAATCAATACTCTTTAGTGATTTACTTTGTTATACTATTTGAGATTTGGGAACAACAATATCAATAGAAATTTGGACCAATTGTTTTGTGTCTCTTTCCTTTGTGCTTACAGGGCGTAGACCTTTGGGTTAATCTTGTTGGTTAATCTTAATTGTGATCAGTTTGATTTGGTCAATTTGATAATTTCGATGGTTTGTTTACAGTTCCAATTACCTCTGTTGCTTTTGCAGTTTTTTCCTCTCTCACTTGGCCATATGATTTACTGTTATTGTCATTTTGTTGTCAATTGAAAGATTACGAGTTTTCTTTTCTCGCTCTCTCTCTCTTTCTCTTTCTCTCTTTGTCAGAGGAGAAAAACTTTCCACCGGGGGCAAGCATACTGTTCCACTCTTGATGCGCACAGAAGACTTTCCATAGAACAATTGATAAACTGATATTCTCTTGTGATATTAATCTGACCTCCGAGCCGATTAATTTCATCTCTTATTCCCTCTTTCTCTGTGTTTGTGTCTATTTGTCTCAATTGTTGCTCTTTCGGCTGATTCCCTAAATTCATTTGGTGACATTTTCTGTGAAAAAGAAAAATGAATCTCAATCAACACCAGTTAATTTGTTTATTCTTCATTCATTATCTTATCCAGGTTACCCCATAAATCTTAGGATGGAATGAGAAAACCAAGAGACGATTAATGGTTGTGTTCATGATGCTTTCTTCATCTCTCTCACTCTCTGTGTAGTAAATTAAGTTAATTTAGAATCAGAACATTTTGTTTTTCTCGAAACAAAATGTCGACTCAATCATCTTCAAGTAAGAATAGTGGTCTAGATGATTCCCTTTATTATCCATCTCCTTCTTTGGTGACCATGGCGATGAACGATGAACCCATGAAAAGCTTTTGTGCCCCTTATTCTGGTAAAATTTGCGAAAAATATTTAAAAGGTCGTTTTGTTTACTCAAATTACACTACCGATGAAAGCGGATCTCTAATTTATCTGAATGAACAAATCACCACAAGCCTTTGGTCTGAAATGGTTTCGCCGCTGATGGAACCATGTAAAGGTGCGGCTGAGGTATTACTTTGTAATTATGCTTTCCCTTCATGTGATTATGGTGTTTTACCTGTGATACCTAAGCCACTTTGCCGTGAAGATTGTGTGGCCGTTAAGGAGCTTTTCTGTTATAATCAATGGGCACTTATTGAAGATAATAAACAACGTGGAGTTTATTTTAAGGCTCGAGGACATTTTCGATTACCTGATTGTGATCTATTACCAAGCCATGAGAACAAAACTAATCCTGATTGCTCAATTTCCCATCTTACCCAAATTAAACCGGAAGAGGTTACATATGATTGTATTAAGGGTCGAGGTCGATTTTATCAGGGTAATGTGGATAGGACCAAAACGGGTATTCCATGTCAACGGTGGGACTCACAGGAACCTCATAATCACAATCGACCTCCGCCCATTTTTCCCGAGATTTTGAACTCGGAAAATCATTGTCGCAACGCCGGCGGGGAAGAACCTCAACCCTGGTGTTACACCATCGATCCAAGGGTACGGTGGGAACATTGTAACATACCTGTTTGCAGTAAGTTGACTAATTGTAATCGCTTTAATTGTTCAGTTGTAAATCAATTAACAGTTAACACCATTGATTCTCAAGAGAAAAATTCATTTCGCTTGACAATTAACTCAAATTTACACCAATTAACATGTCAGTCTGTGATGTTTGTTGCATTGTGTTTGCAACTGAACAAACAATTAGTAATAACAATCAATTTAAATTAATCCAGTTGATTGAAAGCTAAGCACAGACTATTAGTTTATGGGGAATTTTGTAAATTTGGGTAATTGTTGCAATTAGAAGTGAATTGTCTTGTTAATTTCGTTTTTTCCTCCTTAATTCTTCTCGAGATTATCAAACTAATTGCTTGTTAATTTTTCTTCTTTTTTAATACAGAAAATACGACTAATTTTCAATTGATCAATTCCAATCCATATTCGAACACTTCTTTCCAAAATTTTGCCAATTCAACATTTCTATTATTAGTTAGCTCTGCCGCCTTAATTGCACTCATTTTGTTAATGGTAATTGCTGCTATTTGCTACCGAATAGTTAAATATCGTCGTCGTGGATACAATTCAAATCTAACCGATAATGTAGAGATCGATTTATACAAATTACCGTCAAATTTTGCTTACCATTGTACGACAGTTAAGTTAAACCCGAAATTAGAAGCTCTTGAATATCCAAGAAATGATATAATCTACATAAAAGATATTGGCCAAGGAGCTTTCGGTCGAGTCTTCCAAGTGAGTTTTATTCCCCTCAGGTCATTTTGAACGTGGAAAATCATTGGATTAACTTTTGTTCTTTTCTTTTCGTTCTTAGGCTAAAGTTCCAGGGATAATCAAAGGTGAAGAGTTTACTATGGTCGCTGTGAAGATGTTGAAAGAAGACGCATCGGAAGATGTCCAAAGTGACTTCGAACGTGAAGCCTGTGTAATGGCTGAATTTGATCATCCAAATATCGTCAAACTCTTGGGTGTTTGTGCCATAGGTAAACCAATGTGTCTACTATTCGAGTATCTTGGTAAAGGTGATCTGAACAAATTTCTACGATCACATTCACCATCAAATTATATTATTCGTGGACCCGAAATCGGTTCATATCAAGATCCATTACGTTTATCACCTCTTGATTTGGTAAACATAAGTGCCCAAATTGCCTGTGGAATGGTTTACCTTTCAGATCGTAAATTTGTCCATCGTGATCTGGCCACTCGAAATTGTCTAGTCAATGAGAATATGATTGTTAAAATTGCCGATTTTGGTTTATCACAGAAAATTCACTCAAACAATTATTATAAAGGAAACGATGAAGATGCAATGCCAATCAGATGGATGCCAATCGAATCAATAATGTTCAACAAATTTACCATTGAATCGGATGTTTGGGCTTTCGGAATAGTTTTATGGGAAATTTTCTCCTTCGCCTTACAACCATATTATGGAATGAACCATGAAGAAGTGGTCACATTTATCATGGATGGAAATATACTCTCACCACCGGAAAACATTCCAACTTCAGTTTATTCACTGATGAAAATCTGTTGGAACAAGAAACCAAATCATCGGCCAACATTTAAAATAATCTACCGGACACTTTGTGCGATCTCAGAAGAGATAATTCGAAACAATAATTTCGATAAATTGACAAAAGCGAATCAAATTTCCCACCAAAAGTTTATTCCACCTCCCATAACATAAGAATCTCATCCAATAAGAATGAACCTTGATGACGATGCACAAGTAACTTCCGTTTCCATGGCGATGAAAACGGAAATCGTTTTCTGGTTTTCTCATCTTTTGCTAAACATTTTGTTCCTTTGTCAGTAGCTTTTCTGCTCTTTACTTTCTTCTTATCTTCCTCTTTTTCTCTTCTTCTTCTTCCTTCTATCTCCATCTCTGTGCCATTCCTCTTTTATTTCTTCTCCCTTTTCGGTGACTCTCTCTCACTCACTCTCTCTATCGGTGTCTCTCTCTCACTCGTTTTGGGCCTTTTTCACTGTGTCTTTTCTCCATCTTCTCCTTTTTTTTTTAAATCAATTCTTTTTTCATTAAGTGTTTCTATCCGAACTACTTTATATTTCTTTATTTCAAATGGAAGGTGATGACCATGAGTTCGTTGGTGCCTCAGCTGGTGCTTCTGCTACCTATCCGGTTCAATGTTCTTCTCTTCGAAAAAATGGTTTTGTTATGATTAAAGCTCGACCCTGTAAAGTCATGGAGATGAGTACATCCAAGACTGGAAAACACGGACATGCAAAGGTAAAGCACATGTTCTCTATTCTATTCTATTAGTCATTCATTTTTTTCTAGCGTCACCTTTTCCCCGACCATTTGTATAGTGTTTAGATATCTTTGAGTAATTGTGTTGTCTCCATCCGCCTACATACATACGCTGATACATCTTAGTATCTTTGACTATTTTATCTCGAGGAGAAAAATCCATCCTATTGATACGTGTTAATCTTGATTCTAAATGGTTTTTCTCTTTCTCTCTTTCTCTCTCTCTCTCTCTCTCTCTGACTCTTTTTTTTTCTTCCATTATTTTCACAGGTTCATCTTGTCGGGATCGATATCTTCACTGGTAAGAAGTATGAAGATCTTTGCCCATCCACTCACAATATTGACGTTCCCAATGTTTCACGTAACGATTATACACTACTTGATATTAGTGATGACGGTTTTTGTTCATTAATGACTGAAAAGGGAGACACCCGAGATGATTTACGATTGCCTGAGGGTGAACTTGGTACCAAGATCAGTGAAGAGTTTGGCAAAGAAGATACAACTGTCATTGTCACTGTTATGTCTGCTGTTAATGAAGAAGCAATCATTGCTTGCAAGAATGCAAACAATTAATTCAATTAATAAATTGTAATCATCCAAAAATAGATTACATGAGTTTGATTTTGATAAACAAAGAAACAAAACAACAAAACACACTCGTTTAAATTGGAAAAACCATTTAAAAGTTTAAACCACAATTAAAGGTCAAATAAATACCTATAATAATACAGAAAATTTTGTCAACTTTATTAGCAAATCTCACACAACAACAACAACAATTACCCTTTGACCTGACTCTCCATTATTGTTGTGTTGAGATATTTTTGAATTTCCATTTGAATGGGTAGACACAAATTAGTTTCATTTTCGATCAATAGATGGCACTGGTTCTCGAAAAACAATCAACACCGAAAAACTTTACATTCTAATTGACAATTTAATCCTCAAGTGATCAACTATTTCTCTGAAGTTTATTGGTTATACAAATTTTTCATTCGACTAGATCGAACTATCGAAATCATTGAGTTTAATCTTTTCGATTCGAAAGTTTTTTTGGTCAATCAGCTGAAATAAATTGATTGGAATTCATTTACCAATACCAAGTACGAACTAGAAGATATTTTACACCTGAATGAGAAAAAGTGGTTCACTCAATTAATGATCAATCGGAGAAATCGATTCGATTAAATCTAAGTGTACTTACGATTGCAAATTCCTAAATTTGCTGACCATTGTCCATTGTTTAGACATGTAACTGTACTCGAACCATTTGTTAGGTAATATCCATAAGAACATGTAACTGAACAAGATGAGCCAATGACTCCCGGTTGACAGTTACCACGAAGTTTACCTTTATTAACATCCTGAACCGCTCTGCATGAGGTCGGTTTCTTGTCACCAGGTTTCGGTCTAGGTGTTGTTAGTATTGGTTTTATCGAGACGGAATTAGTTGAACTTGGCCTTGGTCTTGGGGTCGTTGGTTTAATGCACGAAGGAGGGTCTGAACTCCATTTACCGCTTGCCAAGCAAATAGTTGACGATGAACCATTGATCGTAGCACCAGTTGAACAGCCGAAATAACAAATGGACCCAACGGGTGCTCCTTGGTAGCAAGCACCTTCCATGAAACCATCAGGATTTGAACGCAAGGCTTGGCATTTCAATGATGAACTATTTTTATTAGTGTCAGAACTTTTCTCGCAACTTGGCTCTTTCGAGGACCAAACTGATCCTAAGCAGTAAACTTGAGCCGCGCCGATCAACTTGTAATCGGGATTACACTTGAAATTACAAACCGATCCGACTGTGTTGCTACATTCACCGATAATCAGGCCATTAGTTGGAACTTTAAGATTCGTCCTGCACAAATCTTCACTCGAATCTGCAAAATAAACAAAAAAGATTAAAAAACAGATCAAAATGTTCATCGAATCGACAATAATCTTTGACCAAACCTTGACAAACGAATTCATCGCCGACCCAATTTCCATTATCGGTACACTTCTTTTGCAGAACTTTATCACTTGTTCGACATCGAACTTGACAAACTGCCCCAGGAATAGTTCCACAGGTAAGAAAAAATCCTCCTTCGGGAATCGAAGGTGTCAAACAAGTCGAACCGATAAACGAAATTAAAAGAAAAGTTAATCCAATGTTCAATAAAATCGAAAACATAATTCCAATTCCAAGTCACAAATAGTCAATATTTACAATCAACTTAACAATCGTAATACTTGTTAACTGTTACAAACAATTCAATCTCTACAATTAAGGAATAAAAAAAATCAGACTCAAGTTTCCTAATCATGTTTTCTGATGAACATGAGTCAAAATGAATTCCTGGAAATAATTTAGATACAAATTCGTCTATGTTGACAAATTAGTCTCTTACCTTTGGGGAAAAAAGTTAATTGTTCACAATGTAACTGTGACCAATTAAAACCTTCAATTTGATTGTTAATCTGCAAACAATGTAGTTTATTTAAACCTACGTAAGGTTAACAATGTTTGCAAATGATTGATGATCTTGACGATGGTAATTAATTGTTATGCTTACCTGTTTGATAATTTCATCATAATCACTTTGATGACGATCAAAATTAATCATTCAAACATTCAAATCATTGTAATTTGAATTGAAGTTTTTTTTTGATTTTTCCAAAGAAAAACCTTGAAAATAATTTAATCCCTAGAAAATTAATTTTGTACCAACAATTAAACTAATTGTGATTTCTCAGCATGTATTTTCAGCTTTATAAATCTATTAATATATTTGCAATTAAAAAATAATAATACATTTCTAGTGATAAAATTACAAACAGGGATAATTAGATTAAATATATTCTTGTTTAGTATAAAAAATTACAGTTAATTAAAAAGGTGATTGATTTTTTACACAATTATGGGTTGATTGTTGAATTTAGAAACAAAAATCAAAGTCAAACAGATCAAAAATATTAATTAATTAAAAAAAAGGATCAAGGATTTGGGTTTGGATTCGGGTTTAGGAGTTGGTTAATCATGTCCAGTGATTAACAATTAGATGAGAAAAGGCAAGTAATTGTTGATTTGATTTGGTTCATTTGATTTTTCCATGTCAATTAGATGAGGTTAACCATTAAAAACGTTAATCTAATACTTGATTCTTGTAATTAACTTTTTGCAATGAGTATGTTTTATATTTATAAAATCTGATTCAATTAGAACCAAATAATTATCTCCTCTCTCGCTCTCTACCTCGATTAATTGATTGATTGATTAGTTGAGGTGTAGATCTATTAATTCCTAGAAACAAATGATTAAGGCAATTAGTTAATTTCATTTGTGTTTCATTTGTCTCTTTTTCTAAGGCAGATCTAAATTAGATTCCGGAAAAGGTAAACATCAGGTAACTTGTTGAGGTGAGAGGTTAAGTCAGGTGAGTGTTAACAATTAGTAGAGACTTAATTGTTAGGATATTAATTATGTTCTACCAATGAGATGATGAGTGTATATAATAATAAAAGTAGATTGATCTGGTTCAATAGATGAGATATGATTATAGTTGATTTAAAAAAATATTGATCACAGTTAATTGATTGTGAAGATTTTAAGATTCCTTTGTTTTTGATTAAAACGTGTCTTGAAGTTGATTCTTGTAATTAACTATTTACACAGTTAATCAATTCCATTCCGCCAAAAGAAAAGGTTTATTGATCAAACTGGAAATCGATTAATCGTTAATTAATGGACGTTAATCAATCATTAGGTCGTTTAAGTTTCTCGTAATCATTTGATGCTTTATGGGAAAAATCTCGAACCACTTCATTGAAAATGTCCTCACTTGCCGGACTGTATTCATCATTCCTCATCTCTTCATTTAATTTAGCTAATCGTAATCTATTAGAAATGAGAAAAAAAAATAAACAATTAGTAAATAAAAGTTACGATTAAAGAATCAATTTGATCGTAATTTGGCAAAAAATCAATGATAGTCACTGTTTTAGTTTACAGTTAATGCTCAATCCTTGTGATAGTTTTAATTGACAAGATCAACAATCATTCAGGGTGTAATCAGTTAATTGTTATTATGCTGGGATGGCCTTACACACAATGATTAACAAATTCAATTGAGGCGTTAATTGAGTTACAACAACAAAACTTGAATTGATTAAATTGTCAAGTGAATGATGTTGATGATGATGATGATGAATAAATTGAATAAATAAAATTAAACTTGATTGTTAATTGCTACTTACAATGTAACAATATCAGCATTCGCATTATTAACTGCAATGGATAAAGCATCTCGACCTTCCTGATCAATTAACGTTTGATCAGCTCCACGTTTTAATAAAAGACAAACAATACTGAAGAGAGAGAGAGAGAAACAAAATTAAGAATTAGAAACAACCAGACAACTAATTAAATTAATTACTAACCCAGTATCACTTTTCTCGGTTGCAAGGTGAAGAGGAGATCGCCCTAATGAATCTTGACTGTTACATTTGGCTCCATTGAGTAAAAGGTATTCACAACAGGGAACTGAACCAGTTAAGACTAATTGATGAAGAGGTGTCATCCCTTCATCATCATAATTAGACCAATTAACTTGGGCTCCTTTACAAATTGCTTTACACATTAATTGAGCATTTGCATCTTTGGCTGCAGAGTAAAGCATCAGGTTGAAATAGTTTTTGTATTGAAGTGATAAATTGGACGCCATGGACACTGAATTACCATCGATTCCAGCAGCATGAGTTAACTCTTCTTCTGCCTCTTTAATCACAGCATATAATTGATTCAATTCATCATATTCAATGGAAAGACGATTATCAAATGATCCAATATTAGTATTATTTTCACAATTTTCGCTCAAATTATTGGTGAAATCGTTTGATGTAAGAGTTGAGTGTTTATCTTTAGATTCAAGAGATTTAAGAACAAAATCTTTCTTCACATATTTGGCTTTAATCCAAAGTTCACGTTCACTTGGATTAGATGAGGAATTTGGTCTAACGGCAATAGTTTCATCAACTTTTTCCTCATAGAACGAGTTAACCACCGTATTACCCAAGGCTAACATTAACTTAATTTGCTCCGAGTCCCATGCATCTAAAATTAATGATTTAACTTTGGATATATGAACACCAAGAGATCGATGTACACCCGAACACTCAATACACAGGGTGATACCTAAATTAATTGATGCCCATTTGGGATCATTTGATTGACAATCGGCACAAAACTCATTACCGGGAAGACCAGTGATAATTGGATGGACTCGAGGAGGTTTAGGTGGACCACCTCCTGAAGTACTTTGAGATAAATTTCCTGCTGATCGTAATGAATTTGAACTTAAACTGGTATCACTTGAATCAATTGAATCGCTCGTTTCAAAATTATCACCGATACAGTGGCCATTGTAAGCAGCGTCAATTCCAGCCTGAAGGGAGGCAACCCAATGTCTACATGCTTCCTCTGAATCAGCTTGTAAAATATGATATCTGAAAGAAACAGTAAAGTGAAAAAAATATTAGAACGAGATGCAAAATATGATATGTTCAAATTCATCAGCCAACTTATTAAGAAATTTGCATATTCATAATGTAAATTACAAGGTAACTGGAAAATCTTTCAAATGCTGACAAAGTTAAAAATGTAATTAAAATGAAAGTTGATCTTGACAATTCTCTAACCTTGTAGGTGAAACTATTTCGAAGCAAAAACGTCGTTCACTGTCGATTACTGGCTTAACATTACATAGACGAAGATCTTCCTCCATTGTTGAATATTCTTTCTCACTTTTCTTCTTATATTTTAACTTATTGTCTTCGATAATGAACCATCGACGATTCCATGTTTTGAAAGCATTGGTTGTCCTCTTAAAAAGGTAACCCTGAGATCTAATTAGTGAATCTCCATCAGAAAGAGTTGCAGTTAAATCCATTTTGTTTACAATCGAATGATTTTGTTCCAATTCTCTTTGTAGTGTGTGAGTTTCTTCCTTCATCTTTTCAATCTAAAAGCCAAAAAAAAGAGGAGAAAGAATAAAGTTTCGATTGGAAAGATTTAGAGAGCGAAATGAAAATTCGATAATTCTAATTATAAATGGAATCTATTCAATCAATTGTGACAGATTAAGAATCTTAATTTTGTTCATCAAGGGTAAAAGAATCGATCTAATTACACAATCATGTTGGAAATGAGAACAGAATATAATTCTTACCGAAGTGACAACGCTTTTGACATCGAAATCTTTGAGTAGGTCAGCACCTTGTTGAAAATATGTTCCACAGGCTTGAACCAATAGAATTAACTAACGATAGAGAGAAAGAAGAAAAAAAATAGATGACAAATGATTATAATGATAATTTACGAAAAAAAAAGATGGGAAAAGATGTAAATAAGTTCTGGGAGATGAGGTCACGTAAATTCCCAGCACGTTTTCCCCATTTAAAATAATTACTAACCGAATCGAGGACTTCATAACGTTTCTGTGATTGAAGGCAGCTTATTTGTCGTATATAATCAAGTGCAGTGTGCTGAAAGCAACCACGAGTTGCCGTTAAAAGGTTACGAACATCTTCACATTCGGCTGGTTTACTTTTGGGTGTTTGCGAGTTTTTGATCAAAGCTTCATCATAAGATTCGGAGATTTTATCAAAATGACGTTTAGTCTTTTTACATTCGTTTATCTTTCTATCAACAAATTCGGATAGTTTTTTAGATACAGCTCGATCCATTTGCTCGACTAGTATACTTTGGTAATGAAGTAATTTTTTCATGGTATCATTGATCTCAGTCAGAGTGTTAAAAACGGGCAAGTCCTCCTTAAAATGTAACGTCAGGTCAAAAATACCATTTATGAAAGCGCTAAGAAACAATTGAGTAGAAAAAAGAAATCATATTAATGAGAATTTGTTGTAGAAAATAAAGAAAAAAAATAAATCAAAATGTTCAACAACAAAGTAACCGGATGGATATAAGCAAAAAGGGAAATCAGGGAGAGAGATTGTAGAAAGGAAATTAACTGAAACAATCAATGAATGAGCCCCTGATTCTTGATTGTTAACTAAATTAGTCATCGAGTTAGCAACTAAGAGAAATGAAAAGTGTTGAGAAAGTCAAAATTCTGGATGTCTCATCAATCCTGAAGGTGATGGTAATACACAACAATTAAGCAGAAAACTATTGTTGTTAAGGAGAGAGAGACACAAATGAACACAGGATGTTGATAATGGTGATGGAAATTATGTTTCCAATTAGATAAAATGATTCTTGGTGATATAATCGCCTGAGTTTATAAGATTCAATGGTCATCCCATGATTGTAATTATCTTGATTGTATTTAGAAAGATATTGTAATTGTTTATCTACCCTTTGGATCGTTTGAATGAATCAGCCGAATCTATCATATCATGACACAACTTGATGACCTAAACAGGGAAAGATGATAGAAAAAGGGAAGATAAAGAAACAGAGGGAAGATTAATTAAAAGATCAACAAATATGGTTTCAATTGGATGAGATAAATTATCATGATATATGAATAAAATCAGGAGATCATGAAACCAAACAAGATGAGAAAATGTGAGAAACAAAAAGACAAGAGAAAAAATCTCACCTTTACAAGCTTATCCTCCAATTTTCGGATATCATCTTCATTTTTGCTTAGCGTTGATCTACAATTAACATGATAAGACAATTAATATCAAGGTAGATTGTATTGATCTGATTAATTCTTACCTGAAATTAGGTGAATCTTTGAGACATTCATCGAGAGTAACAATGGATTTCATGGTAAATCAGAAATGAGAGATTTGGGTGTTTAGTTGCCTGTTGATGGAGAAATAGAGATGAAAAAAGAAAAGAATATGAGATTAAAGAGAATAGAAAAATAATTAGAAAAGGATAAATGATGGGGAGAAGATTAAATAATCAATTAGACAAACCGAACAATCAATAAATTAACCAAAGAAACAAAATAGAAAATTAAAAACATAAACAAGAGAAATTGTTGAGCAAACAGAAGATGAGAAAAAAATGAATGAGCGACACAGAGAGAGAAAGTGAGATGAATTAAAATGAGAGAATGAAGATAAAGATGGAAGATTCTGATAATTTATAAACAGTTAATCACCAAATAATCAGGAAACGAATGAAATTAATTTCAATGGTGAACATTAAGCCAACAGTCAACACTGAAGAGAGAAAAAAAAATAAACATTAGAATCTATAAAAAGAGAGAAAGAGAAATTTTTTTTCTTTTTGTAGAGCTTTTCACCGGAGGGTTTAACCTCTGGAAGAAGATGATAGATGTGAAGATGGAAGAGATGATGAGAGAGGGAGAAAAATTTTCAACAAGGTTATCACTTTGAAAATTTAATCCCCCAAATTGAGTTAATTGTTAATCCAAACACTTTGATTGTTGTTAAATTTGACAGCAAATAACAAGAGTTGTCACTTAAATGGTAACTGTTCACATCTAAATGGTTAAGTTAAATTTGTGTTCGTTGATCAGTTTTACTCTTTTTTTTTCTTGACTTGATTGTGATCATTAACAATTAGCTGAGTGTAAATTGTTAATTTAAACCAAATGACAATCAAAAAGAAATAGAATGAAAATTAAGGGAGAAAGAGAGAGAGAGAGAGAGAGATGATAATGATGATGATCAAGACGAAAAGTAAACTTGATTTAAACCTTGAGAATAGAAAATGAAGTTTTTTCTTCAACAATTTAAGATTAAATTGTTTTCTTCCACATGGCAACAATTTAATTACATGAATCAATTGATTGATCCCATTGAACTTTCAATAGATATTGTTAATCAAATTGTTGTCTAATTTTAGTTTTACTTTGATAGTTGTAATCAATGTATTTGATTAACTTTCTCATTTCACTTAACCATTTAACTTGTTGTTAACAATTAAGGTAACATTTATCAATCTGCTGGTTACAATTAATTGATTACCTTTGGTTTCCAATGTGATAAACAAAATGATCTAATTGTTACAAGGATAATGTTAAACTGTTGTTGAATTAAATGTTGTCATTGTTTTCACTTTCACCAATCAAACTTGTTTAGTATGACGAGTACCAATTTAAACATGGAAACTAAACTACAACAAGTAATCCGATAAAATTAATCAATCAATCGAAGTTAAGATAAAAACCAAATTAAGACACAATCAAAGAAAAGAAATTAACAAAATTGTAAACAATTAAAAATCTTCAAATGGAAAAATTATTGATAGAAATTCAAATTAAATCGAAGGCGCGGTAATCGAAAAAGTGGTGACATCTATTGGAACTTTTGTTCAACTTGTTCTGCGAAAAATTTTATTTTCCTTTTGGGAAAATCATTTCATCTTTGACAGGATTTCAATTCTGATCGTTAGTTTGTTTGTTGTTTCTCATTTATAATTAATTAAACATTTTAAATGTTTTTAATTAAACACTCGAAAAGTGAGCAAACCATTGGATTAAATTACTGGTTAACCTGAGATTTCCTATTGATCATCTTTACTTCATTTTCTTCATCTTCTTCTCATTTAGAATTTCTTGTTGAGGCAAAAAAAAAAGGTAAGAGAAAAATAAAATTCTTATTCCATTATATGTGATTACTATTCTTCTCTCTTTTGATTGTTTAATCTCTCAACTGTATCATCATTAACTGGTCAGATTATAATTGGTCCATTTTCTTCCACTTCCTTATTTCAATCAAATTGTTTATATAATCGAAATTTTCTTCTCGCCTAATTTTGAATGGACTTTTTTTCCTCATCTTCAGCCATTGTTATTACATAGGTTTGGTTACTATTCTATTGTGTTCGTATATACGGTTACATCTATTTTTTGCTCTTCTCTTTTTTTTTCAGATGGATTAGGTTTGTTTTTTTTCTTCTTTTTTGGTTTTGTCAAGATTTAGGTGAACAGATTATGATTCTCTTCTGGTCTCAATTGACTCCCTTATTTACATTGATTTTTGTCTTTCGATTGTGTTGAGCAAGAAACAACATTTCCCCCAATCTTAAGATGAATGGATAATATTTTTCTTTTATTAATACACTAATTTAACTTTCTATTTTTCTCTTCTTCTCATTTCAATTTCTAGTTAACTGCAGAACAATTAATAATTGATACATTTGCCAGTAAATTGAGACAAAGGAATAAATTAAATTTTCATCACTTAATCAACCATATACACCTACTTGTCCATGTCAAGAATGATTCTAGACTCATCCTAGAAGTTGAATAATCACCAATGGTGCCAGTTATTATGTTAATGTTGTTATGCCATTACAATTATCATCTTCTGCTCTCTGGCTAATATATTTTTTTGGTATTCTACCAATACAACTACCACAACCACTACCATTACCATCATCACCATCAACAGTACTACTAAACCACCCAAAGAAAAAGATTTGTGATCCATCAACATGCAAATGGAAAAGGTAAATGATACTCGTGATTTAGAGCAAGTGGGAGCTCGTCTCATCGAGAATGGAGCTTATGCTCAGGATAAGATCGCCTCCATGACCGCTCAATTGAGTAGATTAGCCTCTGATTTTACCACCAGTTGGGAAGAGCGAACCACCATACTCAATTTAACTGCTACCTTTTATCAACACGCTGAACATTATTTTAGAAATGGTGAAACTTGGTCTCGACAATGTGAAGGTCCTTGTTTTATACCAAATGAACTTAGGGAATTGGAGGAAAAAGTTCATCAATCAAAGAAACTGCTTGATGCAATTAACCGAGCATATAATGATGTGATCACCAGTAGTAATAAACTATGTTATCAACTTAACCATTTCATTAGTTTCTGCTATCAATGTAAATTTAATCCTTCATCATCTTCATCAACAACAACAGCAGCAACGGATAACAATTTTATTTCATCTTCATCTTCATCTTCATCTACATCAACCCCATCACCTCCTTCATCATCCAGTAGACTTAGAAATCCGAAAGCTGATTACAATGAGGCAACTAAACATATTCTCGCAGTAACTCATCGTATCACCTCACATTATCGTCGAATAGAATCTCTTTTAGAGTCTAAACGTCAAAGGTTACACCTTCGTTTCTCTTTGGCACTTTTTAATGATGATGTGCGACAAGTAATGGATTGGATTAGTACTTGTGGTGAGAGTATGTTGACCAAAAATTTTGGTATTGGTAAAATTTGAAACAGCTCAAGAATTACAAAGAATCACCAACAATTGGAAAATTATGCTCAAAATACTTATAATAATGTGGAAAAATTGAGAAGAGCTGCCGTTGAATTTGCTCGAACCGGTGAATGTGATCGTGATGAAATCTATCGAATACGTGAAGAGATGGTTGAACATTCAGAAAGATTTAAACAGCGAATTGAAAGACGTCGACGACATTTAGAACTTGGAATACGATTTTTTGAGAAAGAAAAAGATCTCAACCTTTACTTTGAGGAATTGCAAAATTATTATCGAGCAACAGATAAACCAATCGAAGCACCAAAAACCATCGAAGCCTGTGAAAGTAATTTAGACCAAATTTTAGAGCAACGTGACATTGTGGTGGCCACAGTTTTACCCGCCATCAATGAAGGAGAAACACTTTTACAAGAGTTACGAGTTCTACTCAATTCTCCAGCAAGTGATGGAGATTCAGCTTATGAAGGAAGCTCATCCAATTCATCATCTTCTTCAAATTGTCAGAATTCACCTTCTTCTCTTAAATCATCTATCCAAGCAATTGAAACTTCATTAGAAAATTTTAAACGTATGGCCAATACAATTGAAGAATTGTGGAATAATAGGAAATTTAAGATGGAATTGTGTCTACAATTAAGATTATTCGAAAAGGATGTAGCCAATGTAATTAATGAGATACAAATTTACAAAGAGGAAGTTCGAAGAAAATACTCAGCTGATATTCTTTTCGAGGATCTTCATTGTGCCGAACGTGCTCTCCAAGAACATAATGATCTATTCAGTCGAGTTCAAAGGCTATGTTATGATGCATTTAGTAGAGGAGAAAATCTAATCCAGGTAAATCTTTAATTCACAATCAACTAATTGATTAATTAACTTTGGAAACATTCAACTGTCAACCAGTTTTTCTGATCCACTCAAGTTTAACATTGAGACAACAACAACAACAACATATCAAATTAACGTTCTATTAATTTATTTTTTCTTTTCTTTTTAATTATAAATCTTTTTTTGTTCTTTTTCTATTTGTTCTATCAGGTTTTTGAATCATGTTCCTCTTCAATAATGATTCTTGCCGATTGCGGTTTTGATTTAGTTCCATCAACTCAAAATTCTCGTCGTATCACCGCATTACAAATAACCCAATTACTTTTAGAATTGCTGAGAGATAAAGAGATGGACATTGAAGATGTCGCTGAAACAACTCGAGGTCATCTCGAACAGCGTGTTCACCTTTGCCAATTTGAATCAGAAGCGAAACAAGTACTTAGCTGGATAAAAAACGCTGAATCAATGTTATCAGCCTCTTTCACGATACCTCAGTCACTTACGGAAGCTGAAAATCTCAGAACTGAACATGAACATTTTCAAGTAGCAATTGAGGTAAGAAAAACAAAACAAAAATTATCATTCCATTTACCTGAATCTCTACCAATTATTTAATAATCACAATTAACATCCGCTCAATATAAACACCTCGCCCTGTTCACCTCTTTTTATCATCATCATCATCATGACATTTTTACATCTTCACTCTAAAGCTTGAATTTATATTTATATATATCTGATTACTATTTGTCATGATTCTTACACCACCCCCACCCCACCCACTTCTCACCATCATTCTTGAATTACTTTACCATTTTTCTGAATTCTATCATCTATTTTTGATACTTGCAATATCCCTCATAAACCATGAACATCAAGTATATCAAATTTCAATTCTAATCCCATTGCGATCAGAAAACAAGATTCAATTACAAACCAATCAGAATCAATAAGAAAACATCTCATTATCTGATTTAATTCAGTTTCATTTGTTACTTCAACTTTAACCTGTCACTTGTTAAGAGTTTGTATCCTTATCCATATCAGTAGCAGTTTAATTGTATATATTTGAAATTAAGTGTCTTAATTGCTTTATTATCAAATGAAATCATTTTTCTTTTCCTTAACCGCTAATCAGTTACTATTACAAGTTTAATCTTAATTTTCAACAATCAATGAACAAAAACCGATTTCCAATTAACATTACCAATTTAGGATAAATTTATCTACTGTCATAATCAAGATAAATCATTAATCAATTAAATCATGAGATTAATTGTTGTTGGGTGGTGGTTCTCATCAATTAATTTCTCAGAATCTTTTTCCTTCCTCTGTTTTTGAATGATGATGATGATTAAAAATGATTATGAACAATTTTTTTCATTTCATAATCAACAATAACAATTAACTAAGTGAAAATTTCATATTTTCCATCTAATTGTTGTTCTTGATTATATTATTACTCTCATTGTTATGAGAGAGAGAGAGGTAACAATTTAGGTAGGTCATTCAAATGATCAGATTTTTCATTCATTTTGGAAAACATTTTTACAACAATAATCGTTAGTTTTAAGGTAAACCCTAATCATTACAACTCTTACCTGACAATCATGATTTTATTATCTCTTTTCTGTTCAGTTCTCATTGTATTATGCAAGAAAACCCATACTTCCCACCCTCCTCTTCCTCTCTCTCACTCACTCACTCACTCTCTCCCTCTTTTATCCTCTCTATCATCACCATCTCTCCCACTCATTTGTAACTTGCACGGTTTTCATTTCATTCAGTACATCAACTACTACAACTTAGATATTATATCAACATTAAAAATCATTCACTTGGAATCTTAATTAATTTGATGTTTAGATTGATTAGTTGAAAGATTAATTCAATTGATTAATTGCCAGTTATCATTATGATGATCATGATTTACCCAATCATTTTAATGCAACATTTTGATTCTTAATTTTTTTAACCCATTGATTGTTATTGTTGTAATGATTATATTACTCAATTATTACAAGATATTCAATTTACACCAGACATTAATTATTATCGTCATGATAATTATTATTATCTTAATTTAACCATAACCAAACTATCTTGATTGTAACCTTCCTTTTTTCAATCACAATTGAAAACAAAGCTTCGCATTGAGTGATTAAGAAAAAAAATCAAATTGAGAAGCAGAAACAAAATGAATCTTTCATTGAAAAAATCTTAATCTTTTATTATGTTATCATCAATTGAACTTGTTTTTTATTAATCTGATGACAATTACAATTATATTCATAATAATAATCATTTATATGTTTGTATTATAATTCACTCTTATGAATTGAACTAACTTACTTACTGACTTACCCATCATGAACCATGAAATTGGCCTTTCAACAATCAAGAATCTGTTTTTTTACATGCTTTTCATTATAATAAAAATAATAGTGATGTTGATGATATTTGATGATAACATCAATGAAATTACAATGATAAGTTTGATTGTTGACAAGGATGAAAATAATGTAAATGGTTACCGATTCATGATCTCCTCTTTCAGAACTTTTTTTCTATCAAATTAAGCTCAATACTTCCTTGTTCATCCATGTCCATCATGTTGATAAATCTCTCCCTTTCTTTTTCATCTTAAGTTATCATCTGATCATCAGAAACTTTTGTTCATTCATCAACTAATTGCATATATTACACATCTCAGATGAAGGGTTATCTTCATGGTGATCAGATGACTCTCTCTCTCTCTCTCTCTCTCTCTCTCTCTCTCTCAATCCTAATTCTGTGTCATGATTCTCGTTCATTTCGGATAATGAACATTCAATCCATTTCCTAATCATCTTTCTACTCTTTTTTTGATACTAAATTGAAAAAAAGATCCTGGTAATGAAGATAAAAATGATCAGTAGTCTTGATAATTTGATTAGTTCAGCTTGATGATTATCCATCAACAACTCACTCTTAGGAACCAAACCCTTTTTTCATTAGCTATTAATTATAATTCAACATTTGAAATAAGTTCTGTTAATCCTTAGGAAGAGAGAGCTGAAGTTAACAGAAAAATCATCAGCAGGAAAATCTTTTCACGCTTTCGTGGTTAACCCTTGACCAGATGATCCTTATGATGAGCATGATGAAGATCATGATGATTGATTGAGAGAGAGAGAGAGAAAAATCTTTACAGATACGCAATTCCATCAAATTGAACTCAAGTGATTTGCTTCATCTTCTTTCTAATTCTTACTGATTAACTTTTTGATTGTATCAGTTTTAAGAAGAAAAAAAGATTTATCAAAAAGAGAAGAGAATAAAAAATAATCGGAAACCTTTGGAAAGCATCAACTTTTTTGTCAGTTTACCTAACACACTTTTCTACAATTAAAGTTCTGAAACCGGTTAGAACTTTTTTTGGAAGTTTTTTTTTCTTTTTGCTTCTGTTGATTATAATCATTAAGATGATGATGTTGTTGATAAACACAAAAGTTGAGAGTCAAAAATCAAGGTTAACTAATTTTTCTCTCTTGCTTACACTCAGGAAGAGAAGCTACTTCTGGTCACCTTCTCATCTTGATTTCTCTCTCTCATCATCATCATTAGCATCTGGAGTTTCCATTTTTCACTCTTTATTTATCTCTGTCTCTGTCTCTCTTTCTCTCTCTATCATCTTCATTCCCTTAGGCTATTCAAAGAACCAACAACCGAGGAGAGAGCAACTCTAACAGTACATAAGCTTAGGTTAACTCTCAGTATTCACCTCATGTCCTTTTTTCTTTGTACCTCTTCCATCTTCATCATCTCTTGTCTCGAATATCTTTTCTTTTTCTCTTACATAGTCCTCTTCATCATCACTAGAATACACATAATCTTCTTGAAGAAACCTAAATTTGACAAGCGTAACTTTCCAACCACTTTTTTTGTCTACAAACATAATTATCATCATTTTCAATAAACATCAGTTTAGAGACTCACTCATCTTCATCAGCATCATATTATCAAATTGCTAATATGCATTTATATTATCTCTCTCTCTCTCTCTTTCTCTCTACCTTTTTAACATTTACTCTCACTCACAAGTCAATGAATAATCAACTTAAATCACTTCTTAAAACTTTAACAATCCTCTGTGGTCAATCACTTTTATAACAACAGACTCAAAAACTAATCTTAAAGTCTATTTCTTGGCAAGATGATCTATCTTACAATAACAACAAGCGATACTTAATTACAATGATATATACTCACCATTAACAAGGATAAATCATTTGTAAACTTTTCCTATTTGGCTCTGAAAAGCAATCAACTTGAGTGAAATATTTTCACTTAAATTAGCATCATTATTAATCAATAATGGTCAATATATCTTGATAATTAGTAGCATCGTTATCTTCTCACCTCTTACAATGCATGTTGATGGTCAGTTTTTTTTAATGGCCATTAAATTGTTTCTGTTTTTCACTCTGGACACTGGCTAATTAATTACTTGGACTAATGGGAAACTACAGAAAGTTCAGTTTTTTCTTGTTCATGTTTTGTTTTCTTCTGAGAATCAAGAAAAGAGGACGAAATTATATTATGATGATGATGATGATAACCTTAAGCTTTTTCTCTTCACATTTATCATCTCCCATTTTCTTTTCTTCTTTTCCTTCACCTCTTTCATGAATATAATCAAGCAAAGGAATAAAAAAAGTCGACTCATGATTTTCTCATTCTTTTCATATTCTTCCATCCTATTTACCTGTATTCTTATGAATTCTAATCTTTCTTTATCTCTAATTTTTATTCTTCTCTATTTATTTTTATGAATTTTCACTTGGAATTGTCATGGTAATTGGCTTATTCATATAGAAAACACATACATCAGTTTATCACCTTCAACAGAGAGCAGAAAGTGCGATACAAAATGATAACGTTAACCCGGAAAGGATTCACTTGATTCTTGCTGATGTTAGTAAAATGTGGCAAACGCTTATGGCTCAAGCTGAGGCTCGCAACAAGTTGGTACAAGCTAGTCTTAATTTCTACAAGACCGCTGACCAGGTCAGATCTGTACTCGAAAGCCTTGAGAAACAATATCGATCTGAGGAAGATTTTTGTGGAGCCTGTAACATTGAAGGTCATCTTAATAGTCCAGTAACAATATCACTCAATGATTCTGAAAGTGAAACTGGTGATAAAAAGATTGCTCAGATAATCTCTAAACATCAAGAACAAAAGGAAGCATTTCACAAGGCGACAACTTTAGCTCGTCGAAATATGGAATCTTTTATTCGCTATGCACTTTTCTCAATGTCCATTTATCATCATAATAATCAAACTGGACCCAAGTATCGAAATGCTGAAAATAAAGTTAACAATATTATGGATTTTATAACAGTACAAGAAGAAAGGACAATTGATTCATGGACCGAAAGGAAAAAGAGACTTGACCATTGTCAGCAATACGTTTTGGTTGAACATTCTGGTCGACAGGCTATCAAATGGATAAGGGAAACGGGTGAAGTTTGGCTTAATAAACAATTGGCTCGTAATTTATCAACAGCGGGAAAAGATGAACTTGAAGAGGCTCATAAGTCTCTTACTGAATTTAGGATACAGGTGAAAGAAACCAAGGAAAAAGTTAGACTGTTAATTCAGCTGTCGGAAAATTTAATCGAGCGAGGTCACATTCACTGTCACGCTATCAAATATTGGTGTAACCTGGTTGAGAAAACGTTTAAAGAATTTAGTAAATCACTTGATCAATATAAGCGTCGATTAGAGGATCAATTGGGTTTAGGAAAATCAAGCGTTTCTGGTGAAAGTGTCAAAGAAGAGTCTGGAGTTGGTGGTATCTCAGTGGGCGGAAGCTCAGCCGGTGATCGTAGTTCCGATTCCTCATTGGAAAGTAAATTAAGTCGAGACAAGGCTTCCATTTATACCAATTCAAGTGGATCAAGTTCATCAACCAGTGGCGTAAATTCTGGTGGTAAAAGTGGATTGATTAACCATAAATCATCAGATGAATTTCAACATTTAACTGCTGATCAACTTGAAGTGAAACGTAAAATAGTCAGTAAACGGGAATTGACCATGAGTGAACTACTTCAAACGGAGAAAAGTTATGTTAACGATCTTCGAACCTGTTTGAACACTTATCTAGCAGAATTCAGAACAAAATCAGCTGATGATCAGTTTTTCAAAGAAAAAGAAAGTATCATTTTCGGTAATATTGAACAAATCTACAATTTCCACAATGAGTAAGTAGTTTATTAATTAACTAGTTCATTTTAATCATTTAAAATGATGATTGAATTGCCTTTCAATGAAATATAAACAATGCAGATAAACATCAATAATTATCATAAATGAAGATGATAAATATTATTTCATAATGCTACGTGATGAGTTATCATTAAGATTCATATTCTAATAATGATGTAACTGTTATCATTATCTAAATTGTTTTTTTTATTTGATTGTTTGTTTTTCTTTAATTGTTTTCATTGTTTGTCTAATTTTCTTTTCAACCTGTTTCACTTTTCAACAGCATTTTTCTTAAAGAATTGGAAAAATATGAAACTATGCCCGAAGATATCGGCCACTGTTTCGTTACTCGAGCTCGTTCATTTGACGTCTATGTAAATTATTGTAAAAACAAACCCGATTCTAATGCAGCTCTAATGATTCCAAAGATTTTCTCATTCTTCGAGGATGTTCAACGTAAACACGGTGTCCTACATCCAATCGCTGCTTACCTGATCAAACCCGTTCAACGGATAACAAAATATCAGCTACTATTGGACAAGTTGCTCTCTTACTGTGAGGAGGGTCTACAGGGTGAGATTAAGGATGGCCTGGAAGTGATGCTTTTGGTGCCTAAGAAAGCCAATGATGCTTTACACTTGAGCATGTTGGAAGGATGTGATATTTCAATTAACCAATTGGGAGAGGTGATAATGCAAGATTCTTTCCAAATATTTGACCCTAAATCACTTATACCCTCACGGAAACGACGTGAAAGACGAGTCTTCCTTTTTGAACTGTACATAGTATTTGCCAAAGAAGCCAAACCTGATCTCAATCAAATGAACTCCAATTCAAGTAACAATAACTCAAAAAACAGTAACACCTCAAGGGACAATTGTAACCGAGGTCGTTATATGTTTAAAAGCCGCTACATGACCGCTGAAATTGGCCTTGCAGAAACGGTTGACTCGGACGAGTGTAAATTTGCCATTTGGACAAATGGAGCATCAACTCGAGGTCCCAATTTTCAAGAAAATAAGATTATCCTTAAAGCGCCAACAATTGAGGTTAAAAGTTTATGGATAAAAAAGATGAGGGAGGTTATTCAAGGAAGTTACTTTACTACCAGAATATCAACACTTAACCTAACCAAACCCATTGGTGATTCCCGATCAAATGGTAAACAAACCACCTCTTCATCAACAACCACAACAACAACAACAACAGGCAACACCAGTACCACCGCCATGACTACCAACAGTGGAAACAATAACCTCGATCAACCATCAACAAAATCGTCAAATATCAACAATCCACCGGCGGTAACAGCAACTCCACTCTCCAATAACAATAACAGCAAAGATAATAACAATGTCATCACTTCTGGATTAACAATTTCATCAGACGTTTTAACAACAAAATCATCATCGTCCTCAAATTAAATTCTCACAATTTAAGCAATTAAATGCAGATTCTCATGGATGTGTTGCTAAGTCATCCATTCTCATCCACCCGCCCTCCTCCTACTCATCCTCACATACACAAATACACACACACAAACACCATGTCTTTAACCCTCTTACCCACCCACCCGATTAAACTCAACAAATTTCTCTCTCTCTCTCTCTCTCTCTTGAATTTTTAAAAAAACTCTAGTCCTGTGAACAAAGAAACAAGTAATTAACTCGCCGAGCATAATTTTATCTTTGTGGATCAAAATTGACCTTTTTCCCGACTCTCCGCTCTCATCATCTTACTCTCATTGTCCCATCTCTTTGCGAGTGAACATTTTAATTCAAAAAAGTTGAACCAAAACTATTTTTCCCTCTTTAATCATCCTCATCATTTATCATCACTCTTTCATCATCCATTGTATTTAAATATTTCCTTGCAAATTGATTGGTTTTAACGAAAAAAAAGTTAACAATTGATAACAATTAACCAGAGACAAAGGGAAAAGGAAAACAAGTCAATTTAAAAACAATTATGTGTTATATTATTATTATTATTAATTATTAACTATTATTACTATTATTATAAATAAGTATAAATGTAATTCTTGCATAATTAAGGAAAACTAATTGTAATGAAAGGAAAAAAAAGAAAACACCAAATTAAAATAATTGTAATGAGAATGTGATTTTCTTGCTTGTGTTAACCGAATCGAGTCCGATATTTTAATTCGGATCATTTTGTATGAACGAAGAAATAAAATTCTGTTTTCAGTGAATTGATGATAAATTTAATTTGTTTCAATTGTTTTTCTTTCTCGATAATTAAATGAACATGAACATGATTAAGGTAAAAAAAAGATGAGAAATTTAAAATAAGAAGAAATAAGAAGAGATAAGTAAATAGATGATCTTAAAGAGTTAAAACTGATTCGATTTTGTCTGGATTAATGGTCACTGATTTGGTTGCGTTGTGAGTTTTGTAGATTCCCACTAATCGGTCAGCAAGTTCGTACATATTGTAACGCAGGGAGATGATTAGGAATTGAGTGTTTCGAGTACGTTGTTTGACAAAGTTACCCACGAGTGAGACATTTTTAAAATCTAAAGCGGCATCGATTTCATCCATAACGTATAAAGGTGAAGGTTTAAAGTGATGCACGGCAAAGATGAGCGCCAATGAGGAAAGTGTTTTCTCTCCACCCGATAGGTTGGCCATTCTTTTCCAGGTTTTCTTGTTCGGTCGAACGGTGAAATTAATTCCTTCCGAGAATGGATCTAGTGAGTCCATCCATTCAAGACCAGCATCACCACCCGAAGTTAATGCTCGATAAATTTCCTTCAATTTACGAGCGATAATCACAAATCCATCTTTAAACTCTTCGAAACGTTTAGCCTTCAATTGGTCCATTTTATCACGAATTTCATTTCGCTGCATGGTTACTTCTTCCAATTCTTTTACTCGCTCCACCCAAATTGCTTCTTTCTTTTTAAATTCCGTTATGGCCGCCATATTGGGCTTCATTCCAGCAAGAGTTTTCTTAATTGATTCAATTTCTTTCTCGATACTTTTTACATTCAAATCTGCCAAATCCTCTTCACTTAAAACAGGTAATTCAGCAGTTTCCTCGCCTTCAATTTCATTGATTTTTAATTCATTTATCTTAGCCTGCCAGTGGTCAACGGCTGATTGTTTTTCCTTAACGGCTTTTTCGTGGATTTCGAGCTCATTTTTGGCATCTAGATTTTCAGATTTTAATTTCCCTTCCTTGGCTCTTATTGCTGAAACTTTTTCCGTTTGTTCCTTATATTTTACTTCACATTGTTCCTTGGTGTCAAGAGCTGCTTTATACTTTTCAACGGCTTCAGTTGCTTCAGCTTCCAGTTCAGCCATTTGTTTCTTTGACTCTTCTATTAGCAACTTTGCATCTTCAATTTCTTGTTCGAGACTTTTAATCTTTTCTGTACATTTTTCAACATTTCGAGAGTTCATCTTTAAAGAGACATTGGCCTTTGTTATCGAGGTGGTTAGATCGGAGATTTTTTTATCTAAAGTTTCGACTTTCTTTCTCGCTGTACCAACTTTTTCATCGATTAATTTTTTCATAGCCTTATCGATTTCAACAACTTTTTCCTTGATAACCGCACATTGTTTATCCTTTTCATCGAAAATTTTGGACAGTTTATTCACTTTGGCCTCCATCTTTTGTACCTCTTTAGGATCAGAAGCAACTGATTTGACGACACCTTCAAGCTCTTTGATAACTTTTGCCAGTTCTTTCTGTGTATTAGCTGCTGATTGTAGATCCATCTCATACTTAGGTCGATTTCTTTTAATACTCTCTAATTGCTCTTTAGATTTATTGAAATCTGCCTGTATAAGGTCTCTCTGATTTCTCAACTGATGATACTGTTCCTCGAGAGATCGAACCTCCTCTTCCATGGCTGATACATCATCTTCACTGTATTCAGAAACGGCGATTGAGCTTCCCATTCTACCTTTTAATGGACGACCTCCACCAGTCATTGCTCCTGATGCTTCAACAAGCTCACCATTAAGAGTGACTACTCTCCATCTCTGTGAACCTCGAAGACCAATTCTAGTTGCTTGAGTCAAATCATCAGCAACCAGCGTATCCCTAATGGCATAGTAGAAAGCGGGTAAAACGGCTTCATCGTTCACCTGGATTAGGTCAAAAAGTCTTGGCACATTTTCTGGTGTATCAATTTCATAGAAATCACTGAATCGATTCATCTTATCAAGAGCAATAAATGTCGCTGTACCAATATTGTTTGCCTTTAAATACTCTGAACATTTAATAGCATTTTCCATTGTATCGGTGACGATATTATCCAAAGGACCACAAGCAGTTGAAATGGCGACATCATATTTCTTATCAATCGCACCAAGATCACCAAGTCGACCATAAACACCTCTTAATGTCCCATTTCTTTTTTGCTCCATAAGCGTATTTAAAACACGATTTCTAGATGAAGACGAGTTTAAATTGTGCCGAACTTCTTCCAATTTTTGTGTCTTTCTCTGTAAATTTTCTTCAATTTTAGTTCGATCAGTTTCAATTTTGGATAGCTCTTTTTCCAGTGATGATAATTTCTTTTCTAAATCAGGAACTTGACTTTCGAAATCTTTTAAAGCTTTTTCTTTCTCTTTAAAATCATTCTCGTTTCTCTCATATTTCATCTGCAATTGTTCCAACTTTGCCTTCTCGGTTTTCTCTCGACTCAAGTAAAGATCCAATTCAGATTGAGCCAACTCAAGGTTCGATCGAGCCTCATTAACACCAGCTTGAAGATCAAGTAAATCTTTTTCATATTTATCTTTCGACTCTTGTGATGCTTTGGTTTCAGATTTAATGAGTTCCATGGCCGATGAAAGTTGCTCATCTGCTTTAACTTTCTGCATCTCATAGTCACTTTTGTCTTCTTCAAATTGTCCAATCTCCTTTTCAAGCTTCTCGGGAAGAGCAGTTAAATCTTCAAGATTTTTCTTCTCCTTTTCAATATCAGTAACTAAACGTTTACTTTTAGTCTTTGTGTGTTTTATTTTATCTCGAATTTGAACATCTTTACGTTCAATCGTTTTGTAGGCTTCGTTATATTCTTCAGCTTGTTTGGTTGCCGAACTTAATTCTTCACTTAATTTCTTCATTCCATCTTCCAATTCGGTTCGTTGTTTCTTGAATTGTTCTGCTTTATCTTGAATCTCTTGGAAGATACTTTTTGCTCTTTCATATTCTTCCAGTACATCACTCATATTACCAACGGCATCGGCTTTACACAGTTGAAATTGTTTATTCCTTTCGCATGTTAAACTGTTCTCGATTTTCAAATACGAAACTGCTTCATTTTTGGCCTTTTCTAAACTGTCCTTCTCCTTTTGGATGGTTCTAACTCGGTTCATCTTTTCAGCACGAATCTCATTTTTAGCCTCTAATTTGGTTTGTAGTTGAGCGATAGGAGTTTTCAATCGATTACTTCCTATGATATCTTCAAGAAATTCTAACATGCCAGTGTCATTTTCACTTTCAGCTTTAGGTTTCATCAAAGCGATTTGTTCAACTTCTCCTTGTAAGATTAAAAATCTATTATATCTCAGGTCAATTCCAAACGATTGAAGTCTTTGGGATACATCTTTGAACTGGACAACTCGATCATCAATTTTGTAATATGAGTTATTATTTTTATGAACTGTCCTGCTTACGGTGAATTGTGATCCTTCAATTACAGTAAAATCATCACCTTCCTGAAACAAGAGAAACAAAAATAAATTAAATCATTTGAGATAAAAATGGAAATAAAAATTGTTTTAAATGTTAACTCACTTTATCTTCAATTAGAGTAAAGTGAACAATAACTGAGCAATAATCGAAATCAGGATAAGTGTCACTTTTATGGATAAGTGAGCTTAATTTTCTTAAACGTAATTTGGTAGCTCTGAAACCGAAAACAAACAGCATAGAATCAATTACATTTGATTTTCCACTACCATTAGGTCCAACAATTGCAGTAAAACTCTAATTAGATGATGAAGAAAAAAAATAATTGAACCATTAAGAGATTATATTAAATGATTGTTATGATGAAACAAAAGATCTCAAATTACTAAATGATTGGTTTGATCAATTAGAAAATCACTTACTTTATGAAATGGTCCTAATACTTGAAGACCAGCATAAGATTTAAAGTTAACATTTTCAATATTGGTGATAATTAATCTGGTTCCAGTTTCATCGCCTCTGTAATTAGGAAGAGGCGGCGGTGGGGGAATATAAATATCATCTAAATCTGTGAATAAAAAAAAGTAAGAAGGAAAAACAAAAATCAATTAGAAAAAAAGAGTTAACCAACATTGGATTCAACACCCAAGTACCAAACAATTAAAACCAAATAAGAGATGAAAAAGATTCTAATCAATTGAATCTGAGAATATTAAACATAATTAACAAATGAGAAAAAAAAACAAAAGTGAAAACCAATGTAACCAAAATGTAACAAAGTAACTCACAATATCCACCGGGCTCATTGTATAGATCCTCGTCCTGATCCATTTGGTCATCATTTCTCTCAGGCATGATGATGATGATTATTCGAATAGAGAAGAAACAAAAATGAAATAACAATTAAAAAAAAGAAAAGACAATTAACAATAAAGAAAATTAATCAAGTAAATTAGCGCGTAAATAAAAAGATGGAAACATAAACAAAAAAGAATAAATTTCAAATTCCAAAAGAAGCGCGACAAGAATTCGAAAAAGTGCTGCCATCTGTTGTTCTTTTCTCAACTATTTTGATAGAACAAAAAATTTGTTCTTCTCTTTTTTCTCTCTTCTTCCCCTTTTACTTGTCATTAGGTTGACAACAAATAGAAGTTCAATTTAAATGATTTACTTTTGTTTATTTTCACTTTTACTCTTAAATGTTTTGTGATTAAAGGCGAAAATTTAGTTAATTAAGATTAACCAAGTGTATCTATTAACATTTACATTGTCTTCTTTTTAATTTTCTATTTAATGTTTTACTCTATAAAATTGACTCTCTTCATTTCATTCACTCTATTTGCAAGGTAAGAGAAAAACCTATTTTTATACTTAGTCTCTTGTGTTGAAAGAGAAAATTGTTATTCTTTTTTGTTTTTTTTTTTTTCTCTTTCTCTCAAAATGAAACGAAAGTCAAAAGGAAAAAGTCAAAACAAATTAACTCTGTAAAAGAATTAATTACCTTGGTTATCAATTGATTTTAAATTAATTCCATTTCATTTATAGTCTTTCAATTTCTTACATTAATATTGTTGAAATAATTCACTCGCTATCATTAATTATTGAAGTAAATTCTTTTCTCTTTTTCTCTCTTTCTTTCTCTCTTTCTTTTTCTTACCTTCTTTCTTTATTCTTCTTCTCTCTTTCAATATCATCATATTAACTATTAAGCTTTTCACTCAATTTCTTCATTACCTTTTCGTATTGTTATATTGATACATTCAGGTAGAATTTGATTATTATTCCATCTTTTTTTCCACTATTATGTTTCAATCAATTTATTCTTCAATTATTCAGTTAGAAGTGTTTATTTTTCTCATTAACTAATTGACCAATTCATCTTTTTATTTGTTAAAGTTATTATTATTTTATTTTTCCATCTCTCGAACTTTTCCTTCTTGAAAAAATAATATCTCTACAGACTCCTAGTGATCTAAACTTCAGAAATATATATTAAGGTCGATCAAAGGGTTTGCACTTAATGTAATTTAAGAACATACATTTTGAAAACTAATTGAGCTTTAAGCTGAGAATTGACATAATTAGATTTATCATTTAATTTCCGTTATTTGTATGGACTTTATTGGTCTTTAGATCTAAACCCGTCAGCACTATGATTGTCCAAACTTTTCCTTCTAATTGCTGAGCATCTCTCTCTCTCTCTCTCTCTCTCTCTCTCTCTCTCTCTCTCTCTCTCTCACTCACTCACTCACTCACTCACTCTTTTCTTCTTTCTTTTCTTCCTTTCTATCAATTTTGATTATATTATCTTCTGTCTATTTATCTGTCTATACTCCTCAGTTAGATCTTCCTTCCTCTCTCTCCCTCTCCATCCTCATCTCTTTTTGGCTTCAAAATACAAACATCATTTATTTCCAGTAATTGCTCTTTTTCCTTAGAATGTTAAATATCATTAGAGCAATTACATTAGCCAATTCCATTCAAGTTTTTATTTGTATCTCTTAGCGATCATCATCATCAATGAGAAAATCTTATTTATACAAGTAAACAGCTAATATAATGATACAGTTTGACAATAACACATCACAACAGCAAGAACGATTAATTCCAATGATTTCTAATCAACTCCAATACTTGTTTTGTTAAATTTTCTAATTTAATTACATTTTCCCCCCGTTAATTGATTTCAATCAACTCCAGGATTGCGCTTGGTTAACAATTACATCGATCATATATGTCATTTGCTTTCAAAATGATTGCTCCAACAACAACCATTGAAACGGTCACTATTGTTAGACCTTTAAAGGTAAGACCATTTGTTTCTTATCCTTTCCCTTCAAATTAAAATCCCTTGACCATTGACAGACGGTATTGACCATAAACTACATCCCAATTCATTCTGTTCATTTTCTTCATATTGTTGTTATTATTATTTTGCGGTCGATAATCTTAGTTTCCTATTACTCAAAAGTCTAAACAATTACCTGATCCATGCACTAACTGTACTTCCTCATTCTCATCTATGCCTATTTTTTACTCTCTTCCTATTTTTATTCTGCTGTGTCCTCATTTATTAATATACGACTTCCTCATACATTTATTGACACTTTCTCTCTCCATCTCTCTCTCTCTCTTTATCCAGGTGATCGCATTCATATGTGGTATCATTGTGTTATTTTTAATGACATTATGCATCGGATCATCAAATTGGTTAACCTCAGAAAAGTATCGTCAAGGTTTATGGGAATATTGTATTGAAGAAGATGCTATTCAACCGTTGCCTTTCAATCTTAAAAATGGCCCTGGATGTTTTCCGGGCAGAGATGCCGGTGAGTTTTACTCATCTTCTTTACTCAGCATCAGATAATTTCTATTCCAATATATATCATATTATTTTTCTCTCCTCTGTGTTTGTGTTTCTTTGAATTGAACCTCCTTCTTCCTATGGCTATTTATCTAATATTTACATTACCCATTTAACTTTTCGAAAATCGTTTCAGATTAAAAGTTATTCCATAAAGATAATAATAATAATATTATTTTTCGAAAACAATAACACAAACAAAATCTATGTAATAATAATCCAAAAATAGATTAACAACAGAAGCTTAAAATTCCAGATGGTAAAATTTTCTCTTTATGATGTTGATGATCGAAAACATTGGAACATTTTTTGTTTTGTTCTTTTTCCAAATATTCACATCATAAATCATCATTTACTCTTTTCTCAGCCAGAATATAATAGTTACTACAAATTCTGATATATTTGTTTCATTTGGATGAAAAATTTTCTCTTCTTTTCAATGTCCTTCTCAATGATAGCCAAAAACTCTTCAGAAAAAAAGTTCCATAAGCTCTGGAAAAAGAGGAAAAAAATACATAAGCAATAATCGAATATACAAATTGTTTTTCCATTACCCTATCATCTTCATCCCCATTATTTGCTTTTTATCATCAACTAACTTTTAACTTTCTCTTTTTTTCATATTCTGATGATTATGATAATATTTTGAAATTCTTGTTTCGTATGTACCATTAGACAAATATAAGAGTCAAATATATTTTATATACACTTGGAAATTTTATTCATACACTTAAAAGAAACTATTCTTTTCATGATCATCTTCATAATCATGAACATAATCACCATTATTATGAACTTCATCCTTTTCTCTCTCTCTCTCTCTCTCTCTCTCTACATAACTTTCCCAATTTACAAGAATAAATTTTTTTCTCTTTTTTCCATCCTAATTCTCTATTCTATTTTACCTGATATTCTGTCATAGCCTTTATTCATCCTTGACACGATGTTTTATTCTCATGGCTGAATTTCATTCATCTGGTTCATTGTTTAAATTTTTTTTTCTCTCTCTCTTCATTGTAAAATCTTTCAGGTTACATCAAATTAGCTGGAATACTTTGCTGCTTCGGTTTGGGATTTGATTTTTTTGCAACCATCATGACTGGATTTGGCCTTAGCAGTAAAGACCCAAGGAAAAAATATACTCTCTATCGATTTGCTTTATATATCATGGTTGCTGCATGTGAGTGTTTCCATCTTATCACCATTTTCCATCATCAACTTCATCTCCCTCACCCATAACAATAGCAAGTTTAAAAAAAATAATTTGATCTTCAAGAAGAAAAAACTGAACAAAGAAGTGAATTGTTTTTCAGGGTGAAAAATAAGAAAGATAAAAGAAAGGGTAGAAAGAAAGAGTTTTCTTTTAAATGTATGATTACAATTACGTAGTCCAAATCAAGTCCATTCTCCTCAAAAAACCGGTCTTAACTCAATATTCTCATGTACAGATCGTTTGAACGTTTTTCGATTCTTGATTAGAATCAGAATTGATTATAAAGAATGAATGTTTTTATTCAAGTTACTTGTGAATTTCGTTTTGAATTGTAATTGTAATTTTTTCTTTCATTTTTCTTACAGTTGTTGTTATACTAATTGCCTTGGTGGTTTACCCTGCTTACTTTGCGGCTGAATTTAACGAGAGTAATCGTCAAGTATGGGAACTTGGCTGGGCCTATGGTGTAGGCTGGGGAGCAGCCATATTTTTACTTGGAGCCATATTGTTATTACTCTGTGACAAAGAGACGGAAGAAATTTACTATAAAGAAAGGACGATTGTACATACACAGACAAACGGAGGGGGTGACCTGAAAGCCTAACATCAAAAATCAAACGAAATATCAATTGACGTAGCTTAAAAGCCCTGAAAAAAGGAAACTATATACTGTATTATATGCATGAATGATGAGTGATGAGCCAATTTCAATAATCAATTACAAATTTTTAACTGTTAGAAATTAATTTTTGTTGATAATGTGATCAGAATGTTTGGTTTTCACTTCAATCTTCACCTTATTCTGAAACTATTACGATAATAGAGTTAGCATTTTCTAACAGAGACAAAATTTTCAAAGTTATCGAAACATAAAATATTTGTTTTAATCAATATCAAAATCATTAAGGATCATATTAATCGATTTAATGATCTAAACTATACCAAACAATTGACAAAAATAATTTCTAACCATTTAAGTTATAATCATTTATAATTGAAATTGACTCTAACTTAGCTCTCATTCATTGTATATAATTAAATTGTAAAGATAATACTAAACTCCTACAGTAGACACTCAACAAACGAATCAAAAACCAAAAAGACAATTACTATTTACTATTAATTGATTTCTTCCTAAAATCTTAATTTCTCATTCAGATTTACACCGTGATCAAGAATACAAGTCCAACTATTTTTCCAAATTTTTTCATTATCAAAGGAAAATTCATCATAACAGCTAAGACAATGGAGATTTTGGAACTTTGGACGAATTTCTCAAAGTCTCTCTTCTTTCATCTTATATCGTCGAAACATTTCGACGATGATGCAAAAATTTGAAAAAAAGTTCGTCCCGTACTTAAGATCACGGTGTAGATCAGCTGATATCTTTCTCTCCCTGTCAATCTCATTCTCACTAATCTCATAATCTTTTGGTCTATTTATTGACTTTTAAATCAAATACTTAAACAAAAAATCATCTTCACAATCCATATCCATGACATATACGACAATGATAAGATCTATGAGAAACTGAGTACAATTAATTAATTGATTGTGATCATAATCGAATGTTTTCTTCTCTCTCTCTCTCTTTCACTTTCTCCCTAAATTTGTGTTCCTTTTTTATCAAAATAATTAATTTTTTTAAAACAATTCAATGCATTTTGAAAGCTTTTAATTCTTGCCTAACAATTCAAAATACACGAAAAACAATTAAAAAAAAGATGAAAACAAAAAAGTAAATAAACTTTTTTCTCCAATTAATCTAACAATAAGAATTATAATTCTTAATCTTAATCTGATTGTAATAATAATATCATGAAATCAATGAACTCAACAAAGGAAAAGTAATTAATTTTTTAACCAGATTAATTGATGAACACTTCTAATCGCCTTAATTGTGTAACTCACATACTAATTGTGATTACATGACTGATCATTTACAAGGTTAATCTTAATCTTTAATTCACTGCTAGGGTGTAACTTACAATCGTCATCAGAAATCAAACTTTTGATCATCTTACAATTAAACAAATGGCATTGGAATTATGATAATTAATACTAATCATTAAGAAACTAAATCAACATTTAGTCATCAAAGTGAAAACAAATTAGTGATCAACATTTAAATCCATCACAAAAATGTCCACCCTTTTATCCTTCTATCCTATTGAATTCCAAATAAATATAAATTGCAACAGTTAAATAGAGAAAATCAATTAATTGTGATTATCTGGTCATGGAAAAATGTTCACAATTATAACAATTAAAAAGAGAAAAAAAAGTGAAATTTAAATTTGGCGCTTTTCGATTTTGGAATTAGTAGCGACATCTAAGGGCAAATGTTTGCTCTTCTTCATTTGGTTTGTTTATTGTTCTTATAGATTTTCATTCATTGAGTTGTTTTTGTTTTTCTCTTTAATTTCTGTTTGATTTAAAGTGAATTTATTTGGCTTATTGAGACTGTTTATCTTTTCTTTTCTGCTAATTGAATAATTGAATTATATTCTATTCTCATCAATAAATTAATGATCAATTGGATAATTATTTCTATTACATGGGGTCAAGATGTTTTCCCTGCGGAAATGGTTCGCTGCTAAAATGTTTGCTCAACAAGCTGTTCTAAACAGTGATAATAACAATCAACGTAATGGTAACTTTAGACGACTATTTGGTAACCATTTTAATCAGGCCAATGGAAACAATCAATCTTTTCTTCCACCACAAGATACCTTATTACGATTTTATTTTGCTGATGAAGAATTAAATCTGGTTGCCTCGGAATTGGACTCTTTTGATGGTCGTAGAGATCCTGTTCGATGTACCAATCTAGTTAATCGATTGAGGTCAGTTTTTCTTTAGCCACCACCACAATTTAGTGTTTCAATTTACCGTTTTATTCAAAATTCAGTTGTTCTTTTCTCTCTCTAATCTTGACCATCTTTCAATTCTCATTCTCATCATTAATAATTTCGACTTTTCTTTGACATCAAATTTTCTCTACCGCCATTATAATCATTTCTTTATCATTCACCATTTCTTAATTTTCCTGATTTTTCTTTCTCTTTCTTTCTTTCTCTTCTCTTTACTTACCTTGTTTACACCTTAATTATCTAGAATAACTATGTATATATCCCCTGATTACTAATTTTATTCAGTATTTTCTCATCCACCTTGTCTTACCTTTTCTTGTATCTCTCTTTCTCTCTCTCTCTTTCTCATTCTTTCAACATCACAGATCATCTCAAGATAAAGTGATAACCATATTATTCCGTCTAATGGATGAATGGAATTGTGAAAGAGCATCCAGAGATTATCGTATGAAATTTCCAGATGATTTATTAGCTGGTAACGAGAATGGTGAATCATTAAATGGTCAAATATGGTTCGGTGCTGAGTGTTTGGCTGCTGGTTCCAATATAATGAATCACGAACCTGAATCAGACGCTTTAAGGCCAATCGCTAAAATGTTAACAGTTAAAATTGACCAACTTCGATTAGAGCTTAGGCATTGCTGTTCAGATATCGATGACAAGTAAATTTTTAACTCAATTAATTTCTTACCCTTTTCCTTTTCTCATCAATTTTCATAGTCACACAATCAGCTAACTTATCCCAAAAAAGGCAAACCAAACCCTATCTAATTAGCTATCTCTTTTGTTGATTTGTCCTTTACAAATTAACTTGTAATGTTTCAATTTTCTGTCGATTCATTTATTGTTTTAATTGGATTTATTATCCACACCAATAATTTATTATCTCTTCAGTTTTTCTAATCACAATTAACCTTTTTCTTTCTCCTTTCCTTTTCCCTTTCTCTTTCCATATCAATATCTTCAATTACAATCAACTAAAACAAAACAACAAAAAACTGGTAATTGTTTATAGTTTTATGATACACAAGGATCGCATTGGTTTGGATTTAATGTTTAAATTGCAACAATTAGACAGGATATTCGCCAATTTTGAATATGAATATGTAAAGGCCATGATACCGATAAAAACCGTTAAGGAAATTGAACAACAACAAGATCTAATGGTGCTGTTTAGTGAAAGTGTACAAATTGCTCTTAAAAGAGGATTGATATCTCAAGATGAATTCGATGAATGTGAACCAACTGTGATTATCAACATACCCCGACTGGCCATAATTCATGGTCTATTACGTTGTGGTCAGGAGAGTCCGATTCTTAAGAGAGACAAAATTCAATTATCTCCCGTTTTTAAGCCTTTTCACTCGTAAGTGTTGACCCTCATTTCTTACTCCACATTTTACTGGACATCAACACATTAGCTAATTGAATTAACGGCAACAATTACTAATCAAATAAGAGTTTTAATCACTTAATTGACCGTAATCATCATGATTAGTGTGTCAATGTAACCCTTTCACTTTCATCATGATGACGGAACAAAAAAAAATATAAATTTATATCAACAATTTAGTCTGAAAAGTTGATCAGAAAATCAATTTCTGAGTTTAATCTTTTTTTGAGTCTTTATTACTTTTATTTTTTCTCATTCTCTCTCTCTCACTCTTCATCTAATGAGTATCTTCATCCGAAAGTAATCTTAATTCAATTTCAATCGTGTATTTCTGAAGGGAAATCCCGATTCAATCTTAATTTTTTTCTCTATTCTCTTGTTGTCTCAACCGTTAAACTTGCCACGCTAAAGAGTGAATCAATTTGTCGATATATAAAAAACTGAATCGACGATGAAAAATCTTGAAAGAGAAAAAGAGAGATGATGATAAGAAATTCATTGTACTGAATTGCGATCAAGTTAATTGTTGATGTTTTCAGTTCCAGGATTACCTCAGGTTTCGAGTATGACGATCGAGAGGAGGGAGTTAAAGGTGTAACAAAATGTGATACAAATACAATTCTCTCTCTCTCTCTCATCTAGTCTTTCGTTTTCTCTTTCTAATCATTCATCTATCATCATAACCCTCTTTCTTTTCATCATTTAATTTTTTCTTCACTAAATTTCATCTAATATAACAGTTATTTCAATTATATTCTTGCATCATTTTTTCTTCTCTTCACCAACCATTGATTCAGTTTTATATTTATACAATTATCATCACAACTATTATTATATTTGATATATTTTTTTTCTCATTTTAAAATAGTTTCTTAATCGAATAAGGAAAGCATGGCTTTTTTTTGTTCTTTTCTAACACTTCGTACCATCACATGTCAATGAAACAACATTCAGGAATCGAATCTTTTTTTTTTACTTTTCAGGTACTAATAATATGTTCGTTGTGTGTTTCTCAATTTTCACGGTGATTCAATATTCGCAATCATTATCAGTTGATAGAATTTCAGATCAATGCATATCCTTAAATGTTTTACGATTATTTGGAAATACTCATTATTATTATTGTTAATTCTTGCAATTCATTCATATATACAGACACTCACACATAAAATGTACCAACAGAAAAAAACAGGTAAATTCGACAGGTTTATATGCGTGCTGGTTTCTCAGGGACGATTGTATCAAGTTTATCCATGCTTTTCCAACCATTTCCTCCTACCTTTTAATTACGATTGGTTTAACGGAAGAGAAGGTCAACTTGATTCTCTTAACGATCTCTCTCTCTCTCTCTCTCTCTCTCTCTCTGCTTTAACCACGATCTTGTTAGTCCTAAACTGTGAAGATGAGGATAAAGATGATGAAGTTTAAAACAGTAAAGAGTAATGGGCGTTGTAATAGCCACTCATTTCAATCTCTCTTTTTGAAGAAAATCAAATTGTTCTAATTTATTTGTTTATTTTTGTCCATTCAATTCAATCTATTGAATAATTTTCTTTACTCTTTCTATTCACTCTAATTGCCACTGAATTTCAGACTTAATCATAAAGTTGATTGAATAATATCAAGACCTTTTGAATCAACCTACCTGCACAAACACTAAATTGTAACCGTTTGCTTGATTGCTTTACTTTTCTTTTGATTTCTTTGTAAATGTAATTATCATTAACCATTACAACTAGTATCTTGATTTATTCATCATCATCATGCAATAATATCATGTGATGTGTATTACATTTAATTGAACTTGAAAGTTTACCTGGATTTACGTTGCACATGATGAACATTTTTGCTCAGTTCTGTTGCAATATTGTTTAGTATCGGGTTTCATTTTTTTTCTTGTTAATTGTTACTCATTTACTTTTCTCTCATATCTATTCATCCTGACGGTGTCATGAAGTTTTCAGACCAATAAGAACTTGGAGAGAGAAACAAAACTTTGCCTGAGAAATGATTAAATCTCAGAACACAAAAACGGAACCGTTATCACAATTAACATCCGTTTGTAATTTTATTGTCACATTGTTTCTGTAGTAACTGATTGCCTTTTTTTGTAATGTATTTGAATAGGTAAAGGAAATGAATGAAAATTTCATCTCAATCTGAATCTTGAATTGAATTTGATTCAGGTTAACAATAATTGTTACTACTAATTGTTGACAATTTACTTACATGATGCATATTCAACAAACGGAAAGACATGGTCTGTGATTTGTTGTTTATTGTTATTTACTCTTGAGTTAATTTATTGATAGTTTTTTTTCACATTATTATTAATTAATTGATTTCTATCTGGGCAAAGTTTTTGTTGTAAATCAATTTTTTTACTATCATTAACTTGATTAATGTTCACTATTATATTTATAAATACAATATCTTTCCGTTTCTCTTGTCATGTGCTCAGATAATTCAATGTCAACAACTGTTGATATGTTTCATGATAATTTGTATATAAAGAGTAATAGTTGATTGTGAACATTAGCATTTAACTAAATCATTGATATACCTTTAATTTAGTTTTAATCTGTAATCATAATTAGTTATCAATATTAATTATCTTTTGATTATTATTTTTGAGGTTTATGTTTTTTTTATTATACTTCGTTACTATTGGTTTCTTGATTGTAATGTTGCAATAATTAGCATGTTTTAATTGTTAATTGTTAAAAGATAGTTTTAACTGATTAAATCTACATTTGATGATCTAAATTGATTAAATTTCCAATCATTCATTTCTAGTAATCATATTAAATGATACTGAATGTCATGTGTTGATTGATGCATCATTGTCAGTCTACTAATTAGTTTGTTTAAATTTTGTGTTACAATTATCTCTCTATCTATTAATTAATTGAATGGTAATGATAAAATTCATAATCAAATATGAAATAATCTTCAGGTTATTGTTTCGTTACTGTGAACATTTCATATGATGAATGGGAAATAAAGTTTGCAAACTCAAAAATAAAACCTACGTAAATGTTGATTGTTTCAAGTTGATTAACCTCTGGTAACTTAATTTCTGAGACTCACCCTATTCCTGATTAGTTGATTTCCTCTTTGTCACTATTTCCATCATCATGATGCAACTAAATGCTTCCATCAGCTTATTTAGTATCTCTCTCTCTCTCTCTCTCTCTCTCTGCTCTTCCATTCACTCATGAACATCCCTTTGAAATCAGGAAGAGAAAGACTGATTTGCATGAAAGGTAAAGTTGACATTGTCTCTATGATAGTAATTTTATTATTATTATATTTAAAATTTAAGATGATGATGAAAATACACATATGATGATCAGTCAATGCACTCAAAAAGTCATCATTCATTATTTTTCTCAATTTATTATTGTATGAATGATTTTTTTTACCTCTTCCTCCTCCAACTCATTCATCTGATTGTATTGCCATCATTTCAATATAAACAATAATAATTTTCCCCTTTTACTTGATAATATCTCAACTATGTAAACATTAACACTTAACCTTCATCCTGAACATTTGAATGAACACTTAAAACTACCTGGAAATTAAATTCTTTCTCTTGATAGTTGAAGGATTTTCTTTCATGATTGGTAAGATTAAATATCATACCCTTGAACCCGTAACGCTATTTACTGTTAGATCTCAATCATTATTAAATTTTGCTCTTTTCCTAAATAATAATAATGATAATATGATAATAATAATGGTTTTCATATAAGATTATAATGATAGTTTTGTATTAGGCTGATTGAAATCCTTTCCTTTTGACTGGATTAACAAGAAACCGTTACTTTTTCATTTGATGTCATCATGATTGTCATTGAAAATGGATAAAGGATTAACATTGGAAAGTTAAAAGTTTTTAATTTTTCCAAAGTAGTATTGATCTGATTTATTGATTTTCCAAGTAAATTACCAATTTTTGTTTTCTTCTCATTTTAATCACTTTATAATCAAACTAAACACTGTATTAGTTGGGAACCATCATCATTATCAATTGTATCTTTGATTGTTGATTATTTTCACTAATCAGTTTGATGACCTCTTGTTTTATTTTTACTATTTAATGATTAGTTAATTTTTTTTTCTCTTCGTTGCTTCATCTTTCATTCATTCAAATGATTCCAATTTATATTTACAATCCAATCATCATCTTATTTAATCAACAGCCTAAAACTTATCAACTAGTTTACAATCATCAAGCTGAACAATTTACTCTTAATTTGACACATTTGATTAACCTTTTGAGAGAGAGAGAGAGAGAGGTCATTAACAATTAAGATTATTGTTTCAACCTATTCTCAGGCTTATATATTAATAGTAACATGATTGTTACAATATCAGCATAAATATTAACCATGATTAAATACCACTAATTACAATCAATTTACTCATGTATATATCTAAGATATTAACCAATTTCTTTTCTTAAAGCTTAATTGTTAATCAACATTAACCACAAATAATCATAAGAATCATCTAATAGTACACCAATGTTGCTATAATTAATTTGCATCATCTCAAGTTAGATTTGTAATCGTCATAGACTCACTCTAATTGCACTGTATCCAATAATCAATACAATCGTCATGTACGTCAGCAGTTAGTAAATTGTTTGTATGATAAAGGCAAGAATTAACAAGAGAAACAAACTTATCTTAACATTAAACTAATAATTGAATATATAATCCAAACTCTTTGACGTTTTCTCGCTCTCCACTATGTTAAACTTAATCATAATCCTTACAGAATATCAATGGATAAAAAATTCACGAATTAACAATTCTTACCTTGAACCTTAATCACAATTATCTTGGTCAATATAATTTCAACCAATTTAAATTACAAGTATTACATGATTACATCTCTTTCTTGTCCATCAGACAATTTTGATAACTAATCATATTGTTAGTAATCAATTGATTGGAATTATATTTAAAAATCATGATTTTCAATTTCTCACCAATTTGATGATTTATATTTAGTCTCGTTCATGATCATTCAAAAAGCCTATGACAAGAAACTCTTATGTATCTTTAATCGTTTCAATGGTAGTTGATTAAATTGTCGATGGTACTTGACATTATTCTTGATTATTATTATTATTATGATGAATTAAATATAATAAGTGAATGTAATTTAAAAACTAGATCCAGTTAATTGCATTAATCATAAATCAACCTTGTACCCATATTTACAGGGTAAACTTTTCGATATATATTTAGATTATATCAAGATGTATATTTATAATTTTCACCATGAAATCCATTATTCATTTATTACCCTGATTTTGTATACTGGATAAATAATCATGTATCATGAATTTTACCTTTTACTTTTCAGTAAATTATTTATATACAATGTATTAGAAATAAGCTTCAAATAAGCTAATGTTTATCTCTGTATTTGGTAATTACTCTCAACATGATGATGATCCAAATGCTGAGTTGAAACAGATACTATATGGTAGATGACTTGTTAGTTTACACTTTTCCTTGTTTCATAAATAGATGATGATGATGATGATGAATAAGCTGATGATGAGGATGAAGATGATAATCAGAATCAGTTAATTTGTTTTCATCAACTTTTTTTTTCTCACCTTCCACCTTATATATTTACCATGTTAATCCCAATAACCAACTGGTTGTTAATCAACTGAAGTCTTAATTCCCAATATTTTTCAACTCTTATTCTTGATAATCATCTTAATAATCAAGTTTACAGCTTTTGATTACTATTTCAATCATAACCGGATTAGTGATTTATGATTACCTGTATTTAGTTTGATCACGTTTTTTTTTCTCAATCAATTGTTATTTGTACATTTTACCATCACGAATGTTTGTAGATTTTACGACCAACACAAAATTGATCGAAATTGGTTCGATCTGTTTCGAATAATCATCTGATTATTTGACATCTAAATCAAAGTAAATTGTCACAAAACAATTACGATTGAAATTGTCTTCCTAATGAGACATTTGTAAATCACTTGAAAAACACGATAATTGGTCTAATAACCACTTACAAACTGGTAACCTCTTTATTCAGTTAATACCGGTAACAGTTAATTGGAACACTAATCACAATCAACAGTTTTTTTTTTCAACGCCTTACCTAACGATAGATCAGCTTTTGTAGACTTCAATGTTAACATAATTTGATTGTAAATAGCTGTAAATGACTATCCTTTCAAATCGTTGATTGGTAATTGTTGCTGTGATTGATTTGATTTCCATAATATTGATTTTATTTGTTGTTGTTGTTGTTGTCTAACATAACCAACTAATCGTTATTGTTTTCCATTAAATTTGATTATATTCATTCAGGAGACTTTATCGGATTCATTCACTTCTTCAATCGCTGCGACCTGTTGAGATTGAATTACTTGAGAAACTTTTGATTAACAAAGATAGTGAAATATCTGCTATGGAATCACTTGCCTGGTTCAAAGGATTGGAATTGATTGGTGATCATCATCTATCCCAACGGCGCTATTCTGATCCTGGAATTGTTGATCAAGCATCAGGCTGGGTAGCGGGTGATGAAGATGATGATGATGATGATTATCAAGGTAACGGTGGTGATAACAGTAATTATATAAATAACGTCAGTTGTAGCAGTAGTAAAAACCATTCTGGTAATAGGCCACCATTGAAAAAATGTTTTTCCTCGATATCATTAATGTATGTTCTCACTAAACCCGATTCGAAAGAATGTGAAAACTATTCTACAAATGAACGACCTTTCTGTGACGATAATGATAGCCTTGCATCGAATGCTACAACAACAACTAACTCAACTGTCGACTCATTTGAGATTGCATTGGCTATCGGTGCCAAACATTCCAAATACGTTTCTCCAGGTTCGAAAGAACTTCTTCATAATCTTTTTGTATCTATCGCCGGTAAGAATAAGTGTCCAAAGTTTCGAGAGAAAATGAAACTTTCGCTCTCCATTTAGATTATTATTAATAATATTGTTGTCTTTTTCCCTTTCTCTCAGGTATTGCTGATCAATTGCAGACAAATTATGCCAGTGAACTACGAACTATCCTTCAAAATGTATATAATCTTCACTGTTCCAATTCAGATGACAATGATGAGGATTCAGGTAGCGTTGAGGAAGCTTTGGAAGCTCAAGAAGACTCAGAAGATATAACGTCCGCTTCATCATCAAACGCAACCTCACCCTCAGAGGCAGCCAGTATAAGCTTCCCAGGAAGCTTAATTGTTAATAATAATAGTAATCCAACCAATGACTTTGTTATAAATGGTGATGGTGGTGGAAGTGCAAGTCACTCTACTTCTAATGTTAATACTAATCAACAACAACAACAAAATCATCATCACCATCACCATCATCATAATAACCATAATTCATCATCAACCTCAACCGAATCAACAACAAATAATGCAAGTCAACAGTCTACACAAGTTTTGATTCCACCCATATGGGTACCCGATGAAATGGTCTCCGAATGTACTTCATGTTGCTCCCAATTTACTTTAATACGTCGTCGGCACCATTGTCGCAACTGTGGTGGTATATACTGTAATAACTGCTGTAGTAATTTTGTCCCATTAGTTCACTATGGTTTCGATAAACCAGTTCGAGTCTGTAATATTTGTTTCGTCTCCTTGCAATAATACATAATAACCTTTTCCACTGTCCACCCTCTCTATCAACTGCTGCCTTGTATCATACAAAACCACCACCAACAACAAAACAACAACAACTAATCATCAAGAATGATAATCATTATCTGTTCTATACGATTAACAAGCCAAGGATAAACCCGATTAAGATGGAGAACCAGAATAATCAGAAAAAAAAACACCAAGAAAGAAAAACGATTCTGATCTTAGTCCATTCTCTCTCCACCTTGGAAACAAAATGAAAATCCTTGTCCTCCTCTGTCAATCCTCCTCATGGATAAAAAAAAAATAATTAATTTTCCAATCACTTGTTGTAAAATTGTTGATTGTTGATTATACATATTGAAAATACTGTTGTTAACAATTGAACAGCAACAAAATTTGATTAATCAACTTTCATCCTAAATTGTGAAACAATCCTTATCCTAAACAACAACAACAACAAAGTCCAGTTAATCAATCACTCTGATTATGATGAAAACTCAAACTAACTAACCAGTTTATCATTGTAATGACAATTATGTTTTCACCAGATATATATATATATAAAAATTAAGATACAATCAAAATCACTTAAATTGTTTTAAAGTTTGAATCTTTAATTGTAATGAAATGAGAATACAATATCTCTTTCAGGGGATGATCAACCAATCTAATGATTAGCGTTTGTTTCATTGACCACTGAGTTAATTACTGCCATACATGATTCCCAATAAGTGTCCAATAGATTTGCAATTATCCAATTCATTGGTGCATCTTTGCTCACTATCGGCGGAAGTGTGTCACAAATTGACTCGTCCAATGGACACGGAGAATTGACCTGTTTCACCTTGATGAAAACATGAGAGAAGATGATTGTTTGATTATCACTTGAATAAAGGAAATAGGGTTCAGATAAATCCAATGATTGTTCATCATTCAGGATTGATGAGGTTAAATTGTTTTCCACTGAGAACGATTTATGACAAGAATCAACTAGACGATTAACACTCGGCGGATTAACAACATTGTCGCTCAGTCCATTGGTTAAAGATGAGAAAAAGTTTTTAATTCTGTCAACAGTAATCAACGGAATTGATAAAACAAATGGTTTACCTAGAAAAGAAAATGAAATCACAATTAAAGTTAATTGTTTGAAAAAATTAACGTTGACATTTAAAAATGGTTTTCCGTTGGTTCAATGAACATCTAATTAGACCAATAAGGTTGATTAATTGTATTTAATCAACTTTATTGTGGTTTTATTTTCATTATAATGATTAACCCAAATTTGTATTGATTTAAAAAGTTAACTTGTATTTATTTACCTTGAACAATTTGGATCTGATTGTTTGTGATGAGAATGATTGATAAAAATAAAATGGAACAATTAATTGCTGATAAAATCTTAATCATTGCTGTTTTAATTGTTGGTTTACTTTTCCCACTGGTGGTAATGTTGATTGCGATCACTTTCAGTTCAAAATTAACTGTTAGTTAATTATAGCATTGTTATTGTTTAAATAAATGGGATCTGTTTGAATTCAACATTTGGTTAACTTAATTGTCAACTGTTAACTTTTTTTCTGCCACTTGTTGATTTTTTTAGTACTAATTTATGCTGATTAACTAATTAATTATCACTAATTGTTTGCTAACATACATTGGATAATATTTGAACGATCGACACTGAAGAAGATGATGATTCAATTTTAGACTAATCAACGTGGAAAATCATAAAGGTAATCAATTAATCAATGGTTAGTTAATATCTTCCTTCCTGGAATTGTTGTAAAAACAATTTGAAAACTCAATGGGAAAACAAATCAACTGATGATCACAGTTGATTTTAACACAGCAATAATCAACTAATTAACGATTCGATATAATGATCAGTTGGTGATTGAGGTTGAGGATTTGGGTTAATTGTTAACTCCATGGGAAATTAACACTCGACTAAAACAATCATTTTCTCCAGGTTTTAAATAAGATCTTAATTTCCTGACAACTTATAATTAGAATATTAAATTGAAATCTTTAACTTCATCACAATCAAGTAAATGAGTTATTGGTGACAATGATTATATCTAATTGTAATATCGTTTAAGTTTCATGACCGGGATCATTTTACTGACAATATTATTGTTTCAGTGATCATATATTAATAATCACGAGTGATTATCTTTTAATTCAATAATCAATCAATTTCCATGTTTAAATGGTTGTTCATATACTCACTTTCTTACGTTTCTTAAACAGAGAAATAAGTTTATCACATTATATCACTTTACTATTATTTATTTCATAATTTTCTACACACCCTGTAGGCAAACTTTCAAGGTACAATAGACACTTAATTAAGTTAGTAATAATTAGCAAGGTTTGGAAATTGTTATTTTAACCACAGTCTTGAGTTACGTTCGCGAGATAGGTCACTCCGTTGGTCGCAAGTAGACTGGTCAGCCTACTAACTGTTTTGCCATCTAAAGTACTTTCTCTTGATAAAATGAATCCAGAAACTGCCAAAAAAAATGTACCAAAGTTGAGGAAATTAATGATACCGTTTTCAGAATTTTTTATTTGAGAATCGGAATATTCAATAATTATGAAAAATTATGAATAGAGAGCTGAAAGTCTCAAATATTATTAAAAAATAATAGATGATAAGATAATTTTTTCGTATTTCATTAATTCTGATCATTTCCATAAAACGTCATTTTCTTACTTGAGTGAAAGAGGCGGAGGATATCTGTACATGAAACTACCACGGAATAAGTTTCATAATCAGAATCAAGAACCAAATAGGGTATGGCTGGACCTCCTAATGAATAAATGTATTAAAGAGGATAGTTAATTACAATTAAATTCAACGTTCACACAAAACATGAGAGTCTTACCAGGGAATCGTTTTACAAGCCAGATATCGGGTCTGTTGTTGTCAGGCACGGTAGCAGTTTGGTCAGTAGAAATTACTTCACCACTTTATCAAAGTAAAGTAATCAGATGAATTATAATGATTAATTTCGTCGTAGACTACAATTGGCTCACCTTGCGTTGTCGATAGCACGATTTTGTATGCTGATATAACTTCCACGATCTTCGTAAGTTTGGGTAGAGCATCTTGTATTCCTTTGGAATATATCATCACTTCTTCTGATTTCGAACCATTTTCCAACGTACCTTGAAATATCCAGATCAGATTTTCCATTCATAACTGGACAACCACCAAATACAAAGTACAAACTGGACTCCAAGCACTTGATAAGAAACAGAATGATTAGAGTCAACGTAATGGACAATTTCATTGTTATTATTTATAGCATAGATAACTTTATAAACAATTCTACTCGAAATTATTACAATTGGATGTTAATTCTTAGTCTTTAACTCAAATGTTTAAATTGTTTAGAAATTTACTTTCACCTTTATTACCTGGATATATTTTTCTAAAGCGAAGGTGCTTTAGATATCCAATCAAATGTCAAATGTTCATCCAATTTAACATTCATTACTGAATCAATTTGAAAGCTTCCATGTTATCTGACTTGATTGGAAACTTGTTCAGCTGTAGTAAATTTGTTTACCTATTAAAGGTTAACAAAAGCTCCATCGTCAATCTTAACACTTTTATACAATCTCTTCAATTAACTTGAAGTCTATGTATAAAAAAACTAATCCAAATAGCGATGAAATTTCAATGGACTCAGATTAGCCTTTGAAGTTATTGATACAAATAATTAGTTAATTAACTATCTAAAAGGTATAAGCAAGTGATAGCCCAAAGATATTGACCAAAGACCTATTTGGAATTAAACTTAATTGTGATTATCTTTTGATTATCAATTTGTTTACCTTAAATAAGTAAACAAATCATCAGTAGATTTTATCAATAATTCATTGATATTGAATAATCAATGATGGGAAAAAGTGATTAGTTGAATAGTCGAGTCAATTGTTAAAATGGTAGCAGGCGTTAATTAATCAGTTGATTTAATTAACAAATCAAATGTTCCAACGTTTTTGTTTGGTTTTATTGAGACGTTAATTATGAATCTCAATAAAAAAAAGGCTTAATCATTAAGTGTAAAAATTGGTTAACTTTATTGTTTCTGTGCAATTTCAAGTAATAGCCAACGATGTTATCACTAATTGTGCCAATTGTTTTGCTCCTAAATATTGATAGTAACAATTTAATTCAAGGTAAACATAATCAATAGTTAATTCTAGAAATTTGATTGCCCAGTGCAAATTATTAATACTTTTGATTATCAACAGGTTATTTACTTGACTTTCCAATGGACTCAATTCAACCAATCAACGAAAATGTTTCAATCTTATCAACCTTATCTGATCTGGTAATTAAGATTATATTTAATTTAACAAACAACATTAATATTTACATGATTAACTGTAAGATTGCTGATTTGTTTGTTAATTTGTTACAGTCAACACAAGAAACGTGGACAATCAAGGAGACCTTAATTGTTAAGCCGAAAGTTCATGGAAAGATTGAAATTACTCATAAAAACTACCAAATTCAAGTTTTTTATCATGAAAATGATGATCAGATCAGATTAGTTTTCCATGGTAAGAGAAGTAAATCTTTAAGATCAAGATAATTAACTAATTAACTGTTTACTTTTCTCTGTGTAAAGATAATGAATGTTACGAACTGAAATATACACCAAATGGATGGAGCTCAATGATTCCAACGGTAACAAACCCGCTTCTCAATATGGCCTTACTTATGGGTCCATCTTTTTACTATCGTATTGTGGGTCGGACCAATGAGTATGTAAGCTATTAAAATACTTTTTAAAAGTAAATCTTTAATATTCATCATGGAAATTGCAGCGATCTGAATCAAATGTTTATCTTCGAGGAAAAGAGATGAAGAGTATTCAGCTAAAGGCTCACGAAGATTTTCAAGTTTCGTTTATTTTTCCAGGTAAAGAAAAGAAATCAAAGTTAATTATTAGTTAGCAGTTTCCATTTTTTTCTTAATTTAAAATTAGTCGAAATGGATTCATTGGTTGGTATAAGAGAACCTATGAGACTTAAACTTGTTTCATCTCCTCATGATTCTGAGACATTATTTTACGATATTTTTGATACGAAAAGATTGTCATCCAATTTTGATGAATCCTTAGTAACTGTGAGTATTTCAAGAAAGACCAATGGTCACTTTTAGCTTTTATCTTTACTGTATCATTACTTTCATTAACTAAAGCCAACTCTTGGTATTGGATGTCCAAGGTATCTTGAACTAAATCAGCCGTTTCCCAAACTTGACACCGATCGATTTCATGTTAATCTAGTTGAGACGATTAAAAGCTCAAATTCAAACGTAACCTCGACTTTTTTGAAGTAACTAAATTCCAAAATTAATTCACTCATTGTGGAAACTAATTGTTTGTCATTCTCGTGTATGACAGTATTTTGTTGATCCTGCGAATGGAATATCTCGTATATCTAGTAACGGGCAAGTTCTTATGAAACAAGATAATTCTCAATCGAAAATCATAGCTGATTATAATCTCGGTGTTAAATATAATCTGAAGGCCGGTAAATGTACAATGTTGCCGATAGAAAATTCTATTACAGCGATAAACGATTGTGATGATGATATACTCACTCTTAATCCGATCACGATGGATATTGATGATTTTAAATATGTTGGAAAAATTAATTACGTATGTAAAATTGAATCTAAGAAGAAACTTTTAAAAACTTTTTCTCTTCAATGGAAATTAATTAGGAACATCGCTTCGAACTAGTTGATGTTTGGGAATCAACGAAATTATACAATAATGATACGAAATATAATAAGATTGTCACCACTCAGTTCATGGCGAAAAACGTAAGTTTAATTAAATGAACATGAAATAATTTAAAAATCGAGATTAATCATTTTCTAGAGATTAATAATCTTATATACTCCTTTAGTCCAATAACAGTGATTTAGATTGGGATTATTTACCAATCGCTGCAGAGAGAAAGTTTTACAAATATCATTTGGTGAGTTAATAATTTATTATATTGATTGTTAACAATTAACCTCGAGGTTAATAATTTAATTTCTCTTGTTCAAAAAAGTCTAAATATATTCTGAGTGAATCAAGGAGACGTGATTTCTTTGACTATGATAAAGTTAATCATGATGAGACTGATTATCGTGAATCATTTCAAATCACTGATTGTTATGATAGTCCTGATGATAAAATGTATTTAAAGTTACATATTGAAAGTTCAGGTAAGTTTTGTTATTTTATTCTGATTGTGAAATAATCCAAATAATCCAAATAACTATTAATATTAATTAACTTTGATTGTATTTGTATTAATAGATTTAAATTACACGGAAAGTCTTAATTACGCTGCTGGAAACATATACTTGGTTCGAGAAACAATTAAGCTTTTGATTTCTTCCAGTTTAAAATTGTCTTACATTAGGATAACAAATGTCGATATTGAACTCGAATCAAGTTACATTGTCGCTCATGTCGAGATAATCGAAGCGCCTGACTTAATAAGTAAAATTTAAACCTAATTAATTTCTTCAGCAACTACTAAGTTATTTTCGTTTTCTTATATTAGGGGCATTAGTTCAATTCGATAAGAAATTTACAATCGAATCATTCGAAAGTTATGATAAAATCCTTGCTAAGGATCCATATGAATGCTTGAAAGTGCTGGGAACTAGAAAATCATCGTGAGTAATATGAGTAGAAAATTTTGTTGTATTTTATCATCACTAATGAGTAACAAATTATTTCCAGTTATGTAATCAATTGTATGGGCTACGACAATTTATGTGTATCTGTAGCCGTTGATCAACAGTTACCCATTTCGGATATAAACTCTGGTTCTTATTGTCAAGTTTACGTAAATGGAAAGGACAAATTACGAAAATTGGTACAAGAATTGTCACTGGAACAATTACCTACTCGGTTAACCCAATTAATTGGAATAAATTTCGAGATTCCTTGTGACGATTGTTTTATTCAATTTGGGTTCAAGATCACTAATGTTGTCCAAGATTCTCCTCCTCTCGACACTCAAGAGACTCGAGTTTTATTCAAGGATGTGGAAAATGGAGCTAAGATTGATCCTTCTATCGGAGAGTCGATTGTAGGCATTAGAAACTTTGGTGATTGTTATCGAGTTTGTCTTACCTCATCGAAAGGTTCGACTTGTGAAACATTCTCGTTTTGTGCTTCACTTAATAATCAAGATAGTAAACAATTGGTAGAATGTCGAGTATCTGAGAAAACTTATGGATCATTGGCGAATAGTGGTACAGTTCGCGATAACTCTTGTAATATTTATGGAAAAAATAATTTACTCGATTATCATAAATTACCATCGGTAAAGTTTATTAGTTCTGGAGGAGAGAAGGACCAAAGATTGAGTGTTCGAACAGTAGATGAATGTGCTCAAGCTTGTGTAGAATCAAATGAAAACTGTTATTCATTTGAGATTTGTGATTCTCGATATTGTTCATTTGGTGGACATTATACAACATCCAAGACAATATCAGATAAATTCTGTGATATTTATATTCGTAAGTTTCATTTTCACTCTTTCATCTTCTATTAATACGAATAAATAATCTAATCGTTTGTTTTTCTTGTTTTATTTTTAGCAAAAAAGATTCATCATTTTGTAAGAAACAATTATAAAACTGTTACATCAATAATTCATTCCGAAGTTGATTTAACTCTTGACCAATGTGCTTCTTTGTGTTTTTCAATGAGACAAAACGATGAACATAACAATAAGAAAGATGGATGTAATTCATTTAATTACTGTCCAAAAGGTGAATCTATCAGTAAATGTGAATTATCAATTGAAACAATTTCTGCATCAAATGTAAATCAAGTCTTATTATCAGATGATTGTTCAAATTATCAATTGATGGAAACAATTAAGCAGCAATCAACATCAACATCATCACCAAAACTGCCTAAAAAATCCATTTCTGGTATCGGTATTATTATTTTTTTCGTCATCATTGGCTTGACCATGGGACTGGTCAGTACCTTGGCTCACAATTACCTCCAGAAGAAACGAAATCAAATCAATGAAAATCAACAAAATGTGATTGACGCAACTTAATTTCCTTTACATCACTTAACTCTCTCCTCTTTTATAATAATCATTTGATTGCCACTACTATTTATTATTAGATAATAAACTTTGATCAATTCTAAGTCTTGTTAATCGTGTTGGTATTGTTGATTGTAGATTAAAAAAATATTCATAAAAATCAGAAGCTAAGGCGTTTTTATGATAAATGATCATCAGACAATTAACTTAATTGTTACTAATACATTTTAATTGTGCATTGAATTCCTGTTCACTAGTTTGACAAAATGTCTTCATCAATTTTTTTGTTCATTTTTGTACTATTGACATGCTACCATTCAAGTAAAGGTAATTAAAAGACTTTAAATTGTTACCATTATGTTTATAATTATTTAATTGTCAGGTTATTTATTGGATTATCCAATTAAATCACCAATGGGAAGCCTGTCAATACTTTCATCACTGACCGATAAGGTAAATAACAGAGATTATGAATTTAATTACTGAACGAGTTAATTGTGGTTGTTAATTTGTTACAGTCAACACAAGAAACCTGGACAATCAAGGAGACCTTAATTGTTAAGCCAAAAGTTCATGGAAAGATTGAAATTACTCATAAAAACTACCAAATTCAAGTTTTTTATCATGAAAATGATGATCAGATCAGATTAGTTTTCCATGGTAAGAGAAGTAAATCTTTAAGATCAAGATAATTAACTAATTAACTGTTTACTTTTTCTCTGTGTAAAGATAATGAATGTTACGAACTGAAATATACACCAAATGGATGGAGCTCAATGATTCCAACGGTAACAAACCCGCTTCTCAATATGGCCTTACTTATGGGTCCATCTTTTTACTACCGAATCGTGCCTCAATCAAATAGATTTGTAAGTTAATTGTTAGTAATAATCAAAAGTCACAATCTTAATTATCAATGTTTTTGTTCATAGTTTGCAGATGATAATGTCTACTTAAGGGGCGAAGAAATGAAAAATCTTGTTCTGAATATTAACAAAAACCTCAGGTTATCATTTCTGTATCCAGGTAAACAAAATAACTTCTCAATTGAATTCGAGTCTAACTAACTTGGGATTTCTAATGATATTTAATTGTGGCTTCAGTTACCTTGAACTCGTTTATTGGGGTCAGACAGCCCAAAAGGCTGATTCTCACAGGTCAGGTTCCAGGTTCGTCCAAAGGTCAAGTTGAGACATTATTTTACGATATTTTGATACGAAAAGATTGTCATCCGATTTTGATGAATCCTTAGTAACTGTGAGTATTTCAAGAGAAGACCAATGGTCAGTAGTAGCTTTTATCTTTACTGTATCATTACTTTCATGACTGAAGCCAACTCTTGGTACTGGATGTCCAAGGTATCTTGAGCTGAATCAGCCGTTTCCCAAACTTGACACCGATCGATATCATGTTAATGTAATCGAGACAATTAAAGAATCGTCTTCAAGCAGATCAATCTACAGTGAGGTGATTATCAAATCAAACTGAAAATTTAAATCTTTATGATCATAACCATTACTTTTTATATTTAGTTTTCCGTCGACGAAAAAAATTTGATTACTCGAATTACAAAAGTAGAGCAATTTGGTTCTACAAAATTAGAACAATCAATTATCGTTCACGATCTTGGGGTCAAGTATATCCTTTCAAGTTCAGACGGTAAATGTTACGTAGTTCCGATCGACATTAAAGAATCTCAGATCAATGATGACAATTTGATAACAATTAACCCAATTACTTTGGACATAAAAGATTTCAAATACGTTGGTCAAGTTAAACTTGTAAGTATTGGTAATTCATCTGTGAGTGTCATATGATTTGAATGATAATTTTTGTCAATAAATAAAAGGAACATCGATCGGAATTAGTTGATGTTTGGGAATCAACGGAACTTTACAATAATGATACGAAATATAATAAGATTGTCACCACTCAGTTCATGGCGAAAAACGTAAGTTTAATTGAATTAACTCGAGATGATTTAACAACCGAAATTAATCATTTTCTAGAGATTAATAATCTTTTATACTCCTTTAGTCCAATAACAGCGATTTAGATTGGGATTATTTACCAATCGCTGCAGAGAGAAAGTTTTACAAATATCATTTAGTGAGTTAATAATTTATTATATTGATTGTTAACAATTAACCTCGAGGTTAATAATTTAATTTCTCTTGTTCAAAAAAGTCTAAATATATTTTGAGTGAATCAAGGAGACGTGATTTCTTTGACTATGATAAAGTTAATCATGATGAGAATGATTATCGTGAATCATTTCAAATCACTGATTGTTATGATAGTCCTGATGATAAAATGTATTTGAAGTTACATATTGAAAGTTCAGGTAAGTTTTGTTATTTTATTCTGATTGTGAAATAATCAAAATAATCCAAATAACTATTATTAATAATATTAACTAACTTTGATTGTTTTTCTATTGCTAGATTTAAATTACACGGAAGGTCTTAATTACGCTGCTGAAAACATATACTTGGTTCGAGAAACAATTAAGCTTTTGGTTTCTACTAATTTAAAATTGTCTTACATTAGGATAACAAATGTCGATATTGAACTCGAATCAAATTACATTGTCGCTCATGTCGAAATAGTTAAAGCTCCAAATATCATTGGTAATAACTCCAGTTTGGATTCTTTATTTATTGTTTATTGATTCGAGTTTTAATGTTTATTTAGAATCCATGGACAAAACAGAATACAAGTTTGATCGTCAATCTTTTGATAACTATTTTAAAGTCTCAATTAGAAGCCCGACTGATTGTTTGCGGTCACAATCAACCAGAGGAGATATCGAGTAAGTTTCATACGATATTAATACAATATATTACATGTATGATTGATTTCGTAACTTTGTTGATAGATATGTTATCAGCTGTATGGATTTGGATCATCTGTGTGTTGGTGTCAAACGAAATCAAGAATTTCCTGTTTCTATTAATAACACATTACACGGCACGGGCTCTATTTGTCAAGTTTACGTAAATGGAAACGACAAATTACGAAAATTGGTACAAGAATTGTCACTGGAACAATTACCTACTCGGTTTTCCCAATTAATTGGAATAAATTTCGAGATTCCTTGTGACGATTGTTTCATTCAATTTGGGTTCAAGATCACTAATGTTGTCCAAGATTCTCCTCCTCTCGACACTCAAGAGACTCGAGTTTTATTCAAGGATGTGGAAAATGGAGCTAAGATTGATCCTTCTATCGGAGAGTCGATTGTAGGGATTAGAAACTTTGGTGATTGTTATCGAGCTTGTCTTACCTCATCGAAAGGTTCGACTTGTGAAACATTCTCGTTTTGTGCTTCACTTGATGATAGTAAACAATTGGTAGAATGTCGAGTATCTGAGAAAACTTATGGATCATTGGCGAATAGTGGTACAGTTCGAGATAACTCTTGTAATATTTATGGAAAAAATAATTTACTCGATTATCATAAATTACCATCGGTAAAGTTTATTAGTTCTGGAGGAGAGAAGGACCAAAGATTGAGTGTTCGAACAGTAGATGAATGTGCTCAAGCTTGTGTAGAATCAAATGAAAACTGTTATTCATTTGAGATTTGTGATTCTCGATATTGTTCATTTGGTGGACATTATACAACATCGAAAACAATATCAGATAAATTCTGTGATATTTACATTCGTAAGTTTCATTAATACTTTCACTATTTCATCTACTAATGATGAGTAATCGTTTGTTTTTCTTGTTTTATTTTCTAGCAAAAAAGATTCATCATTTTGTAAAGAACAATCATAAAACTGTCAAATCAATAATTCATTCAGAAGTCGATTTAACAGTTGACCAATGTGCTTCTTTGTGCTTTTCAATGAGACAAAACGATGATCATTACAATAAGAAAGATGGATGTAATTCATTTAATTACTGTCCAAAAGGTGAATCTATCAGTAAATGTGAATTATCAATTGAAACAATTTCCGCATCAAATGTAAATCAAGTCTTATTATCAGATGATTGTTCAAATTATCAACTGATGGAAACAATTAAGCAGCAATCAACATCAACATCATCACCAAAATTGCCTAAAAAATCCAGGTCTGGTATCGGTATTATTATTTTTTTCGTCATCATTGGCTTGACCATGGGACTGGTCAGTCCAATGTTAGTTAAATACATCAGAATTGGTTTCACTCGCTATATCTACAATGGTGGTTCCGAACCCTATCAAAACCTTATCAACGACTGAAACTTTTCTTCCTCAAAATTATCCAATAGAATCCACAAAAATTTCAATATAACCTCCAATTGTTTCGAGATTATTTCTTCCAATATCAGGTGTACATTACCGTTAATCATTTTTACTGTTTGAAATAAAATCATTCATCTAAACAAATGTATTCATATTTATCAATAACGAATTGATAAATCGAAATCAAATTCACTGAAACTCCCTATCAGTTTGATTCAAGTCTCATTAGAATCGCAAGTCTTGAATTTTGAATTTTTCATTTGCTATTAATTTTTAGTACCTTTTATTGTATCTGCATGATTTGAATATCGAATCGAAATAATTGATACAATTAGGACAAACAATTAACTGGTGCTAATTGATTGTTTAAGGATTGATTATTATCTTGGTAGTTTTTATATTCACAAAGGTTTGATTATTGTTTGCATTGAACGTCCACCGATTCCAAGAGTAAATTTCCTTGAATCATCAACACCTTGGAAAGATATTTTGATTGGAGATTCATTTGCATTTACAATGATTGAAACAAATTCATTAGATGGATTAACAAAAGTAGTTAATCTAACTTTATCCAGGATTGATTTGTCTTTACTATCGACTGAGTGAAAAACTCTCCTTGACTCTGGCTGCAAGAATTTACTGAAATGAGCCAACGAGTAAAACATTGGTTGTTTATAATATTCACTTCCATCAGCTGAGACAATTATCGGAGCATCAACTGGATTTTTGGCCCAATTAGGTAAACCGTTTGGATCGAGAACAAGATTCCAATCAACCCAACCAGTCGACCATCGGTTTAAGCCGTCGATTATATCGAAAGCATAAGTTTCAGCTCGAGTCCAATTACCAAGAGTAACTAAAGAGAAAGTAAATAATTGAGATTATCAGATTAATCTTTTGTACAACGATAAGCTTATGAAACATTATCATGGTTGTTTACTAAGTTTGCATCAATCTAACGGGACTCCCCATTGTAATGCATTTTTGATTACGATAAGCTGGTTAATCAACATAACTGTTGATAATCGTTCATTATGATTCCCTTTGTTTTAATACCAACCATAAGTTGATTAGATTACTAACCTTTATTATCTTCACGACCTCGAACCCATCCTTCACAGGCCTCAGTCGAAATTAGGAAATAATCTGGCCAATTTTCGTGAACTTTATTCAATTCATCATGATAGTCAGTTAAAGTGTACCAATGATAGGCTATTCCGGCAACATAACTCGCCGCTTCTTTATCTGAAAGGACACCTCGGACAAAATTCAATATCTCATCGTTATTGTGGTCATAAATCATGACTTTAATTACATCTGGACCATAGCCAGCGGCTTTCAGAGCTGGGCCAAGATCTTTTTTAATAAAATCTCTCATCATCGCTGATGAAAATCCTAATGTATTCCAAGCGTAATTAGGACTGAGCCCAGTTAGCGGCTCGTTTTGTGGAGTTAACCCCCAAAATTCAACACCATTTTCTTTATAAGCTTCAAAAAATCTAAGATCACCATTAGAATTTATCAATTGGAACCACCATTTGAGACTACGATACTTACTTGACAAAATAATTAGCCCATGTTTTCCAGTGTAAACTTCCTGGTTCACCAATTAAGATGCCCAGTCCTTCTGAAGCATTATTGGTCTTGAGCCATTTAGGAGGAGCCCAAGGTGATCCGAATAGTTTAAGGTTCCCATTCAATGATTTAGCTTTCTTGATGTAAGGAATCTGTTGATTACATTGAGATAGATTTGATTAACTAGACATGATCAGCGTTAGATCAATTAGATTACCTTGTAATTGAAATCATCAGAGGCAAGAGCGAAATGTTCCAGCTCGAAATCATCGACAACATCATCGTATGAATATGGACGATCTGAGAAATCAGAACCACCAATCGGAACTCTACCAAGGTTATACTGAGCACCATTAGCACCAAAGTAATCGGTAATCAACTGATCCCGAAGGTCAGAACTGAGTTTATTTATATTGATACCAGTAGAATCAGTAAAAGCACCACCAAAACCGGTGATTGATTGTAACTTATGAGTTACATTGATTGTAACATAAAGATCGGCAGTTGATTGAACGTCTTCATTATCATTGAAAAGATCGGAATCTGGAATAACTGATTTGGTGAAACGAGCATATGATGAATCAGATTTAAAGATAGTCAACGCCTCAGGGGATGAATAAGGTCCCGTTGGTAGTTTGTCACAATATTGATCGTTACAAACGCAAACGAAACTGTTTGTATTGTCAAAAGTTTTCACTAAACAAGTGAGCGAATTTGTTATTAAACAAAATAAGCTAATTAACTGTATTAACTTCATCACAATTAAGTAAACAAGTTGTGAGTGACAATAAATAACTAATTGTTATGTCAGTGGAAATTTTTCCTCGTCTCCTTTTTATTGTCAACTTGATTGAATGAAGATAATCATTTGTGATTAAATTGTCAAACAATTATATTAATAAAAACAACTTCAACCAAATTCAATATTGATATTTAAATGATTGATAATCATTTTATTGGCACGATAACAGTTTAAACAAAACTTTCAATTTGATCAATTTCTTGATGATTAGATATTTATTTACATCTCATAACAAACTGCCAATAATAAGCAATCATTATGATTGAAAAATTAGCTAATTGTTGATATCAGGTAAGAGTGTATATCAAACTTGGGTTAAACAATTATCAATAAAGCATTTCTATTAATCTATTATTGATTAGTTGATAAAGGTTTTTAATGTTCAATTATATTCTTGTGTGTTGTTTGCTTATTTATTTTTAAACAAAGAAATGAGTTAATCAGATTAGATTTGATTGTTTTATTAATCAAAGTTTCAGGGTTCAATCAATTGTTACACTTAATTGTAATCATTGTGGCTTCGGTTTGGTGACTTTTTGCCACGATTTACAAAAATCTCTATGGAAATTTTCGTGTTTTTTGATTTAGTTGGTACATCCAGCTCGATCTGGGGTCAAGAGCTCGGTCACTCCTTTGGTTTCAAGTAGTTTGGTCAACTCTTCAACTACTTCGCCACTTAAAGTTGGAGTTCTTGACAAAATCCACCCAGAAACTGTCACAAAAGTCGTAAAAGAATAGATTAATTTCCATCTACAATATCATCATCATTTCATTACCTGAGTACATGTCCGCTGTGATTTGGACACATGAAACTACAGTTGAATAAGTCTGATAATCAGTCTTGATAACCCAGTAGCTTGCAGTTGGAGCTCCTAATGAATATTAATAACATTGGAAAGTTAGTAGATTTCAAGGTCAATTAATGATAATGTGAAAGTCTTACCTGGAAATAGTTCAACATTCAAGAAGTTGGGTTTACTTTCATCAACTATTGTCGCTGTTAAATAAGCAACAACATCATCACCTCTTAATAGTTAAATGGGAAAAAATCAGTTGAACAAAATGTTAGCAAATAGACAGTTACTATTAGTATTTATCCCAAAGATTTTGTTAATCTACTGTACTTACTCTGAATTGACTCCTGAATTGGTTACATTAACTTTACCATCGGATCGGAGACTGTAATTTGCAGTTGAACATTTGACACCTTTTTCGTTTGGACTATCAGTTCGTCTAATTTCATACCAACGTCCAAGGTACTTTGAAACATCAAAGCCGATATCATCTTCAGCTCCAGGAGTTGGACATTTGCCAACTTTAGGTGCTGACTGACAACATCCAACCAAAGCTAAAACAGTTACAGTTAAGAAAAAAGATGAATTCATATTTGTTAGAATAGATAATTGTGTCAACAATTAGTAATTTCACTTGTAAAATAAAATATCAATTAGATGATTTATATTAATAGAAATAGACTGAATACAATTATTTATTTTTACCTTTTTATATTACAAAGATTCTGATTTTCCGTTCATTGATATTGAAACAATTAAGATTATGTATAATCGATAACATTGTTAACAATGGTTATCATTTTCAACCAGAATCGAACGCTAAATGGACTAATTAATCTAAATAGATTTACATTTGTATTGATTATAATCGTTCACCTAAATTCATATTAATCACCCAAAACTTGATTCCGAGAAAATCTGATTCCATAGTTTCGTACATGCTGAGGTATTATTATCGAATAGGAAAAACTTTTATTACTTAGACAAAGTTTTAAAATGGAAATTTATTAAAATTCAAACATAAAGAAAAAGTTGATAGCGAAAATTGATCTTATTGTCGTTTTCGCCGTAAAATTTTTCTACATTTTCGCTGATTGGCTCGTGGCTTGTAGGGAACAGAGCGAGCACAAGCTCTTGCACAGTTTTGGTACATTTATGGCCAGGACCACCAGGAAATTTACATGAGTATCTTTCATGGTGTTTCACAGAACCTCGTTCAGAATAGGGTTTTCCACAATACTGGCAACAATGTTTCGAAATTCTCTTGGAAAAAATTGCCTCTGGATCAGAATTCAATATCAGATTATAAGAGTTTGATGATAATCCATAAGGTAAACTTTTCGATAAGGGGCCATTAGAACGATTGGTGAAGGTCAAAGTGTTTTCCCATTTGGTTTCAATCACATTGATCCATTTTCCTTGGTAATTAATCCTCTCTTGAGCAATATGCTTGAATAAATGGTCTTTTCCATTGTTGAATATCTTTCCAAATTTTACTGGAACAGAATTTGGATTCACCGATCCTGAGGTTACCTCTGGGTCTTGGCATCTTTCATCTTCATCCACAAAGTCTTCCTCTTCCTCATGATCAGTTTCATCGTCACAAATTTCACCAGAAGAAGAGGAAACGGGTTCAATTGGTGGTTTTCGTTTATCACAATTGTTCCGAATCAGATCTTTCTCTGTTAATCGCGCAATGGAAATCGAAAACTCTTTACAAGGGAAACGTTTAAGTGACATTTCGTCAGCTGAAATTTGGTCAGTTGTCATCTCAGATTTTCGAACGGCTTGTTTGGGTCTTAACATTTCACGAAAGAAACAACTTTAGGAACTATTATTAACACTGATAAATAGAAGGACAAACAATTGTACTTTAAGATAGACTTTAAGATCAATACTGACATTAGAATAAGAAAATGATAAGATAATCTTGTATTACTAATCTCAAAAAGCTAAAGCCCATTTTCGGATATAATGGGATATCTTTTCAATCAAAATCGAAACTTTGTCATCTGAATTGATAACTTTAGGATATTTAATATCAAGTTTGTCAAGATTTTAACCTTCTTCGTCCTCATCTACTCGAATAATTTTAAGAATATTTGTTGATAAATTAACTGTTACACTCATATAGTGGATAGAAAAATGGTTAACTTTTTATTCAAATGCCTTTGGGATACAAAATGTATCCAAAAATCGCGCTGTTTATGTTGATCAACTTGAGAGCTGATCAAACAGAGCCAGTTGATTGTCTTCACGAACTAATTTACAATTATCATAGCTGAAAGTTGTTCGACTCCCACTGATGGGAATAGATTCAAGTTTTTCATCCTTTGGCATCTCATTGTCTTGGGTGGATTGTTATTATTAGCACGGGAAAAATACTTGATTAGCACTTATTGGTGAGACTGGTGTCGAGGGTACTGAAGATATGGAAGGAATTGAAAGTATTGAAGTACCCATAGTAATGGAGGGTAAACTTAAACCCGAAAGACGAGCTCTTTTTAAGACCATCTCTTTAAGCGGGTAACCAAGACCTTGAAGGAAAAGGTGAAGTGCTTGTGACACTTTATGAGGTTTTTCCTCTAAAACCATCGACGATTCATCAATCTTTAACCAGGTCGTTGTTTTTGGATCTAATCTTGAATTCATAATAATGGTTGATTCGAGATGAGGTGATGCTGATCCGGTAATCAAAAGTACTTGGCATGAAAGTTTAGCACGTTTGTTTGAAAATGAATTTGTATTTCGAGAGAAACGAAGTGGACTCCGTTTAAAATAGGATTCAAGCAGTAAACCCAAATTTGTGGGGTGAACGGTTATACCATTAAAATAAGATCGATAAATGTCAATTATATCGGCTGAAGGTGAATTACGAGATCGTAGATTAGAACCAAAATGATACCATAAAAGATAATCGGTTACATTGTTTGGAAGATAATTTGATGAAATGGGTGTCGTTGTATCGTAATCAATTGGTGCTTGTGGTGTTGGTAAATTGTTGTTGACAGATGAAGAGTTTACTAATGATTTAATGTTTCGCTTAGCCCAAAACCAATCTCGCCAAGAGGCTTGTGAACAATTAGCGTTAACCAGAATTAATCCTTCAACTGGTTTAGGATTAGTGAGTGTAAATCGTGTTAATATGTTAGCACCAACTCCTGTTCCCAATCCAATGAAAGTCTTTATCTGGTAATGGTCAAGAACATCATTCAATTGGCTTGCAAGTGTGTCCATTGAGGGAAACTTGTAGGTTGGGTCAAGTTTGGTTGACTCTTGACCAGGGGCGTTAACGTGATATATTGTAAATGATGCAAGAAGTGAACAATTTTCACTTAGAGAAAAAAATGATTCATAATTTGAGATATAATTTAGTCCTAAATCGTGATAGGTTAAGATAACCGGTGTTCGTGGGCCTGGTTTAGCACCTTGACGGGCAACTAGTAAGGTACCATGTCGAGTTGATATCCGCTCCTCGGTACAATTAAAGTTGTGACCGTAGCGTTTGTGTAAAGATAAAGGTGACTTCGAGTCGTATGTTGAAATGTTCATATTATCCTGTTCATAGTAAAATTGGCCTATTTTTTGGCCTCGTTTTCCTCGTCGAGCTGCTTTAATGGCCTTGATCTTTGATCCAAGGGAGAATCGTTTTGTTTTCTGAGTCAAGATGAGAGGATCATCAGTATCGTCGGTATCTCGTCGCTTGTAGATCGGCATTTTGGCACTAAATTAACTTGGGTCACTTGAGAATCGATAAAAGTTATAACTTAATTTGGAAGTAATTTATTGATTGGCTTCGAGTCTTTTTTCCCCTCTAATTGTTGTCACCTTGAAATCTTTGGTTGTGCTGTTGTTTTGATAATGAAGATGATTACTAGTAGCAATTAAATTACCATCATATATATGTTGACACAATTAAGTTGATTTAGATTACAACCAATTTACCTGAACTTGGTATTTATTGTTACAATTTTGTTGATCAGCATGAATGATTTTTGATGAATTTAATTGTTGTAATTTTGTTGATCATCAAAAAAAATTGAGGTAAAAATGACTTGCATAATCAAATTTATATTCACAATTTAGTTTAATTGTAATAACAGGAAGTTTTATTTTCACTTTGATTGTTATTATTACGTCAATCAAAATTGATTGAGATTAACTTTGGTTGGTTAACACCACAAGAAAAAGGTGTAAAGTTATTGGTTAATTATTAACTCATAACAATCAATTAACAGTTAATCAACATAAGACAGATCACATTTGATTAACATTGAAGATGAGGATCAAGTTATATTAGTGTTGATTGTTGTGTAATTTGTTGATATTTATAGCACTTGATCATAAAGCCGATATGAGATTGATTGGTTTTTTCAAAGGTAGAGTTGTTGATAAGGTTGTTATTGATGATGATAATTAAGATGATGAAACAGTGAGATTAGTAAATCCCAGGTAAATGGATGAATAAAACAAAAAAATCAATCAATTAGTTTCAATTGTTTAACTTTTCCTCGTCAATAGCAAACAAAACAACAAACAGACAACAAAATCCAATGAAATTGAAACGATAAAAACAACAAGGTAACAAAATGAATTGAATCAGCATCAAGAAGTGATAATAAGTGATAATATTACCATTGCAATGAGAAAGGAAACCTTCAAAGTTACAATGATGGGAAACAAGAAGCAAGGTAAGGTTAAGAGTGACAGGTAAATGGAGGCAGGTAGTTTGGTGGGTGGATGAGTAGAGGAAGAGGTAAAGTTACCAGACAATAGTAACCTGGTTAATTGAGTTTAGTTTGAATTTGTGATTGGAAAGTGGAAAGAGAAAAAGACTCTCGCCATCTTGTTTGATCAGTCTTGTGGAAAAAGAAAGGAAAGAAAGAGAAGATGATGAAATAAAGAAGAGGGAGTGAGAGAGAGAGAGAGAGAGAGAGAAAAAAAAAGAGAGAGTTGGAGGAGGTAGATATTGGGAACTCACTCACACAGGTAAAGAAAACATGATGTAAAAAATGAATGGGAGGTGGAGGTTGATGATGATGATGAACTCACCCAAATCCACCTTGGTATTCAGGTTTTCATTCAGGTTTCAGGCTATGTGAAAGAGACTCTCATTTGTATGATGATAATAATGATCATTTTCAGCCTTATATCAATCAATAACTATGGTAACAATGAGAGAGAGTCTCATAAACATAATATAAAATTCAAGAAAATTAATAGATTACAACTGAATTTGAAACTGACCAACAATATATTCGTCACCATATTCATTGATAAGTTCAATTCATTTTTCTCATTCATTTTTTTTCCTTTTCTTAATGATGTTAATATATCACGATGAATAAATTACATGAGTTACTATTTTTATAACAATGAAAGTGAATCGTAATGATAGTTATGATTAAAGATGATGATGATGATTTGAATAGTTTTTCTTAACATGATTATTATCAATTGTTTGATTTACCAACACATTGAGGTTCATTGAAACTAATTGTTATCTATCATCATTATTAATTTGCTGATGTTGCTGTTGATCAATTAAGGCTGGTAAAGTCTATGGACTATAATGATTGTAAACAATTAACTAATCAACTAAATGAATTTTTTTTTCTTACTTTAACTAAATCACTTGATTAAATGGTTAACTTAAATGGCTTTTTTTATTATGCTACCAGGAAGTTGGTTTATCATGATGACATGATTAACTTAACCAGATTAGTTTATGATCAACTCGAGTTAACAATTTAACATTTGACATTGATTGTTGTGATCTTTATACAAGATGAATTTTCATTTTAACAATCAATTGTTTCTAATCTATTGTTGATTACATTAAATTGTTTATCATTTTAATTTTTTTCCTTCATATTGCTAATTGTTTGGTAACCAGAACAGTATCAATATTTAATTCCTGGGAATTAATAACAGTTGATTAATGTAGCAATTTAAGAGTAATTAACTTTGGAAAACACTTTAAGTTAATGATCAAGTGATGATTACTTTTACAGAAATAATAATTAAGTATCACAATTAATCGTAACAATCAACAATTCTGGGCTTGTAAGGAAGATTAATAAGAAAATCAATTGCTTTTTTTTAATTGTTTCAGTTTGAAAATAATCAACAATGATAATGAAAAAAAAACCCAGAAAAAAAGTCAACAATCAATATCGAACCCTGTTAATTGTGAAGATTATCGACAACAATTAAGATTATAAATAAATTTTCAGGATCCTTGATGAGATTATGATAGTTAGTCTTGCAAACTTTGCAATTGGTTTAATATTTTACTTGATTGCAATTGGTAAAAAGAGCAATAATTTGATTATCATGAAGATATCACCATGTATTAATAATAGATCAAGAAGGATGAATAATCTAAGATGAATTTCTCTGTAATAACCACTGAGCTTGATTTCGTTTCCTCGAATATTATTCTCATTGGATCTCTAAGACCCTCTTCCAAATTGAGATCAGCTGAAAGTAATGATTAGTCATTTATTCATTTGATATCATGATAACTATGAACTTACATCTAAAGTAATAATTAGCTTCAAGGTTGTTCCAATTAGGGTTGAATAGCTAATGACTTTTACTCCTCTGACTTCTTCCTCGGCTTTAACAGTTTCCTGTTTCTAGTAATCAATTTTTCCAATTGAAACAATTAGAATGAAACTTCACAATTATGTAAATTTAGTTTGATCGTTAGTCATTCCTTTCTCTCTGGGTTTTATGTCACTGCAAGTGTGAATTTACGCTGATTAAAATTCAAATCCAATTAAATATTCTCATATTTAATATCCTCACCTTTGAGGCAGATGAACCAAAGGGTTTGAGCCTTAAGTTTTTCTCAATATCGAAACTGTCAAAATCTATAAATAATCCACAATTCTTCAACAATATAATCTATTATTCCTCTTAAGGACAGCATTCTCTTCCCTAAAGACGAAAAAATTATCGCCAGACTAATTCGTATATAAAAGTAAATCAGTGAGTTCAAATTTCGCAGAATAAAACCAACAGAAGTGTTGGATATTCACAGAAAAGTAAACATGGCTTGGAGAAAGAAATTGGCGCGAGTTTTAATCGAACCATAGAACAGAAATTCTTGTCGAAAAGAAGTGAGACTTTGATAGGAACCGAAGCTAATTAATTGAATCGAAATCGATAGAATATAGTCAACTTTAACGATTTAATTAGTGTCACATCATCTTAAGGGATATTTCCAAGAGTTTCACAAGATTTACCAAGTTGGTTCTCACCTTGAATCGAACTTTTTTCTGCATTTCCAACGAACTGCAAATCAGTAATTCATGAGGCTCAGTTTGAATTCTATCAGAATATGCGAAAAATTTTAGTTTGACTCTTTTAGAACAGAATTGGAGTATTTTCTCAGTTTTAATTGTTATTAATATGAATTACAATTGCAATTGAAAAATCAAATAAGAACGATTATTATTATAAATAGGATAAAGTTGAAAAATTAGGATAATCTTTCCATTGGTAATTCATTAGTCATATATCTTGATTTTATCTTTTTATAAATAAACGGTGAAACTGTACCAAAACCTAATCCAATCGCGATATAGACAATTAACATTACAATGGATCCACCACCGAACTCAGAGACTTTTGGTTTGTTATTTGATTTTTCCAGGTCAACTTTAGGTGATATCATTTCGTAATTGATACATGTTGTTGAATCGGTCAGTTGAACATTCGCATCATGAACTGTTACCCTGCTAAGTTGACAAAGATTAGATTGACCTTTGGCACAGAAATTGAATGATCGGCACTCGTTAGATGATGATTTTGAATTTGGTGACCTCCACTTGAAACACGATGCAGCATTGGTCAAGATCTAGATGAGTTTCGGTTTGGATAACATCAGTAACTAATTTGCTTCCGGTGATTCGAAAATTATTTGAAGCTTTCACTGTAAATATTTAAGAAATGAGACAATTAATCATCAAAATTTTAAATTGAAGTTTCAACTTACACAGATAAACGTTACAATTGGTTAAATTGTTTGTTTGATGATCCAATTTATTGATTCGATTACTTTTATCATGAAGGAAACAAAGTGATTCCGAATTACAATATTCAAACAAATGACAATCAGCTGATTGCGAACATTTTGATGCACAATCCTCAACACTTGATGAATATCGAACAGAATAATCAATCAAATCATTGAGACCTTTTGAAGGTAATTTCTTGTAATCAAGCAACAAATTACGTTTATAAACTGTACAACCAGATTCTACGATGAAATTATCACCTTTATCTTGACCATTAGTAACACTTGATTCTGATGCTACTAAACATTCAAAAGAATCACTAGTTGAATTGTAGCAATAGGAGAAGACGGAACAATCCATTTCCTTTGATTCTTCACAGTATCGATAACAATGACCAAAGTTGTAATCAAAAGACTTGACCAAACCTTTGGATTGATTGATATTCAATTTAGCACCTAATTTGGATACGCTGAATGCTTGCCTACTCAGGGCACTTTTAGAATCCTCCGAAGTATCAAGAATCTCATTTATTATCAGCTCATGTTTAACTGTATTGTTATCAAAAAGTTCAATGGTCGATCCAACCAGAACTTTTTTGAAGGTCTCATCAATATCTTTCAGGGCTATTTGTTCATTTAGGTGGTTTAGATTGCCGAAAGTTATCACGAAAATTTTGCAGTTATCTGTAGCACCCTTGGTTGTAGCCTTTGATACCGTTTTGATGTCCTTAATACCAAGACATCTCTCTGTTGAGCCACAATAAGCAACAGCTCTGAAACGAAAAGTTTTAGTACATACCCAAAGTTATAAGGTCACATTTGACCGCGAAAGTTTACTCACTTGAGTCCAGTATTGGAGGCCAAAAATTTTAAACACTCTTCAACATTGTTCAAATGAAAACTGAAGCCATTTTCGTTCAATAAATTGGCATCAACTCTGAGATCCCAAGTTTCAAATGATTCTAACAAATAATGAATGCTTAAGAAATTAATATTTCAAGGATTGAATTCAATACGAAATTGGTGTTAAACTTACCTTCGAGTCTTGGCTTCTCTATGATACTAAGTTCCGCTTGAACTTTATCACTCGTAAACGATATATCAATGTCAACAATACGTAAAGGCGAAAGTCTCATACTGCTTGTTATTAAATTTCTTATTGAATTTCGTAATTTAAACACATTTTGTACACCAATCTTAAGGCCATTCGAATCTAATAACCATCGTTTGAAAGTTCAGAGTAAATCAATTGTTGCTGATTTTCCAATGAAATAAATAAATTACCTCGTGAACCAATCAATAGGGTAATTGATTTTCTGCGGCCCCAATCATTGTTACAACTGTTTACTTGAAAAGCACTTTCGTATTGAAAGTCCTCAATAAAGTCCTGAAATTCATGAATATCTCGTCTTCGGTAAAAGTTGTTGATATATTTACTCTAATAATTAGATAGAATTTTAATATCCAAGTTGAATAGATGATTTAAAACATTAATTAATGATTGATTTTCTTAATACAAACCTGTGCAGTGCCCTTGGAAATAATCGAAGTTGGAACTAAATGTTTTCCATAGTGACCATTTTCATCGCTCTAAAGTTGAAACGAATCAAAGTTAATCATCAGAACAATTTAAAAAAAGTTATCAATCTCACCTCAGTTGCATAATAGAAAGTTGTAACTATTTTGCTGTAATCAAGTCCACCAATTGTTTGTGAGCGTCTGGTTGATTCCCAATAATCAACGGCAAACGGCCATTCATTGGGCTGTGATATGAAATTGATACAATCACGATTCAGTTTTAACTTAGAGCAAAGTTGATTAAAGTTGATCAATATCTTACCAGGTAAATATTTCCACATATCGAGCTGTTCCTTGGATTAGAAACAATGTATTCAAATCGAAAATGCCTCTTTCATTGATCCGGGCGTTGATGAGGTTAAAGGCTTTATTTTACAGGAGCCATCTTGCTGATTAAAGGAATATCCAATTCCTAGATCAGTATCGTAAACAGTTTCAACGGAAGATGAGCCAGAAAAAGCTTGATTAACACGCAAGTAGTTGGTTTCAATATCGGCGAAAATCTTGTTACCAGGTGATACGAAAAAATTGTTAATTAGCTTGTTAATTGTTGTAACTTTTGGTCAAATTACCTCAACTTTTTCAGTTTGTAATATGGCCTGGTTTTCACCGGTCGAATAAGTTTCAATAAATGTCAAATGAACTTGTGGACTTGATACCATGGGGATATTCCGACCTGGCTGAAAGTAGAGGACACATCCATAGCCTGGAGTTACCTTGATTAATGTGAATGAATAATCTTGATTAAAATTTCATCTATTGTTTTCGATTCCGTTACTCACTTCCACCAATTTATCAAGATTAATGTTTGTAGGCTTGAAAGAATAGTAATCCAAAATGAATTTCTCTGTAATAACAACTGAGCTTGATTTCGTTTCCTCGAATATTATTCTCATTGGATCTCTAAGACCCTCTAAGAAATTGAGATCAGCTGAAAGTAATGATTAGTCATTTATTCATTTGATATCATGATGACTATGAACTTACATCTAAAGCTAATAATTAGCTTGAAGGTTGTTCCAATTAGGGTTGAATAGCTGGTGACTTTTACTCCTCTGACTTCTTCCTCGGCTTTAATAGTTTCCTGTTTCTAGTAATCAATTTTTCCAATTGAAACAATTAGAATGAAACTTCTTAATTATCTGCAAAGTTAATTGATTAGTATTATTTACCCAGGTGAATTCACCATTGTTATTAAGGCGAAATATGAGTGAAGGGCCAAGCATAATAATCATGTTGACCAATGGTTTGTCCACTCCCGGTAACATGTTACTCCAACTAGAACCGAGATACGAGTTCATTGTACACGAACCATCTAAAGATAATTTAATTTAGAGATTTTTCTCAATTCAATTAATCAAAATGTAAGTAAATTGTAATAATAAGATCAATGTTTCCGATATTATGTTTAATTTTCTGAAATTCAGTAGCAACTAATCAATAGCACCGATTGATTAAGTTGAAGGCGTTTTTTCCCTCACTATTATTAAGATTTATAATGATAATTGGTGAACAATAAGGATATTTGATTGTTAATCATACGAAAAATTAGTAATTACTTGATCAAATTATCTAGAGTTAATTTACCTGAGAGTAATAGTCTATTTTCATCTCGATCTTTATGATAAAACACCTCAAACTTATGAGTGTTTCCTGAAACTTGAATTTTTCCACGAATTGTTGTCTTACCAGCCACTGATTCACTCAGATGCCACTGTTCAGATGTTGACTTGATTAAAGAAATAAATTGACATGTCAATTAATTAATTACTATTAATTCAATCAAACTTACCGCATCAGTTAGTACTGAATGAATGATGAAATTGTCATTTGGCTTTTCCATTGAAAAGTCCAGCAGTGTGACCGCTGATCGGTAAAATTAACGAATCATTAAAACGAGAGAAGAGAAAAAAGTTTAATCATATTGATCGTTAATCAACTTGTTCACAAACTAATCAACTTATTACCTTGAATTGCGATGAAAAGTGTGGGTATGATTAAAAACGATGACCACATGGTGATGACCAGTATAATTCAATGAACACTGATTAATTTACAGTTATTATTTAAACAACTCTAATTCCAGTTGAATGAAAAATGATCAATCATAATGGATTAATTTTCAGCTACCGTTTTAATTGTGATTAGATTATCATGAATGATTATTTACATTTACATTTACCAGATAGAAAGTGAGTCAAATTTTTCCAACATTAGAATTGAACAGAAAGATAATTAAACATCTATTGTCAAGTTAATTACTGGTAGAAATTGTCTAACATTATAAGTCCAAATTGATTAGATCAAATTGATTTTAATCATATAAAATGATAAAAAGATTTCGAGTGCTTCCATCTACCATTTAGAATATCAAATAAACACATTTCTGTTTCGGTTGTTTTAACCATTTAATTACCTCGAAATTGACAATCATCTTGACCATTACATTTGTTTGATCTCCTTATTTTAAGGTCCACTTGAAATAATTTTAAGAATCAATTCGAAACGATGTAATAAAGTAACCAAAGTTTGTACTGACCATGTTTCCGAAAACGGGACATTTTCAATCTCGTCGTAAAGTGAATCCAAACCATCCAGACAATATTTCGCTATTCTAGCCTTGAATGAAAGAGGATTTGAGTGTTTACCTGTTAGAAATTCGAGTTCCCCTTTATAAGCCTCGATCAAAAGTAGAGCTTTCCTTTTGGTGAGTAGAAAAACTTGTGATGTAATTTTGGATTGTAATAGTTGATTGGACAACTTTTCGGGTGTAAGTTCATCAATATTGAGAGGAATTCTATTTGTAATCTGTTGATTGAATCGGTTGACTACAGTCTCATATTCCTGTGAGAGATCATCATACATTTTTCTATTCAGACTGCTTAGTAATGGTGAACTTGTATTCATAAGATCAGATAACATTCTCAATGATTGTACCGTTACGTTTGTGAATAGTCTCTCTTCATCTGTTAATTGTAGTTTATCTGTAATTCCGACGAGAAAATCAATTCGACGTTGAACTTGATAGGATCGTAATTGATAAGTGAAAGGTGGAGGATAAAACCCTGAAATGCTATCACGAAAATCCTGTTCTCTTAAGGATGACATTGAATTGAAGATGAACACTAATTGAAAGAAACAATTAATAAATAATTAAAAGGATAACGTTTGATACAATTATTGAGGTTAACTTACCAAAGAAAATGAGATGGGATAATTTAAACATTTTGATTATGATGATTTAACAAACTTGATCAATGAAATGGATTAACAATCATAAACTAGTGATTATTAGTAGCTACGTTATGTATTTAGATGTTAACGATTCGTTTATCACAATTGAGATTAGAAAACACTTCTCATTAATAATCTTGGATCTTTATCTTACTTTTTATTCAATAATGAGTGACACATAAATTATTGTGTTTTCGATTAAGATCGATAATATTATCACGATGATAGCGATAGATCAATCGATCACGAACCATTGAAATTCTTGTATTGTATTCAAGTCCAATAGATGGTATGATTACAAGAATACTTAATAGCCTTGTTTCCGGAGAGAATTATTATATTTCCATCTATTAATTGTTAGTAACTTTAAACGATAATTAATAAAATATGGTAAGAGAAAATTGAGATAAATTCTTACGAAAAGAAGACGTAATATCTTTTAATGAGATGATGTGAGTTTCCAAATAACAATAACAAAATGGTTGGTTCAGACGCTATTTACAATATAATTAACTATTCAATTGTAGCTTGGTACCTCTTACTTTTCCAAGTCAAATATTAGGTTCTGAACAATTTGAATCACTTGCTTTGAATATGAATAAGTTGCCCTTTTTTACGGATATAAATATAAATAATCTTGCTAATTAAGTTTAGTTGATAAAAAATTTCTTCTGTGAGTTGTATCGCCATGGCGTCAATACCTTACAACTTATTAGTAATTTCTGGTATATCTGGACGGTATCCTGAGGCTCAATCTTTGGAAGAGTTTTGGTTCAACCTATTGAACGGTGTTGATGGTGGTACTATCGATAATAGAAGATGGCCAACTAGTGAGTATATGAATTTGGTTTTCGAAACAGTTAATTCTACCAAAAAACTTACATTTGTGTCTCTCTTTCTATCAGCTTTGCTAAATATACCTAAAAGGTTGGGTAAAGTTCCTAATATTGGCTTTTTTGATGCAGAATTTTTCAAAATACCTACAAAATCTGTATCAACAATTTTTCCATTAATTCGTGTTATGCATGAGGCCATATACGAAATGTTCATTGATGCTGGTAAGTTTACAATCGTAAAATATCTTGAGAAAAGTTATTGATCTGTTTTTGGATCAAATGGAAGGTTTCACCCCCGATAGCTGGCGTGGTACGAACACAGGTCTTTTTTCTGGTGTTAGTGAGAGTCATAGACTACAATTCGACGGAGTTCTTTTTGGTCTGAATCACCCCGAAAGCATAAATTGGTTACATTATGTGTTTGACCTGAAAGGCCCAGTCCTCAGTGTGGACACTGCATGTGCTGCCGCTGCTTCAGCTTTCGATGTTGCAGCGAGAAGCATATTGATGGGTGATTGCGATCAAGCGATTGTTCTTGCTCATAACCATTGTGTTGTTCCATTCGTCTCTCGTTGTTTCAGATCATTTGGAATGACAAGTATTGATGGTAAGTCCAAATGTTTAGATGCTAATGCTAATGGTTATCTCAGATCTGAAAGTATTGTTGCGATTTTAATTCAACGTAAATCTGATGCCAAGAGAGTTTACGGCTCTTTAATGAATATCGTTGTGAATAACGATGGATTCACCAAAGAAGGAATTACTTTTCCACGACTCGAAGGTCAGATAGATGTTCTTAGACGAGTGTTTAAAGATGTGCATTTAGACCCAATGGATATCGACTATGTTGAAGCACATATAACGGGAACTTCAGCTGGAGATCCAGTTGAATGTAAGGCATTGATGGAAACAATGAGACCTGATTCAGAAAAACCTCTTCTTGTTGGTTGCCTCAAATCAAATATTGGTCATTCTGAAGGTTCTTCTGTTTTAAATGCGATCTCAAAAGTCGTTAAGATTTTCCAAACTGGAGTAATTCCTGCTAATTTACATTTCAACGAACCAAATCCAAATATCGATGGACTGATTAAAGGTGTTATTAGACCAATTCTTGAAAATACAAGATTCGATGGAGATCATATTTTGGTAAATGCATTCGGATTTGGCGGTGTTAATCATACTTGCATTTTGCAAGCAAATTCTAAAAGAATTGAAAAGACTGATCTAATTTTGAGTTCCAATAAAATACCACGTTTAGTCAATTTTTGCAATCGAACTTATGAAGGCTTGGAAACTATTGTTAATTTTATTGAGGAGCAAAAAGGATCGCTAACAAAATACACGTTGGCACTTTTGGATAACATGAGTAAGATCAAACCATCAACAGGGTTTGATCATCGTGGATATTTATTGTTGGACGATGAACAAACAATCATTCATCAAACATTAAAACAAAATGTATCAACTGATGAAGTTTTTCCTTGGTTGGTATTCACTCCAATGTTTAATATCTCATCACAATCATTTGTTCAACTGTTGGAAGTTCCTCTAATTTATTCAAGAATAAGATCAATGCAAACTGATCGTTTGAGCTCATTAGGAATTGATGTTATCAAGATTATCGAATCGAATCAACAAGATTTAATTTCCTTCTTAATTTCATCTATTGCGATTCAAATAGCTCTTTGTGACCTACTAACTAAACATTTGGAAATTAAACCCAAAGGTATTATTGGTCATTCGATTGGTTCAATTGCTGCTTCTTATGCCGTTGGATGTATAACCGATGAAGATGCTCTGTTAATCGGTTATCATATTGGTGTCGCTTGTAAACAATTCAAAGGAAAAGGAGCAATGGCTTACGTTAATTTACCATGGAGACAAATCGAAGAGAAGAAATTTGGTGATATTGAAATAGCTTCAAAAGAGTCGGAAGATTGGACGTTGATCACTGGCACTGAAGATACAATTAAAAAGTTCATATCAAAAATTAGGTCTAATATCAAGACAAATATTATTGACACTAAAGGGATTCCTTTCAACTCTTCTCTGCTTAGTGAAATATCAAAACCACTTGAACTTGAAATCAACCAATTTCTCAGACCATTGAAAACGAATTCCGGATTAGAGACTAATCTTTGTAGAAACTTTATCAATTCTGATCAAGAGCATATCATTGATGGACATTTTTTCGTTTCCTGTATCACAGAATCATTTAATTACAATGGTATAATAGAAAAGATCGATTCTAACTCTCTGTTACTAGAGATTGGTTTAGATGTTGAGATGAGACAATTATCAATCTTCTTAATTAACAATCGAGAAACGCTGACAAACATTTGCAGCTATAATCAATCGACTTTGCATCTTTATAAAATGATTGGTCAAATTTATCTTCATGGTCTTAATCCAATGGTTACGAATCTTTATGATAAAATTGAATATCCAGTCCCAAGAGAAACACAATCTGTTGGTCATCTGATTAAATGGAAGCATGAAAAGGAATGGTTCGATTTGAAAGTCGACAAGTATTCTAATCAACAAACTGTATTTTCCAAAATAATTGATCTTCACGATCCTTTATGGTCGTTTCTTACTGGTCATGAGATAGATGGAAGAATTTTGTTTCCAGCAACAGGTTATCTTTATGTTGCTTGGCAAATGGTCTGTAGAATTCTTGATCTCGAACCTGAAGAAAATCCAATTGAATTCTATCAAGTTCAAATTCTGCGAGCAACACAATTCACATCAACTGCAAGTCAAATGAAATTTGTTACTAAAATTAACGAAGATCTTGAAACTTTTCTCATCTACGTTAATGAGAGTAAAAATGTTTGTATTACTGGAAAATATCGTCTCGTTGATAGACCGACACTTAACTTGCCACCTATTGATAATAATATCACAGAGGTTATACTTCAAAAGAAGGATATTTATAAGGAGCTTAAAACTCGTGGTTATGATCATTCTGGATCATTCCAAGGTGTAGAAGAAGCTTCTTCTAATGGAAAGTGGGGTGCAGTCAAAGACACTGGACATTGGATTAGCTTTTCTGATGCTTGTTTACAGGTTTCGTTATTGACTTCGAAATCTCGTAAGCTGATTGTTCCTGTTTACATTGATTATGTTTACATGTTTCCCCCAGAAACATTAAGTGCCTTTAGCGATGAGACTGTCAGGTCAGTTTCTGATTCTACTAAAATGCTTAGTGTTCATTTCAATCAAGAAACGCGAATGGGACTAACAAACGGGCTCATTGTTAAAGGAATAGAAGGCGAAGAGATCAGGAGGAAGATTAACACAGCAAACCATCAAATACGAAACCATAATCTAATCCCATTTAATTCGTATCATACTTTAACCAATAGAAAAGCAATGAGACAGCAAGAGTACAGTTTTCAATGCATGAAATTGATTGAAAATATTGAGAGATTGAAATCAAGAAAACTTGATACAATAGATTGTAATGATCATATGCTAGAGATAATTGGAAGTGATAATCTTGATGAATCTTTTAGACAAATTTTGAATGAGATTTTAGAATCAGAAATACAACAATGCAAAAGTTCAATGAATGGTGTAGATTTTAACTCAAATTTAGATAATGTTCTCAACCAATATCATGATGCTCTGTATCGAGATTTTTTCTTTTATGAGCCAGAAAAAATTTTACTTGAACATATTCTTAGCATTGTTAGATACAATTTAGTCAAAAAAAAAATCTCAATTGCATTTTGTAATTTCAGTCAAAAACTATTTGAAAACGAGATTGAAAATATTTTTGATGATTATGGATTCACAGCAATGAATCATTTTATAAAAAGTGATTCTACTTCTAATGTAATTTATATTCAAAATCAAAACATCCAAAATGGTTCAGAATATGAAAAATGTTCAGAATCAAAACTATACGATTTTGTTTTTATTCGTGACAAGTCAACTCTTCTCATGTACAAAGATGCCGAACCTGAAGTTAAATGCAATCAATACAATCCGTTGTTGAAGAATCTATTTGATACACTGAAAGAAGGTGGATTTTGTCAAATTACGACAAGAACTAAATTAAGACCAGTCGAACAAGAATGGCAACAATTGATTGGAAATAATCAACATATCAACTTTGATTTATCAACACTAAAAAGTATCGCAACCGATGCTGGATTCACTTGGATATGTCACAAGGAGATGGTCGATGAAGGATATTGTTCAGTTCTACTGAGACGTCCATTCGCTCCTAATCCACATCAACAGGTAACATTTATCAGAGTGAAACTTGATAGTAATTATGATTGGGTTGATAAGATAAAAGAATTGTCTAAAGATAAGAACCATAAAATCTGGTTAACTGGAGGTGGTTATGATAACGGGATAGTTGGATTCATCACGTGTCTTTCTAAAGATCCTCAATATAATATAAGGTGTTATTATGATCCGAAAATAGGAGATGATGAAGAGATAATTGTCCCTGATGAAGTAATGGAAAGAGATTTGATAGTAAATGAAGTTGATGATAACGGAGAAAGTGGATTGTATAAAAGTGAACTTGCCAATCTTGATGATTTACAAATCGAAACAATGTCATGTTATGCTGATATTAAAACCAAAGGTGATCTTTCAAGTTTGCGATGGTTCCAATCACATCATAGTAATTGGACTCATATTCCTAAGGATAAGCTCATCGGAGATCCTGAAAATATAATAATCTATTATGGATCTTTGAATTTTAGAGATGTTCTAATTGTCACAGGAAGAATTACTTTACAATCTTACAACGACGAGCTACAAGCTCCACTAATTGGAACTGAGTTTTCTGGGATAGATTCATTGGGTAATCGAATCATGGGAATGTGTGCAGCAGGAGGAATCGGAACATCTCTTTGCACCAAAACTCATTTAACAAAGATTCAATTTCCTGAAAACTGGACATTAGCCGAAGCTGCAACAGTTCCTGTTGTCTATCTAACAGCTTATTATGGTTTAATTTCTCGAGGAAATTTACAATCTGGTGAAAGTGTTTTAATTCATGCAGGTTCAGGAGGAGTTGGTCAAGCAGCTATTTCGATCTGTCTATCAAGAGGTTGTCAAGTATTTACTACAGTTGGAACACAAGAGAAAAGGGATTTCATTAAGAAACGTTTCCCTTCAATCGATGATGATCATATTGGTGATTCTCGATCGACATCATTTGAAGATATGATTATGAAGATGACCGATGGTCGAGGTGTTGATCTGGTTTTAAACTCACTTTCTGATGATAAACTAAAAGCTTCAATCAGATGCTTATCAGATTTCGGTCGCTTCATCGAAATTGGCAAATATGATATGATCCAAAATACTAAAATTGGTAAGTCACAAATATTACATTAATACATTAATCTGTATTTTCGCATTCAATTTTGCCAATAAATGTACAAAATAATAATTTAATACCCAAATAGATTCACAATTCATAGATTTCAACAAAACTTTTCAAGCTTGCTGCTTGATGTTTCTACAAGATGATGTGTTCATCAAGATGATTCCTGGTCGGATAAAGATTTGGAATGGTATTAATGAGATGTTAAAAGAAGGAATCAAATCAGGTGAAGTTGTGCCTCTTCCAACAACGATATTCCAAATGAATCAGCTTGAAGAGTCGTTTCGGTTTATGGCAACAGGGAATCATATTGGTAAAGTTTTGATTCAAATGAGAGATGAAAATGAAGATCCGAATAAAGTCAAACTTTATCGGTCAATTGGTCAAACATTTTTCGACCTTGAAAAAACCTACATAATAACCGGTGGACTCGGAGGATTAGGACTCGAAGTTGCCTATTGGATGGTATCAAGAGGAGCAACTAATCTGATTCTTACCTCACGTTCTGGAATCAAAACAAAATACCAAGAGTATATTTTAGAAAGGATGAGAAACAATAGTTACTCTCGAGTGAATATTATCATCTCTAATGAAGATTGTTCAACTTCAGAATCAGCTGAGAGGTTAATTAATCAAGCACGAGAATTGGGCCAAATCGGTGGAGTATTTCATCTTTGTATGATTCTAAAAGACGGACTTTTCGAGAATCAAACAGCTGAAACATTTGATGAAGCTGTCAAACCAAAAGCGATCGCTTGTCGTTATTTAGATCAACTAATTCGATCATTACCCTACGATATTGATTATTTCGTATGCTTTTCTTCAATAGCTATTGAGGTCGGAAATATTGTCCAGACCAATTATTGTTTTGGTAATATGGCGATGGAAAATATTTGTAGGAAAAGAAGATTAGATGGCCTACATGGTTTGGCTATTCGATGGGGAGTAGTTGGTGATGTTGGTGCAATTACAGAGATGAATTTTCCATCTAATGAGATAGTGAGATCCTTTGCCCCAATGCGTTTGAACTTAGTATTGGATTCGCTTGAGAAAACTTTATTTTCACTTGATAATAATCATCTTAGCACCATCGTTTCCTTTCCTGATAAAAAAAGCGCATCATCATTAGGAAATAATTACTCATTGAAACAGAAAATCTTTCATATCCTAAGTTTTAAACATGAAACTAAAGTTGATCCACAATCAACTTTATCTGAACTTGGTCTTGATTCATTGATGGCAGTTGAAATTAAACAAGCTCTGGATACTGATTATGATTATTCAATGACAACCAATGAAATCCAAGAATTGAAAGTTGATGAATTAGATGAACTCGAAAAGAAATTGAAAAAATCAGAGAAGAAAAAAATCAACTCTGCTTTTTCAATAACTGAACACAGAAATATTTTCCAAATTTATACGCAATTGTTTATCCCATTGAATCAAAGTGAATCTGGATTACCATATTTTTACTTCCCTGATCGATCAGGTAACTTCCATATCGTTATTCCAGTATTTGAATCATTCTCAAAACCAGTGATCGGCATCAGTTGGACCAAAGACTGTCAGAATCTTGAATCATTGGATGAAGTTGTTAACTTTTATGTGGACTCACTTATCACCAAATATCCAAATGATAAAACATTTAATCTCATTGGTTACTCACTTGGTGGAGTGATCGCCTTGAAAGTGGCCATTGGTTTACAAAAGAAATTGGGTCAAAATTCTGTTCGAAATCTCATCATGATGGATTCATCACCTGAGATATTAAACCATCAAACGAGCACCGCTAAAAAGGCATATGAAGGAGAAGATGAAAGCACATTATTTACATATTTAGCTTTGAATTATCTTTCACAGTATATGAAAAGTGATGAAAAGATCGCGGCGAGAACAGCACTGATAGAGCTCAAAACGAAACAAGAAAAATTAGAATATGCAACTTCAATTATCAACAGAATAGGATCGTTTGAATATGATGTTAACCAGATAAGTGATGCTATCGATCTTTCTACAGATAAAATGCGAAAAACTGTGGCTATAAATGTAAACGAAATTTTCTACGGCGAAATTGTTTTGATTCGAGCAACAGAATCAGATGACAATAATTCCGATGGTCATCATTTGGATGATTATGGATTATCCAAAGTAAGTTGGATCAATTTTATTTTTTATCAATTGGTTATAAATCCAAGTGTAAATTCAAATTCTACTCTTCTTATATTACAGCATACAAATGGAGCTGTCGAGGTCTTAAAAGTGCCTGGAAATCACGATAACTTCATTATAAATGGTTTGGAAAAAATTATTGACACTCTTGAGGTGCTCGCAATGAAAACTTCTACTGGATAAATAAAAAGTTTGTGCTGATCGATTGAAAGAGCCAAATTGTCAGTTCCTATCGGAATTTAGCAATATCAATAAATATTTTAATAATACTTTAGAATAAATCTAAAAAGAACTGTTTCAAATTCAATATTTTTCACTAAGTAAATTCTGCAAAAAATTGACTTTTTAGTTAAGAGTTGAGTCTTTGTGTATATTTATGACAAAAAACATCAAGTCTAAATACATGTATGTTTATCTTTTCTTGTCTGATAAAAGGTTTTCGAGAAAATTGAGTTCGAAATTAGTAGTAATAAAACTGCCCGCCCTGGGACAAAAAGACCGCAAAAATCACCAGACCGGGAATAATTAATGGACAATTCATTCGATTGATTGGAACTATTAATCAATAATGATTAATTTTTAATTGAACACAATTATGCCTTCACATAAAAACACAAATCACTGAAGTGTAATGGTGTTGGTCCCAACTGATATTTTGGATTTCGATCTCCTCTTTAGTAAGAATATTCTTTCCATGAGAGTTTGATGAGAGAAGCAATAATTAGATATTATAAAACAAACGGCTATTCTTTACTACAGCCCCCTACTCAGATTGTCTTGAATTTTTTTCTGGGGGTAGGCCTTATGCAGATCTATATACGTGTTGATGGTTTTTTAGCGGAAACTTCTGTGGGCGGAGTTATTAGCATTTAAAAACATAAAATCCTTAAGAGGTCTATGGGCAGTTTAAACTTTTCGAAAATTGATTTTTTATGGGAGTGGGAGGTACCTAGCTCATGAAATTTTTTGGCATATAGAATGGACTATGGGCATGTTATACAGGGCATTTCACCAAGTTTCCAACAAGTTTTTCGCGAATAACTTTTTTGTCTTTGGGTATTTAGGCTCCAGACTCGAGTTATGGGAGTTTGAGCGATACTCAATTGTCATATTTTAAGGTCAAGGTCATAAAGGTTATTCATGAAAGAAGGCACTTGAAGGTCATTGGTCAAGGTCGTGAAAAACTTGTTGGAAACTTGGTGAAATGCCCTGTATATGAGCTTTCAGGCATATCTCGTTTTTCGAACGGCATTTATAAGGGGTTGCAAATAGCAAAAATTTAATTCTGCATATATTCACAGATTGGATGCTCACATTTGATTCAAAATTAGTCAGAATTTTTTTCAAGGTCGAAAAATGAGTAAAAATCATTTTGGTCAACTTTAAGCAAAGGTCAATTTTTCGTTGAAAATAGATTGCCAGAGCCCTGTTAGCTTTATCCAGCCAGCACCACGAGGAGGTAGGGTTGGACTTTGATGACCAATAGGTTAGGTTATGAGTTTGCGAATGTTAGGTCAGGAATTACTCCAGCAAATAGGATTTCACCCCAGCTCGAACACAAGCTCATAGTGGCCAAGCCTCCCGAACCCCTTTGACCAGGGCCTCAAATGGCTGGAGACCAATTTCTGAGGACCAACGTCTCCATTGGTACTCAATTAAGTGATCTGCAAAGTCTTCTTCCTCCTTCTATTCCCGAATCCTTCTATTCCTGAACAATACTCTCGCCGGACGCCAACAGGACTCATTCGGAACGAAATTCTAATACGAACACAGTAGAGATGTTCGATCTCAGATTTTCAGTTGATCGATCGATCCGATCAATTTTCGCTAATAAATCGATCAATTTCGATTTTCTAATTCAAATTTGGTGGTTGAAACAGGCTGAAAATTTTCTCTTTCTTTTGCATACTGTCTACTTTCACTGTCTAATTTCTTAATTAAGTAAAATTTATTAATAAGTTTTTTGAGTTTAGAATTTTTATCGAAAATCATGTGGTTTTTCAGGTGATCAATTTTCTGAAAGTTGAGATCGATCAATTTTTCTTTCTCAAAGATCGAGCTGATCGATCAATTTTTCAGATCGGGACAACTCTAGAACACAGAATAAAATTCACTCAAGTGAGAAAACGAATCTAGATTGAAAGTGTTAACTAGACTGAAGATACATTTGTTGATTAGATTTGTATTTATACTTAATCCAATCAATTGAATATTTTTTATCTGTTGGTAAATCTTGTTAATTGGTAACAGACAATTAAGTCAGAGATCAAAGATATGTTAACTTAAGTTTTCAACATAATCATTGTTGACTAATTGTTGTTAAAACAAAATCTTACTGCGGGAAAAATAGCAATGTAATCAGAGTTAACAAAAGTTAAAGAAGATAAGAAGAAAGAGAAAATATTTGTAGAAAGAGAAAAGTAAGTAAAGAAAGAGAAAACCAAATTGACGCCAATGATTAAAACCAGAAGGTTATTTTCATAAGAATTGACAAGACTATTGTCTCTTCATCATTAACTGTTAATTTATTTTTCTAAAGAAAATGATTAGTTGTTGATTAAGTGAAAATGTGATTAATTAACTAAAGTTAAATTTAAATGAATAAAATTAATAAGTAAAGTGAAGGGTTAAATCTCTACCCTACAATCGTAAATTCTAATTAATCTTGTTACAAGATTCTTGTCTGTTTACTTCCGTATTTCAGGATTTCAACTGCACTTAAGTAATTATGCATTTTGGTCACTACTTTTTTCATCGATAATTAAATTAAGGTAGTGCAACTGAAAATTGACACATAAATGAAATTGTTGATTATTCGTCAACCAGAGAGTTTTAATTATTGAAATAGACACCAATGGTAGATCAGATTTTGAGGATTCTAATAACACTAAAAAAATATTAATTAAAAAAAGACTTAAAATTATTAGCATTTAAATCAGTTTATCAAACTTAAATTATCAAATTCATATTGAAAATTTGGTTTTTTCTAAATTTAAATACAAAAGTTTTTTCTTTGAAAATTTCACGATTTTTTTATATAAAATTAAAATTCATTTTCTAATCTACAAGATGGTATGAAAAAATATTGGTTAACATGATTAGTTTTCTAATTACAGTAAGTCACTTTTATTTGAAGCTTTAACAGCGGCCTCAGGGGAGGCTTCGATGAATTAAAATTCATCGTTTCCGGTAATGACGGCCGTACCAGGGAAAGGGGAAAGAGGGACAAGGAAGGGAATAATTGATGAGGAAAAGAAAACAATACAATAATTAACAATTTTTCTCCCCTGAGGCCGAATACAAATTTGAGATAAAATTTAAAAATAAAATTTAGTCACAATAGACAAAATGTTCTTTCAAAACAAATGGACAAAATGTTCTTTCAAAACAAATGGACTAGAGTCCTTTCAACACAAATCCCATTAGGGCTTTTATAAATATTATTAATTGAGTGGTTAGTTTGATTGTCCAAAGTCCAAAAAACGGTTAACTCATTAAGTATGAAACGAAAAAAAAAGAAATAATAATAAGCAAATAAAATTAGAATTTCAATCTAATCAAAGAAATAGAGAAAAGAAAATTGAATCTGATTATCAACAAAACTTCCCAAGAAAAAGAAAATGGTTCAAGTTATTACGACGCAATAATAGCTCAGTTTTTAGAGTAACAAAAATAACTAAAGTAACTGTTGAATTATCATAATTTTGGTATCAACTTGATCCGTATGATAAGATAAATAATAATAACATAAAATTGAATTTTAAATTCACAGGTAAAGTTAATTAAATTAAAGCTTATCAGGAGCCATAAAAATCATCAGTCACCTTTTCAGTCACACACTTATTTTGTGAAGAAAATCACTACCGCCATCTATTGACTTTATCAGAGTCACAAATTATTTTCATTAATGACCTTTTTTAGTCATTAAAACCGATTCTTTCGATTTCGGAGACTTTTTCATGAATTATTTGTTCCAATAGCTTCTTTCTATCAATTATTGATAGAAAGAAAGTCTAATCAAAAAAATTTAATTAATGTTTTTTTGAATAATAATTTTCAACGTTGTTTTTCTGCTTCAAATGGTCAATAGATGGCGACTTAGGTCGAAAATACAAAATAAGTGAATACAAAAACTTAATGAATCTGACCTGATAAATTTTAATTTAATTAAATTTAACTGTGAATTTAAAAATAAATTTTGTTTTAATATTGTTCAACTAATCACACGGATCAAGTTGATACCTAAATTATGACATTTCAACTGCTACTTAAATTGTTCTAGATATTCTTAAAACTGAGACGTTATTAATTCGCAGCCATGTGTTTTCTTGGTAAGTTTTGTTAATAATTATTTTAAAAAATTGAATTTCTAATTTTATTTTCTTTTTCTTTTTCGTGTCATACCTAATGAGCCAACCATTTTGGACCTTTGGACAATCGCCATAATTTTGAAAAGGACTCTGGTCCATGGAAAACATTTTGAGGAGAAAAATTTATAGAGAATAGCCCTTTATTGGGATTAGGCGAACAGAATTTTGTGAATTAATTAATATCTCATATGTAATTCGACCTCAGGGGAGAAAAATTTATTACTTATTATTTATTATTTTCTTCTCTTTTCTTCGTCCCTTATTCCCTTCCTTGTCTCTTATTTCCTTTTCCCTGGTACGGTTGTATTTGCCGGAAACGATGAATTTTCATTCATCGAAGCCTCCCCTGAGGTCGCTGTTAAAGCTTAAAAATAAATACAAAATAAGTGTGTGACTTACTGTATTTAATTTAAAGAAACAATTAGTTAATGATAAATCCGTCGATAATGTTTCTGTTAAGTGCTTAACATTTTTTATCCCATAGAGGGAGCTATAAAAGTTAATTTATTTTCAACAATTAGTTACAAAATAGTTGATTAATTTTTTGTTAATTATAGTATTTTCTATAATTTGATGTCATTAGAATCCGCAAAATCTGATCTACCATTGGTGTTGATTTCAATAATTAAAACTCTCTGGTTGACGAATAATCAACAATTTAATTTATGTGTCAATTTTCAGTTGCACTACCTTATATATTAAATAATTGATTAAATTGTTTGGCACTTTGAATAAGCAGAAATTGCTTGCACCAATTTGTTTTCTTTGTTTTTTTTGGTTTAATTGTAACTATCAAGTGATGTTAATGATTACGATAAAGATGATTGCTGAATGTCTTTGACACTCAACTGTGTCAATATAACTCAATCTTAGACTAGTAGATGACAAGTTTATCATAATCAGAGGATATCATGTACATGATATTTCAACGGTATAAGTACCATTGAATTTTAATCTTACAATTTTAGATTGTGACTCAAATTTTTATATTATCTTTGCGTCTTTTGCCATTGAATGAAAGAGCGATTCTTGATCTGAAATCAGTGCATTAGGAGAATCATGTTCAACAATTTGTCCTTTATCCATGACAATGATTTTATCATAATCCATGATTGTATTTAGTCGATGTGCAATTGTTACTATTGTACAATTTGCAAACTCTTTTCTTATTGTTTCTTGGATCAGTTCATCGGTTTCAACATCAACTGCGGCCGTTGCCTCATCCAATATAAGAACTTTCGACTTACCAAGGAAAATGAGATGGGATAATTTAAACATTTTGATTAAGATGATTTAACAAACTTGATCAATGAAATGGATTAACAATCATAAACTAGTGATTATTATTAATAGTAACTACATTATGTATTTAGATGTTAAAGATTCATTTATCGTAAATGAGATTAGAAAACACTTAATCTTGGATCTTTATCTTACTTTTTATTCAATAATGAGTGACACATAAATTATTGTGTTTTCGATTAAGATCGATAATATTATCACGATGATAGCGATAGATCAATCGATCACGAACCATTGAAATTCTTGTATTGTATTCAAGTCCAATAGATGGTATGATTACAAGAATACTTAATAGCCTTGTTTCCGGAGAGAATTATTATATTTCCATCTATTAATTGTTAGTAACTTTAAACGATAATTAATAAAATATGGTAAGAGAAAATTGAGATAAATTCTTACGAAAAGAAGACGTAATAGCTTTTAATGAGATGATGTGAGTTTCCAAATAACAATAACAAAATAGTTTGTTCAGACGCTATTTACAATATAATTAACTATTCAATTGTAGCTTGGTACCTCTTACTTTTCCAAGTCAAATATTAGGTTCTGATCAATTGTTCAAATCACTTGTTTTGAATATAAATAAGTTGCCCTTTTTTTACAGATAAAAATATAAATGATCTTGCCAATTACATTTAGTTGATAAAAAATTTCTTCTGTGAGTTATATCGCCATGGCGTCAATACCTTACAACTTATTAGTTATTTCTGGTATATCTGGACGGTATCCTGAGGCTCAATCTTTGGAAGAATTTTGGTTCAACCTGTTGAACGGTGTTGATGGTGGAACTATCGATGATAGAAGATGGCCAACTAGTGAGTATATCAATTTGGCTTTCGAAACAGTTGATTCTATAGTTGTCTCTCTTTTTACCAGCTTTGCCAAATATACCTAAAAGGTTGGCCAAAGTTCCTAATATTGGCTTTTTTGATGCAGAATTTTTCAAAATACCTGCAGAATCTGTATCAACCATTATTCCATCAATTCGTGTTTTGCATGAGGTTATATACGAAATGTTTATTGATGCTGGTAAGTTTACAATCGTAAAATATCTTGAGAAAAGTTATTTATTCATTTCTGGATCAAATGGAAGGTTTCACCCACGATGGTTGGCGTGGTACAAACACAGGTCTTTTTGCTGGTGTAAGTGCGAGTCATAGACCACAATTAGATGGAGATCCTCTTGGTATTAATCATCCCGAAAGTATAAATTGGTTACATTATATGTTTGACCTGAAAGGTCCAGTCATCAGCGTGGACACTGCATGTGCTGCCGCTGCTTCAGCTTTCGATGTTGCAGTGAGAAGTTTATTGATTGGTGATTGTGATCAAGCGATTGTTCTTGCTAGTAATCATTGTGTTGTTCCATACGTCGCTCATTGTTTCAGATCATTTGGAATGACAAGTATTGATGGTAAGTCCAAATGTTTAGATGCTAATGCTAATGGTTATCTCAGATCTGAAAGTATTGTTGCGATTTTAATTCAACGTAAATCTGATGCCAAGAGAGTTTACGGTTCTCTAATAAATATCGCTGTGAATAATGATGGATTCACCAAAGAAGGAATTACTTTTCCACGACTCGAAGGTCAGATAGATATTCTTAGACGATTATTTAAAGATGTGCCTTTAGATCCAGTGGGTATCGATTATGTCGAAGCGCATGTAACGGGAACTGCAGCTGGAGATCCAATTGAATGTAAGGCATTGATGGAAACAATGAGACCCGATTCAGATAAACCTCTTCTTGTTGGTTGTCTCAAATCAAATATTGGCCATTCTGAAGGTTCTTCCGTCTTAAATGCGATCTCAAAAGTTGTTAAGATTTTCCAAACTGGAGTAATTCCTGCTAATTTACATTTTAACGAACCAAATCCAAATATCGATGGACTGATTAAAGGTGTTATTATACCAATTCTTGAAAATACAAGATTCGATGGAGATCATATTTTGGTAAATGCATTTGGATTTGGTGGTGTTAATACTACCTTCATTTTGCAAGCCAATTCTAAAAGAATCGAGAAGACTGATCTAATTTTAAGCTCCAATAAAGTACCACGTTTAGTCAATTTTTGCAATCGAACTTATGAAGGATTGGAAACTATCGTTAATTTTATTGAGGAGCAAAAAGGATCGCTAACAAAATACACGTTGGCACTTTTGGATAACATGAGTAAGATCAAACCATCAACAGGGTTTGATCATCGTGGATATTTACTGTTGGATGATGAACAAACAATCATTCATCAAACATTAAAACGAAATGTATCAACTGATGAAGTGTTCCCTTGGTTAATGTTCACTCCAATGTTTAATGTCTCATCACAATCATTTGTTCAACTGTTGGAAGTTCCTCTAATTTATTCAAGAATAAGATCTATGCAAACTGATCGCTTGAGCTCATTAGGGATTTATGTTATCAAGATTATTGAATCAAATCAACAGGATTTAATTTCCTTCTTAATTTCGTCAATTGCGATTCAAATTTCTCTTTGTGACCTACTAACTAAGCATTTGAAAATTAAACCGAAAGGTATTATTGGTCATTCGATTGGTTCAATTGCTGCTTCTTATGCTGATGGATGTATAACCGATGAAGATGCTCTGTTAATCGGTTATCATATTGGTGTCGCTTGTAAACAATTCAAAGGAAAAGGAGCAATGGCTTATGTTAATTTACCATGGAGACAAATTGAAAAGACGAATTTTGGTTGTATCGAATTAGCTTCACACCAGTCGGAAGATTGGACGTTGATCACTGGTACTGAAGATGCAATTAAAAAGTTCATCTCATCAATTGGACGCAATGTCAAGACGAATATTATTGATACTAAAGGGATTCCTTTTAATTCATCTTTGCTTGAAGAAGTATCAAAACCACTTGAACTTGAAATCAACAAATTTCTCAGACCATTGAAAACAAATTCCGGACTAAAGACAAATCTTTGTGAAAACTTTATCAATTCTGATCAAGAGCATATCATTGATGGACATTTTTTCGTTTCCTGTATCACAGAATCATTCAATTTTAATGAAATAATAGAAAAGATTGATTCCAACTCTGTGTTATTAGAGATTGGTTCAAATGTTGAGACGAGACGATCATCAATCTTCTTAATTAACAATCGAGAAACGCTGACAAACATTTGCAGCTATAACCAATCGATTGTGCATCTTTATAAAATGATTGGTCAAATTTATCTTCATGGTCTTAATCCAATGGTTACAAATCTTTATGATCAAATTGGATATCCAGTTCCAAGAGAAACTCAACCTGTTGGTCATCTGATTAAATGGAAGCATGAAAAGAAATGGTTTGATGCTAAATATGACAAGTATTCTAATCAACAAACTGTATTTTCCAAAATAGTTGATCTTCACGACCCTTCCTGGTCATTTCTTACTGGTCATCAGATAGATGGAAGAGTTTTGTTTCCAGCAACAGGTTATCTTTATATTGCTTGGCAAATGGTCTGTAAGGCTCTGAATCTCGAACCTAACGAAAATCCAATTGAATTCTATCAAGTTCAAATTCTTCGAGCAACACAATTCACATCAACTGCAAGTCAAATGAAATTTGTTACCAAAATTAACGAAGATCTTGAAACTTTTCTCATCTACGTTAATGAGAGTAAAAATGTTTGTATAACTGGAAAATATCGACCTGTTGATAAACCGACAGTAAACTTGCTACCTGTTGATTTCAAGAATATCAAAGAAAACACAGAGATTATACTTCAAAAGAAGGATATTTACAAGGAACTTAGAATTCGTGGTTATGATTATTCGGGATCATTCCAAGGTGTAGAAGAAGCTTTTTCTAATGGAAGTTGGGGTATGGTCAAAGACACTGGACATTGGATTAGCTTTTCTGATGCTTGTCTGCAGTTTTCATTATTGGCTTCGAAATCCCGTAAGCTGATTGTTCCTGTTTACATTGATTATGTTTACATGTTTCCCCCAGAAACATTAAGTGCCTTTAGCGATGAAACTGTCAGATCAGATTCTGATTCTACTAAAAAACTTAGTGTTTATTTCAATCAAGAAACGAGAATGGGACTCACTTGCGGTTTTATTCTTAAAGGATTAGAAGGCGAAGAGATCAGAAGAAAGATCAACACAGTAAACCACCAAATACGAAACCATAATCTAATCCCATTTAATTCGCACCATAAGTTTAGCAATGAAAAAGCAATGAGACAACAAGAGTACAGTTTTCAATGCATGAAATTGATTGAAAATATTGAGAGATTGAAATCAAGAAAACTTGATACAATAGATTGTAATGATCATATGCTAGAGATAATTGGAAGTGATAATCTTGATGAATCTTTTAGACAAATTTTGAATGAGATTTTAGAATCAGAAATACAACAATGCAAAAGTCCAATCGATGATGTAGATTTCAGCTCGAATTTAGATAATGTTCTCAACCAATATCATGATGCTCTGTATCGAGATTTTTTCTTTTATGAGCCAGAAAACATTTTACTTGAACAAATTCTGAGCATTGCAAGATACAATTTAATCAAGAAAAAAATCTCCATTGCATTTTGTAATTTCAGCCAAAAACTATTCGCAAACGAGATTGAAAATATTTTCAATGATTATGGATTCAATACAATGAATCATTTTATAAAGAGTGATTCTGATTTTAATGTAATTTATATTCAGCCCAAAACACCGAAAATGGTTCAGAATCAAAGTTATACGATTTTATTTTTATTCGTGACAAGTCAACTCTTCTCATGTACAAAGATACCGAACCTGAAGTCAAGTGCAATCAATACGATCCATTGTTGAAGAATCTATTTGATTCACTAAAAGAAGGTGGATTTTGTCAAATTATGACGAGAACTAAATTAAGACCAGTCGAACAAGAATGGCAACAATTGATTGGAAATAATCAACATATCAACTTTGATTTATCAACACTAAAAAGTATCGCAACCGATGCTGGATTCACGTGGATTTGTCACAAGGAGATGATCGATGAAGGATATTGTTCAGTTCTACTGAGACGACCATTCACACCTAATCCAGATCAACAGGTGACATTTATCAGAGTGAAACTTGATAGTAATTATGATTGGATTGATGAGATAAAAGAATTGTCTAAAGATAAGAATAATAAAATCTGGTTAACTGGAGGTGGTTACGATAACGGGATAGTTGGACTCACTATGTCTCTGGTTAAAGATCCACATGGTTATAATTTAAGATGTTATTATGATCCAAGGAAAGGAGATGATGAAGAGATAACTGTTCCTGATGAAGTGATGCAAAGAGATTTGATAGTAAATGAAGTTGATGATAACGGAGAAATTGGATTGTATAAAAGTGAACTTGCCAATCTTGATGATATAGAAATCGAAACAATGTCATGTTATGCTGATATTAAAACCAAAGGTGATCTTTCAAGTTTGCGATGGTTCCAATCACATCATAGTAATTGGACTCATATTTCTAACGATAAGCTCATCGAAGATCATGAAGAGATAAAAATCTATTATGGATCTTTGAATTTTCGTGATATTCTCGTCGCAACTGGACGAGTTCCTCTTCGTTCATATCCTCTTTATGATAGTGTTCATTACATGCCATCAATTGGTATTGAGTTTTCGGGTATCAATTCGTCTGGTGAAAGAGTTATGGGTATTTGTAGTTCTAGTGGATTAGCAACTTCATCAATAATCCAATCAAATTCATCTCGTGTCCTTGTTCCTGAAAACTGGACATTAGCCGAAGCTGCTACAGTTCCAATTGTCTATCTAACAGCTTATTATGGTTTAATTTCTCGAGGAAATTTACAATCTGGCGAAAGTGTTTTAATTCATGCAGGTTCAGGAGGAGTTGGTCAAGCAGCTATTTCGATCTGTCTATCAAGAGGCTGTCAAGTATTTATTACAGTTGGAACACAAGAGAAAAGGGATTTCATTAAAAAACGTTTTCCTTCAATCGATGATGATCATATTGGTGATTCTCGATCGACATCATTTGAAGATATGATTATGAAGATGACCGATGGTCGAGGTGTTGATTTGGTTTTAAACTCACTTTCTGATGATAAACTAAAAGCTTCAATCAGATGCTTATCAGATTTCGGTCGCTTCATCGAAATTGGCAAATATGATATGATCCAAAATACTAAAATTGGTAAGTTGGAAATATTTTCAATCTTCAATTTAGACAATGAATGTACAAATTACATTGTATTAATACAATACCCAAATAGATTCGCAATTCATAGATTTCAACAAAACGTTTCATGCTTGTTGCTTGGCTTTTCTACAAGATGATGTGTTCATCAAGATGATTCCTGATCGGATAAAGGTTTGGAATAACCTCATTGAGATGTTAAAACAAGGAATCAAATCAGGTGAAATCGTACCTCTTCCAACAACGATATTCCAAATGAATCAGCTTGAAGAGTCGTTTCGGTTTATGGCAACAGGGAAACATATTGGTAAAGTTTTGATTCAAATGAGAGATGAAAATGAAGATCCGAATAAAACTAAACTTTATCGGTCAATTGGTCAAACATTTTTCGATCTTGAAAGAAGTTACATAATAACTGGTGGACTTGGAGGATTAGGACTCGAAGTTGCCTATTGGATGGTATCAAGAGGAGCAACTAATCTGATTCTTACCTCACGTTCTGGAATCAAAACAAAATACCAAGAGTATATTTTAGAAAGAATGAGAAACAATGGTTACACTCGAGTGAATATTATCATCTCTAATGAAGATTGTTCCAATTTGGAATCGACTGAGAGGTTAATTAATCAAGCACAAGAATTGGGCCAAATTGGTGGAGTATTTCATCTTTCTATGGTTCTAAAAGATGGACTTTTCGAAAATCAAACAGCTGAAACATTTGATGAAGCTGTCAAACCAAAAGCAATCGCTTGTCGTTATTTGGATCAATTAATTCGATCTCTACCCTACGATATTGATTATTTCGTATGCTTTTCTTCAATAGCTGTTGAGGTCGGAAATATTGCCCAGGCAAATTATTGTTTCGGTAATACAGCGATGGAAAATATTTGTAGGAAAAGAAGATTAGATGGTCTACATGGTTTGGCTATTCGATGGGGAGCAGTTGGAGATGTTGGTGTAATTACAGAGATGAATTTGCCATCCAATGAGATATTGAGATCCTTTGCCCCAATTCGTTTGAACTTAGCATTGGATTCGCTTGAGAAAACTTTATTTTCACTTGATAATAATCATCTTATCACCATCGTTTCCTTTCCTGATAAAAAAAGTGCATCATCAATAGGGAATAATTACTCATTGAAACAGAAAATCTTTCATATCCTTAGTGTTAAAGATGCAACTAAAGTTGATCCACAATCAACTTTATCTGAACTTGGTCTTGATTCATTGATGGCAGTTGAAATCAAACAAGCTCTGGATACTGATTACGATTATTCAATGACAACCAATGAAATTCGAGAATTGAAAATTGGTGAATTAGATGAACTTGAAAAGAAATTGAAAAAATCAGAGAAGAAAAAAATCAACTCTCCTCATTCATTAACTGGACTCAGAAATATTTTCATTACTCCTTCGCAATTATTTATCCCATTGAATCAAAGTGAATCTGGATTACCATATTTTTACTTCCCTGATCAATCAGGTCAATTCCATATCGTTATTCCAGTATTTGAATCATTCTCAAAACCAGTGATCGGCATCAGTTGGACCAAAGACTGTCAGAATCTTGAATCATTGGATGAAGTTGTTAACTTTTATGTGGACTCACTTATCACCAAATATCCAAATGATAAAACATTTAATCTCATTGGTTACTCACTTGGTGGAGTGATCGCCTTGAAAGTGGCCATTGGTTTACAAAAGAAATTAGGTCAAAATTCTGTTAGAAATCTCATCATGATGGATTCATCGCCTGAGATAGTAAGCAACAGAAAGAGAATCGTTAAAAAAGCATATGAAGAAAAAGATGAAAGCACAGTATTTACATACTTTACTTTGGATTATCTTTCACCGTTCATGAAAAGTGATGAAAAAAACGAAGTGAGAACAAAACTGTTCGAGCTCAAAACAAAACAAGAAAAATTAGAATATGCAACTTTAACTATCAACAGGATAGGATCGTTTGAATATGATGTTAACCAGATAAGTGATGCTATCGACATTTTGCAGATAAAATGCGAAAAACTTTCGCTATAAACGTGGACAAAATTTTCACGGTGAAATTTTTTTGATTCGAGCAACAGAACCAGATGAAAACAATTCCGATTTCCATCATTTGGATGATTATGGATTATCCAAAGTAAGTTGGATCAATTTTATTTTTATCAATTGGTTATAAAGTTTATAAGCACAATTTCAAATTCAAAATCTACTCTTCTTATTTTACAGTATACAAATGGAGCTGTCGAGGTTTTAAAAGTGCCTGGGAATCACGATAACTTCATTATAAATGATTTGGGAAAAATTATTGACACTCTTGAGGTGCTTGCAATGAAAACTTCTACTGGATAAATAAAAAGTTTGTGCTGATAATAATACCTCAGGGTGAATCTAAAAAGAACTGTTTCAAATTCAATTTTTTCACTAAGGAAATTCTGCAAAAAATTAGACTTTTAAGTTAAGAGTTGAGACTTTGTGGATTTGTAGGGCCAAAAATAATAAGTCTAAATATGTTTATCTTTTTTAATCTGATGAATAGTTTTCGAGAAAATCGAGTTCGAAGTTGAAACTTAAGGTCACTTTTTCTCAGCAACGATAAGTTTTTAGATCATGAAATTTTTATTATTGGTGGTCACAAACAAAAATAAGCAATGTCTTTTGTCAAACCAAATGAATTAATAATAATGTTGATAACAATTAAATTGTGTCCTACTAACTTCAACCATTTTTTTCTTTCTAAGTTCTTTAGTGGTAAGTTGCCGATACAGTTTTCTCTTGATTCTTGCAATTTTCTCAATTTCGGACTCATTCTTTGAATAGATTGAAATTCTAATATTATTTTATCATTTTCTTCATGACAAACCTAATGAGTCCAACTATCTTTGGACCTGATTTTCACCTTCGCCTCAAACAATTGGCACTTATTTCAAATTAAGACTTTTTCATCGATAATTAAATTATATATTAAATAATTGATTAAATTGTTTGGCACTTTGAATAAGCAGAAATTGCTTGCACTAATTTGTTTTCTTTGTTGTTTTGGTTTAATTGTAACTATCAAGTGATGTTAATGATTACGATAAAGATGATTGCTGAATGTCTTTGACACTCAACTATGTCAAAATAACTCAATCTTAGACTAGTAGATGACAAGTTTATCATAATCAGAGGATATCATGTACATGATATTTCAACGGTATAAGTACCATTGAATTTTAATCTTACAATTTTAGATTGTGACTCAAATTTTTATATTATCTTTGCGTCTTTTGCCATTGAATGAAAGAGCGATTCTTGATCTGAAATCAGTGCATTAGGAGAATCATGTTCAACAATTTGTCCTTTATCCATGACAATGATTTTATCATAATCCATGATTGTATTTAGTCGATGTGCAATTGTTACTATTGTACAGTTTGCAAACTCTTTTCTTATTGTTTCTTGGATCAGTTCATCGGTTTCAACATCAACTGCGGCCGTTGCCTCATCCAATATAAGAACTTTCGACTTACGTAGTAAAGCTCGAGTTAAACAAACTAATTGTCTTTGGCCTAAGGAAAGGTTTTCACCTCCCTCAGTAATTTCGTAACTTAAACCAGAATCTAGACTATCAACAAACTCTTTCAAATGAGCTTGTTCAAGAGCGGAAAAAATTTCTTGGTCAGTTTTGTGATCGAACGGATCCAAATTTCTTCTTAATGAGCCAGTAAATAGAACTGGATCTTGTGGGATTACAGTTAATCGTGATCGAAGGTCATGAAGTCCAAGTTTAGTCAAGTCTTTACCATCTATGACTATGGTTCCACTGGCAGGTTCAATTAGCCGAAACAAGGCCAAAGTAAGTGATGATTTACCTGCTCCCGTTCGTCCAACAATCCCGACCTTTTCGTTTGGACTGATTGTACAAACGATATCTTTTAGAACAAGCTCAAGACCAGGTCGATATCTTGTTGAATATTTGTTGAATGTTATTTTTCCTTCTTTAGGCCAATCCTTTGTCGGGTGATATAATGGATTAATCCAAGGGGCCTACAGATAAGTGCGAATTCAAAAGTAAATTAGATAAGATTGCAAACATAATCGTTTCATATTCATTTACCTCGGTATCGACTCTAGTGTATTCGAGACATCTCTCAATGCAAACAATGTTAGTTTCAACATCGGACACACTGCGAACTAAAAAGCTAAGAATCATTGTTATTTGTAGTGCATAAGTTATTGCGAGGCCCGTTTTACCAGGACTCACGTCTCCCTTAGTCAACACAGCAAAAACTGTCGCCAGTGTTACAATCATATTGCCCAGAAATTCAAGACGAATTGCTAGCCAACGATCAGCAGTAAGGTTTGCAAAATACGAAGCATGATTTGTGTCAACCAAATGATAGATTCTATTGGTAAACCGATCAACTGCCCCATAAGTTTTGATCGAAGTTGAACCGGCTACTGTTTCAGAGAAATGTGAATAAATGGGTGACCTTGTAATTGATTCAATTCGCCTCAGTTGTCGCGAACTAGCGATATAAAATTTCTGAACCATAACATAGACAATTCCAACTACCAATATAACAATAATCAAATATGATGTTTGTAAACAGATAATGATAACGGCGACGATTGCTCGGAAAATTTGAGAGATGAGAAAACTGAATGAGAAACCCATCAGAGTATCGGCAGTGTTCATGTCGGCAGTAAAACGATTCAGAATCCTACCAATAGGTGTTGTATCAAAAAACGACATCGGTGCACGAACAAGTCTTGCCAGCATCTTTTCGTGTATCAAACGGGCTCCGTTCACTGTGGCAACATTTATTGTGGCCGAAATTATGAAAACAATTAGAGATTCAGAGATTCCCAAAGTTGTGTAAACCCAGAGTCGTTTGTTTCTAAGTCTCGTATTATTATACGTTGTTGGGTCAAGAGAATCATCTGACCAATCGGTTAGCCAAAAGCTTGACCTTAAATTTAATCCACTTCCAAGGCAGTAAAGTGCCAATAAAACAACACACGGGACAATACCAATGGCGGTGAAATATTCCAAATAAACTTTCCATTCAACTGAACCTTTTTCAGCCGTTTCTGTTTCGACAAGTTTGAACTTGGACTCAATGTTCTCGGAATTTTTTTTCTTTCCTGATCGTTTCTTATTCGTTTCATCAGTTATAATACTTGAACGTTTCCGTATCTCGGAAATTTTGCCATTAGACACTGTAGATTCAGATCGGCTTAGAACTTTTTTCTCGACTTCAGGATCCAGTACTTGGATAAACTCTCGATCTTCCGGATCTAACTCATCTTTCTGTTCAGCTAAATAATGACAGATGAAATCATTGAATTCGCCCTGTCTTCCCATCAGCTCAGCAAAAGTGCCCGACTCTCTGACTTGACCATCTTTCATAACGATTATTTGGTCAGCCTGTGGTAAAAATGTTATTCTGTGTGTCACTAAAAGTCGAGTTTTACCCTTCAATAAGCCTTGAGGACCAATGACTTTTTCAAATAAATGTTTGGCTACATGAGAATCAACCGCTGATAAAGGATCATCGAAAAAGTAAATGTCGGAATTTGCATAAACAGCTCTTGCAAGGCTTATTCTTTGCTTTTGTCCACCCGATAAATTGATTCCCTTCTCACCAATTTCAGTGGCATCGCCTCCAGTTAGCATCTTTAAATCGGGAGTGAGAGCACATGAATCGATTACATTATCATATTTACTTTGGTTAAAACTCGAGCCAAATAATATATTCTCCCGAACTGTAGCATTTAAAATCCACGCACTTTGAGGCACATAGGCCACTTTTCCGTACACATTAACATAACCCTGTTTCTTGTGTAAATCTCCTAAAAGTGCAGATAAAAGAGACGATTTACCAGAACCAACAGTTCCAACAACAGCGACCAACTTTTGTTTTTCTACTTTTATGTTGATATCTTTCAATGTCGCTTCTTCTTCAGGAGACCAGGAAAAAGTTGCATCTCGAACTACTATCGGTGTAATTGAATCAGGTTTATGGTCAATTGAATCGTTCACGAGCTCATCTCCATCAAGGTATTTGTTGATTCTTTTGATGGAAACGTAAAACTGAGCATTCAGAAACATAACAGACACAAATATCAGAATCATTAGAAATAGAAAATTACTAACAACTATGCAAATATTATGAGCAAATTTCAAGGAGAAAACTAGTCAACTGAAACTTACACTTGTACCATGAGAAATAACAATCGGTAAAAAGCCCAAAGGTCCGCCAAGAATACTGATCAGTGAAATCGATACGAATGCTTTGTTTGCATCAAGAACATGTTTTCTGTCTATCAAGACATAAGTCACAAAGTTCGTAGCCGTTATCTGTCACAGAAAATGGAGTTTCGTTGGTTAATCCAATACAAATATGGCGGGTTTGAGGTCAGGGTATGTCACTTACAAAGAATGGTGCACATGTAAAGGTAAATATAAACCAAGCTGCCCAAAGGGCTTGAGACTTCAGAGCCTTGATTTCGTTTTTTCTTATCGAAGAGACAATATCACCAAAAGCCGATTCCCATGCATAAAGTTTAAGAACTTTCATTCCGTTGAGAATATCAGAAAGTAATTTGGAACGTGAGTCTTTCTCTTTCATAAGGCGAGTTTGAAGTTTTTGATATTGAGTGAATACAAATCCATTCAAAGGCATTACAACCGCCATTAAAACTAGTCCAGCGATGGATGATACACCCAATTGACGCCATAAAAGGTAAATGGTTAAAGCAAATTGAATCGGTGCTGTCCAAGCGTAATTGAATACGTTGACATATTCAATGATACGCTGAGTGTCGACCGACATTAGATTGACAATCTCACCGGTGGTGAAGTCTCGGCGACCTAAACTTGATAATCGTAAGCTCTGTGAATAATAAAAATGTTATTAAACTCTATTGAAACTGGTAATTAGATAGATGGACTTACCTTTCGATAAATTGCTGTGATTAACGCTGATCTGATTCTCATTGCAGTGATATTGGTCCAGAATTCATATTGGGACTCAAATATTGTCGAAGCAATTGAAGCAGTGAAAATACTCAGAGCAATAATGTAACCTCTCCAATTTGGTTGATTGGAAATGATGAAGGTCAAGAGTTGATCCATTAGCTGGGGACTTGCGAACACAAGTAAACTTGAAATTAGCTTACAAATGGCACTTAAAAGTAATGGAAGCCAAAAATTTCTAATTAATACACCAAGAAGATTAATATGATTCGATGGAGAAGATGATGAACGTATATAATTGTCGAAACGTTTCCTGATTGTGATCGATTGATTGTCTTCCGCCAGTTTCCACATATCAGATTGGTCAAGCGATTTACGGAAACCTTTTAATGCCATTGAATCGAACCAAAAGAAGAGTATTCTACTGATAAACGAAGCTCTTTCATATGGACATTCGTTCTGTAAATGTATCAATGTGTTCAAATTAGTAATTGATTAATTGTTTTGCTTCTCGTTCTTCTCTTACTTCTTTAATCAGTGAACTTGGAATCCTCGAATCTGGAAAACACTGTAATAACAGCATACAAATTGATCCAACAAGATGAAAAGTCTTGGCGATTTTATCGGATAAACTGAATGACCACTCATAATAATTCTAAATATTAATAAATTCAGAGAATGGAAAACATTTCCAAAGGATTAATGAAGATTGAAACAATTGAAATTATCATGACTTACTGGATCTTTCGAAGTTTGGATTAGAGATAAATAGTTGATTGATTCATAGATGAACATAAAAAACCAGTAAATGAATAATAATGCCGACGTATGAACACCATTGAATCGATACCAAAGAGACAAACCTACTGCCAAAGTCTATCATCAGATTAATATTAATATTGAATTACAAGGCCAATGGATCTTAGGTGGATTAAGACTTGAGATTTTATCTTCTTACATGTATTTAAAGTTCAAAGTTTAATAGAGACGATGTTCTAAGAGTGATACTAATTAGATGGAAATTTGAGTTTCGCAGAATAGAATCTACAGTTACTGTTGTTGGGCGTTGATAGAAAATTCGAAAATATATCAAATACGAAAAATAGTGTGAATTCTGTTCGGGTTTTAACCAAAAAATAAAAGTCTTCCTGGCTATAAGATTGTCGATCAGATCGAAATTTCAAATGGTAAATAATATTAATAGCTTACGTAGGTCATCAATTTGATTAACGGTGAATAATAATCGACAGGGTGAATGTTTGTACCATGTTTAAAATCGATTATGATGATGATAAACTGAATTCCAACCAGCACGATTAGACATAATCCAATGATCTATTCAAGAAAAACAGAATCGTTAAGTTGCAAATTCTCATCGTATAACTAAATGGGAAAATTAAGATCAAAATACTCAACTAATTTGGCCGTAAGGAGAAAAGTCCATGGTAACTTTTTCCTTTTACTTCGAGATGAGTTTAAAACTGATTGAACCGCGAACGGAAATAGTGTCCAAAGGAAACCCGAGATTGTCCATAGTAAACTAGTATCAATCAAACAAGGTGGAATACTAAGCGCTTCTGAATGCCAAATTGATTGTAAGTCCTAATTAAGGAAAAATAAACTGGTTAATCGTTGCAAGTTCACCTTTCAATCCACTTACCCAAGCATCATAACCACAATAATGTTCAAGAACCATAATTAAATCACACTGATTAACAGTTAATAACAATTGATAACTTAATTTGAAGAGCACTTTCTTTTTCTTTCGGTTGAGTTTTCTTTTATTTTATCAAATCAACAAATCACAATATACTTAATGAGATTAATTCCTGTTGATCAATTGAATCAAACTTCTATACATTAATAGACAAATATTCAGATAAATCATTTCATATAACACCATTGGACTAACCAAAGAGTCACGATTACTTTTTCGATCTATTCGAAATCAAATAAAATCGTAATAAATTGTTTGGTTCATTTGGATAATGGTTGGTACTCTCTTCAAGGATTCACCACTAAGATTTACAGTTGATGTGATCAATCAACTATCGTATTTAATTGTGAGAACAGCGTAATTTATATGAGCTAATTTACAAGTGAACTACTCGTGATTTATATTAAAGTGTTTGAAGATAAGAAATCAACCTTGGACACCCAATTGGTCGTGAATGTCATGAAATTGAAAACGAATGAGCAATGGTAAAAGGATCGTAACTGAAACACATTACACAGAATTGAGTCTTACCCTCGATCAATGTGCCGATTTGACCTGCGAACTGGTGATGATCTGGTTCTTTCTACTTTTGCCCTAAAGAATTAACAGTAAGATCATTTAGCCTCTCGAAATACTCGGTAAAAGATTCATCAACAAAGACGAATTCGAAAATGCAAAAATCAAAAGACAAATGAACAAGTATCAATGGTCAAAGGTACATCATAATTTTCATCACTTTTCGACTTGTTTCTGGACTAACTGAACCTTTCGTTTACAACCATTAATATCTGGTTCAAGTTGATTCACCGAATTCGAGTAGATCATCAATTTAACTGAATATAACTACACTTATTTCCTCAGAAGTTTACATGTTCTAATCAAACGAAAATTCGAATTGCTATCGATAGATAATATTTTACAATAGATATGGAGAAAAATCAATTATAATCATGATTAAAATTCATAAGTAGTTTATTGACTTAGTGACAGGAAAATTATTTGGATTATTTGGTCAGTTAGGAGATCCAATTTAAAAGGATTTAAGTAGAAATTGTGAATGTTAAGATACGAAATTAAAGGAACAATAGATTAAGTATAAAATTAAGTCGATTAATGGAAAGTTGTAAGGCAAAGTACATTGAATGTTTGAACTCGTACCTTGTAGTTTCATCGGGAATCGTTATGTTGGACATTTCATGATGAAGTGAATCTAATTTCACGATAACAATACTCGCTAAAACTGTAAGGTCACAATTTGGTGTAAGATTTTCACAAGAAAGGATTAAGGCGACATCAGCTTTATATTGGTTAATCAGATTAAGAGCTTGATTTTTAATGGTTTCCGCTGTTTTGTAGGATAGATTAGCCAGCAAATTATTTGGTTTCAGGTAATGGTCATCATGGTAATCTGATTGTTCACAAAGGACACTCAGGATGTTTTCATATTGGTCCAAGATTAGTTGATCAAATTTTCTGATTTCATCTCCACCAAGTCGATCCAATCGATCGTAGGTGTAAGCAATTGACTCGTTAAGTAGGACCAGAGTTTCGATTGCAATTGAACAAAGATCGATTTTACTTGTATCACAATCGGGTTGACTCATTTCAGATCGAAAGATTCTGAGCAATTGGTCAATTTTACTGGTCAATAAATGTCGTGTCAATACTGGTCCATATTTGATTAGTTTGGAAATGAAATCAACCTCTCTCATTTGACTCGATTTCATGGTTACACTAGACTGTCACCAAAATAAACGAAGCAAGAAAAAAGAAACAATTAAAATTAATCATCAAGTAGAAAAACAATCAATTCAATTACTCACCATTACCATAACAATGTGAGCAAATTAGACAATTAAAAAAGATGATTAAAATAAACACCTGATGATGTTGAATGTTAGTAATCAGATGAGCAGAAAAGGAAACGGAATCAATAAAGAACTGAATTGAAAAGATTGACTGGATCACAATTGTTATTGTTCATCATTCAATCTTGTCACAATTAACTTGATTAAATAAGAGTTGATTAAATAAATGATTGTAATGACAATCGTTGTAACGGTAAATCAAACAACCTTGAATTACAATTTGTAATTTACTAACCAAATTTGTTTAAAGTTAACGGTAAAAGTTTGAGCTCCGCCTTTTGTTGGATTAGCGCGAAAAACAAATTAGTCAATTGATTACAATTAAATTGTCAATTCTAATTAATTAATATTGTCTATGTTTATTTTTTTTCATATATGGATTTTTAATTTCACAAAACTTATTATACATTTTGGTCACTGATTTGTTTCATTGATCCTTAAATTGTTTGGCACTTTGAATACATAGTAATTGCTTGTGATCATTTTTAACAATCAAATGATGATGATTATGAAGATGATGATTGCTGAAGGTCTTTGACACTTAATTGTTTATTATAAGATTAGTAGATGGTAAGTTTATCATAATCAGAGGTAATCATGTGAATGATAAAATTCAATCGTATAAGATTAATTTTGAGACAATTAATTGATGTTGTTGACAAAGGTTCCATTTGATTGTTAACATCGTCACAATTATCAGCAATTAGATTGATTGTTTCAATGTCACCACGAAGTGAATCTAATTGTTCAATTGCAATGGTTGCCAGTCTCGTGAAAACTGATGGTTGATTGGGTAGATTTAACTTGAAATTACAATTTGCATCACAAGCTTCAACCAATTTAATATCATCTTTGTAAGAATCAATTAATATAATTGCTTGTGATTTAATTGATTCAATTGGTTCAGTTTGAAGCTTTTGCAGCAAGGAATTAGGAGTCTCATAATCCAATTTAAATAAATCTAATCCACGAAAAGCAATTGCAAGTGAATGAACAATATTCTCATATTGTTTAATCATCATCTGAATGAAATGATTGGAACCAAAATTTTCCAACAATGGGTTGAAATCTTCATGGACAAGATTTTCCAATATCCTCAGGGTACGAATGGTAATGTTACAGAAATGGATAACGGGCTCGGTTAAAGTGTATCTTTGGATAATCCGGTTAATCAGGTCAATCCGTTGGTTCATTTTACGAGCGAGAAAATTTTTCGTAATCTCTGGTCCATAAGATAATTGAACGATAAAATCGATCTCTCGTAAACGTTCAGCCATTAAAGGTCAATAATAATTAACGATAATCAATAAAGATGATTGAACACAAATTGAGAGAGGAAAAACACTACAAGAAAAAGAGAAAATCAATCAATTGGAGACAATTAAGTTACAATCAACAGATAGAAAGAATCACTTACCTTTTTTGTTGTTGATTTAATTTGGGTGACAGTTAATTAGTGGAATCTAATTAACTTAAATTAATCAGCTTATTACAATTTGCTTTCCAAAGTCAACTTGTTTTACTTGATATTTGAAGCTAATTTTATTGTTGACAACAATTAACACCCTAATCATTGGAGAAAGGTAACAATTTAATGATAAACAAACTACTAACTGTAATTGTAAACATTGATTAGAAATGAAGTTGAATCAAGTTGATTTAATCAACAAACTCATATGATAATTGGTTACTATTGGAAACCATTTGATCCGATACTTTTTCTCAAAGAGTAAGAAGTAGTCGCGCGCAAAATGTACAGACACGTACAGAAAACGTGAGGCTGATTCCGTACCGGGCAAGGAGATGACACTTTTCAATTTCTCTTTCTTTTTGAGATGAGACTAGTCTTTCTTTTTACATTATATTTAATTGCTAAATCTTCTTGACTTAATTCACCTGTAATAAATAAAAGATGGGAGACTTTATTACTTTCTAATAAGAATGAATAAATCGATAATATCTGAAAGATCTGATAGAAAGAAATATAAATTCTTGCGAAAAGCAAACAAATAGCTTTTAATGAGATGGTGTGATCATATAAACTAAGATGATTCATCTCATTATTTGGAAACTCGAGTTTTCAAATAACAATAACAAAATGGTTTGTTCAGACGCTATTCACAATATAATTAACTAGTTGGGCACCTTTTACTTTTCCAAGTGTTAGGTTCTGATCAATTAAACCATTAGCTTGTCTTAAATTGAAATTAGTTGCCCATTTACGGATATAAATATAAATGATCTCGCGAATTACATTTAGTTAACAAAAAATTCATTGCGTGAGTTATATCGCCATGGCGTCAATACCTTACAACTTATTAGTTATTTCTGGTGTATCTGGACGTTATCCTGAGGCTCAATCTTTGGAAGAGTTTTGGTTCAACCTGTTGAACGGTGTTGATGGTGGTACTATCGATAATAGAAGATGGCCAACTAGTGAGTATATCAATTTGGCTTTCGAAACAGTTAATTCTATCAAGAAACTTGTATTCGTCTCTCTCTTTCTATCAGATTTGCTCAATATACCTAAAAGGTTAGCCAAAGTTCCGAATATTGGCCTTTTTGATGCAGAATTTTTCAAAATACCTACAGAGTCTGTATCAACCATTATTCCAACAATTCGTGTTTTGCATGAGGTTATATACGAAATGTTTATTGATGCTGGTAAGTTTACAATCGTAAAATATTTTGAGAAAAGTTATTGATTCGTTTGAATGGAAATGGAAGGTTTCACCCACGATAGTTGGCGTGGTACGAACACAGGTCTTTTTGCTGGTGTAAGCGCGAGTCATAGACCACAATTTGAAGGAGTTCCTCTTGGTATTAATCATCCTGAAAGTATAAATTGGTTACATTATGTGTTTGACCTGAAAGGTCCAGTCATCAGCGTGGACACTGCATGTGCTGCCGCTGCTTCAGCTTTTGATGTTGCAGCGAGAAGTTTATTGATTGGTGATTGTGATCAAGCTATTGTTCTTGCTCATAATCATTGTATTAATCCATCTATTTCTCATTGTTTCAGATCACTTGGAATGATCGGTATTGATGGTAAGTCCAAATGTTTAGATGCTAATGCTAATGGTTATCTCAGATCTGAGAGTATTGTTGCGATTTTAATTCAACGTAAATCTAATGCCAAGAGAGTTTACGGTTCTCTAATGAATATCACTGTGAATAATGATGGATTCACCAAAGAAGGAATTACTTTTCCACGACTTGAAGGTCAGATAGATGTTCTTAGACGATTATTTAAAGATGTGCATTTAGATCCCATGGATATCGATTATGTCGAAGCGCATGTAACGGGAACTGCAGCTGGAGATCCAATTGAGTGTAAGGCATTGATGGAAACAATGAGACCTGATTCAGATAAACCTCTTCTTGTTGGTTGCCTCAAATCAAATATTGGTCATTCTGAAGGTTCTTCTGTTTTAAATGCGATCTCAAAAGTTGTTAAGATTTTCCAAACTGGTGTAATTCCTGCTAATTTACATTTCAACAAACCAAATCCTAATATCGATGGACTGATTAAAGGCGTTATTAGACCAATTCTTGAAAATACAAAATTCGATGGAGATCATATTTTGGTAAATTCATTTGGGTTTGGTGGTGTCAATACTACTTTCATTTTGCAAGCCAATTCTAAAAGAATCGAAAACACTGATCTAATTTTAAGTTCCAATAAAATTCCACGTTTAGTCAATTTTTGCAACCGAACTTATGAAGGCTTGGAAACTATTGTTGATTTTATTGAGGAGCAAAAAGGATCATTAACAAAATACACGTTGGCACTTTTGGATAACATGAGTAAGATCAAACCATCAACAGGGTTTGATCATCGTGGATATTTATTGTTGGATCATGAACAAACAATCATTCATCAAACATTGAAACAAAATGTTTCAACTGATGAAGTTTTTCCTTGGTTGGTATTCACTCCAATGTTTAATGTCTCATCACAATCATTTGTTCAACTGTTGGAAGTTCCTCTAATTTATTCAAGAATAAGATCTATGCAAACTGATCGTTTGAGTTCATTAGGAATTGATGTTATCAAGATTATCGAATCGAATCAACAAGATTTAATTTCCTTCTTAATTTCATCTATTGCGATTCAAATAGCTCTTTGTGACCTACTAACTAAACATTTGGAAATTAAACCCAAAGGCATAATTGGTCATTCGATTGGTTCAATTGCTGCTTCTTATGCTGATGGATGTATAACTGATGAAGATGCTCTGTTAATCGGTTATCATATTGGTGTCGCTTGTAAACAATTCAAAGGAAAAGGAGCAATGGCTTATGTTAATTTATCATGGAGACAAATTGAAGAGATGAAATTAGGTAATATCGAACTAGCTTCACACAAGTCGGAAGATTGGACGTTGATCACTGGTACTGAAGATAAAATTAAAAAGTTCATCTCATCAATTGGACATAATGTCGAGACAAATATTATTGATACTAAAGGGATTCCTTTTAATTCATCTCTGCTCAGAGAAATATCAAAATCACTTGAACTTGAGATCAACAAATTTCTCAGACCATTGAAAACAAATTCCGGACTAAAGACTAATGTTTGTGAAAACTTTATTAACTCTGACCAAGAGCATATCATTGGTGGACATTTTTTCGTTTCCTGTATAACAGAATCATGCAACTTTAATGAAATAATAGAAAAGATTGATTCTAACTCTGTGTTACTCGAGATTGGTTTGAATAATGAGATGAGGCAATCATCAATCTTCTTTATAAGTGATCAAGAGATTTTGAAAAATATTAGCAACTATAACCAATCGATTTTGCATCTTTATAAAATGATTGGTCAAATTTATCTTCATGGTCTTAGTCCAATGGTTACAAATCTTTATGATCAAATTGAATATCCAGTCCCAAGAGAAACTCAACCTGTTGGTCATCTGATTAAATGGAAGCATGAAAAGAAATGGTTTGATGCTAAATATGACAAGTATTCTAATCAAAGAACTGTATTTTCCAAAATAGTTGATCTTCACGACCCTTTATGGTCATTTCTTACTGGTCATCAGATAGATGGAAGAATTTTGTTTCCAGCAACAGGTTATCTATATGTTGCTTGGCAAATGGTCTGTAGGATGTTTGATCTCGAACCTGAAGAAAATCCAATTGAATTCTATCAAGTTCAAATTCTACGAGCAACACAATTCACATTAACTGCAAGTCAAATGAAATTTGTTACTAAAATTAACGAGGATCTTGAAACTTTCCTCATCTACGTTAATGAGAGTAAAAATGTTTGTATTACTGGAAAATATCGTCTTGTTGATAAACCGCCAGTAAACTTGCTACCTGCTGATTTTAAGAATATCAAAGAAATTTCAGATATCATACTTCAAAAGAAGGATATTTACAAGGAACTTAGAATTCGTGGTTATGATTATTCGGGATCATTCCAAGGTGTAGAAGAAGCTTCTTCTAATGGAAGTTGGGGTATGGTCAAAGACACTGGACATTGGATTAGCTTTTCTGATGCTTGTTTACATGTTTCTTTATTGGCTTCGAAATCCCGTAAGCTGATTGTTCCTGTTTACATTGATTATGTTTACATGTTTCCACCAGAAACATTCAGTGCCTTGAGCGATGAAACTGTCAGATCAGTTTCTGATTCTACTAAAAAACTTAGTGTTTATTTCAATCAAGAAACGCAAATAGGACTAACAAACGGGTTCATTCTCAAAGGATTAGAAGGCGAAGAGATCAGAAGAAAGATTAACAAAGTGAACCACCAAATACGAAACCATAATCTAATCCCATTTAATTCTTATCACAAGCTTAGCAATGAAAAAGCAACGAGACAACAAGAGTACAGTTTTCAATGCATGAAATTGATTGAGAATATCGAGAGATTGAAATCAAAACAACTTGATCCAATAGATTATAATGATATTAAGCCAGAGATAAATGAAAGTGATAGTTCTGATGAAGCTTTCAGACAAATTTTGCACGAGATTTTTGAGTTGGAGATAAAACAATGCAAAAGTCCAATGGATGGTGTAGATTCCATTCCAAGTTTGAATAATGTTCTCAACCAATATAATAATGCTCTGTGTCGAGATTTTTTCTTTTATGAGCCAGAAAAATGTTTACTTGAACAAATTCTGAGCATTGCTAGATACAACTTACTCAAGAAAAAAATCTCCCTTGCATTTTGTAATTTCAGTCAAAATCTATTAATATTTGCAAACGAGATTGAAAATATTTTCAATGATTATGAATTCGCTACGATGAATAATTTTATAAAGAGTGATTCTAATTTGGTTTATATTCAGAATCAAAACACCGAAAATAGTTCAGAATCAAAACTATACGATTTTGTTATTATTCGTGACAAGTCTACTCTTCTCATGTACAAAGATACTGAGCCTGAAGTCAAATGCAATCAATTCGACCTATTGTTGAAGAATCTATTTGATTCACTGAAAGAAGGTGGATTTTGTCAAATTATGACGAGAACCAAATTAAGACCAGTCGAACAAGAATGGCAACAGTTGATTGGAAATAATCAACAGATAAACTTTAATTTATCAACACTAAAAAGTAACGCAACCGATGTTGGATTCACTTGGATATGTCACAAGGAGATGGTCGATGAAGGATATTGTTCAGTTCTACTGAGACGTCCATTCGCACCTAATCCAGATCAACAGGTAACATTTATCAGAGTGAAACTTGATAGTAATTATGATTGGATTGATAAGATAAAAGAATTGTCTAAAGATAAGAATCATAAAATCTGGTTAACTGGAGGTGGTTATGATAATGGGATAGTTGGATTCATCATGTGTCTGGTTAAAGATCCACATGGTTATAATATAAGGTGTTATTATGATCCGAAAAAAGGAGATGACGAAGAGATAATTGTTCCTGATGAAGTGATGCAAAAGGATTTGATAGTAAATGAGGTTGATGATAACGGAGAAATTGGATTGTATAAAAGTGAACTTGCCAATCTTGATGATTTACAAATCGAAACAATGTCATGTTATGCTGATATTAAAACCAAAGGTGATCTTTCAAGTTTGCGTTGGTTCCAATCACATCATAGTAATTGGACTCATATTCCTAAGGATAAGCTCATCGAAGATCATGAAAAGATAAAAATCTATTATGGATCTTTGAATTTCAGAGATGTTCTAATTGTCACAGGAAGAATTACTTTACAATTTTACAACCACGAGCTACAAACTGGTCCACTAATTGGAACTGAGTTTTCTGGAATAGATTCATTAGGTAATCGAATCATGGGAATGTGTGCAGCTGGAGTAATCGGAACATCTCTTTGCGCTACCACTCATTTAACAAAGATTCCAGTTCCAGAAAATTGGACATTAGCCGAAGCTGCAACAGTTCCTGTTGTCTATCTAACAGCTTATTATGGTTTAATTTCTCGAGGAAATTTACAATCTGGAGAAAGTGTATTAATTCATGCAGGTTCAGGGGGAGTTGGTCAAGCAGCTATTTCGATTTGTCTATCTAGAGGTTGTCAAGTATTTACTACAGTTGGAACACAAGAGAAAAGGGATTTCATTAAGAAACGTTTCCCTTCAATCGATGATGATCATATTGGTGATTCTCGATCGACATCATTTGAAGATATGATTATAGAGATGACCGATGGTCGAGGTGTTGATTTGATTTTAAACTCACTTTCTGATGATAAGTTAAAAGCTTCCCTTAGATGCTTATCAGATTTCGGTCGCTTCATCGAAATTGGCAAATATGATATGATCCAAAATACTAAAATTGGTAAGTCAATCATTCAATTTTGACAATGTAAAAATTATTAATACAATACCCAAATAGATTCGCAATTTATAGATTTCAACAAAAGTTTTCATGCTTGTTGCTTGGCTTTTCTGCAAGATGATGTGTTCATCAAGATGATTCCTGATCGGATAAAGGTTTGGAATAACCTCATTGAGATGTTGAAAGAAGGAATCAAATCAGGTGAAGTTGTGCCTCTACCGACAACAATATTCCAAATGAAACAACTTGAAGAGTCGTTTAGGTTTATGGCAACAGGGAAACATATTGGTAAAGTTTTGATTCAAATGAGAGATGAAAATGAAGATCCGAATAAAGTTAAACTTTATCGTTCAATTGGTCAAACATTTTTCGACCTTGAAAAAAGTTACATAATAACTGGTGGACTTGGAGGATTAGGACTCGAAATAGCCTATTGGGTGGTATCAAGAGGAGTGACTAATCTAATTCTTACCTCGCGTTCTGGAATCAAGACAAAATACCAAGAGTATATTTTAGAAAGAATGAGAAACAATGGTTACTCTCGAGTGAATATTACCATCTCTAATGAGGATTGTTCAACTTCAGAATCAGCTGAGAGGTTAATTAATCAAGCACAAGAATTGGGTCAAATTGGTGGAGTATTTCATTTATCTATGGTTTTAAAAGACGGACTTTTCGAGAATCAAACAGCTGAAACATTTGATGAAGCTGTCAAACCAAAAGCGATCGCTTGTCGTTATTTGGATCAACTAACTAGATCTCTACCCTACAAGATTGATTATTTCGTATGCTTTTCTTCAATAGCAGTTGAGGTTGGAAGTATTGCCCAGACAAATTATTGTTTCGGTAATACAGCGATGGAAAATATTTGTAGGAAAAGAAGATTAGATGGGCTACATGGTGCGGCTATTCGATGGGGAGTAATTGGTGATGTTGGGATATTTACAGAGATGAATTTGCCATCTAACGAGACGTTGAGATCCTATGATCCAATTCGTTTAAATTTAGTACGCGATTCACTTGACAAAACTTTAATGTCATCCGATGATAGTTCAATTTTCACCATAGTTTCATTTTCTGATAAAAAAAGTGCATCATCAATAGGGAATAATTACTCATTGAAACAGAAAATCTTTCATATCCTTAGTGTTAAAGATGCAACTAAAGTTGATCCACAATCAACTTTATCTGAACTTGGTCTTGATTCATTGATGGCAGTTGAAATCAAACAAGCTCTTGATACTGATTACGATTATCCAATGACAACCAATGAAATTCGAGAATTGAAAGTTGGTGAATTAGATGAACTTGAAAAGAAATTGAAAAAATCAGAGAAGAAAAAAACCAGCTCTCCTCATTCATCACCAATATACAGAAACATATTTCATATTCATACGCAATTATTTATCCCATTGAACCAAAGTGAATTTGGATTACCATACTTTTACTTTCCTGGTCAATCAGGTCAATTTGCTGTCGTTATTCCAGTATTTGAATCATTCTCAAAACCAGTGATCGGCATCAGTTGGACCAAAGACTGTCAGAATCTCGAATCAATGGATCAAGTTATTAACTTTTATGTGGACTCACTTATAACCAAATATCCAAATGAGAAGACATTTAATCTTATTGGTTTCTGCTTTGGTGGAGTGATAGCCTTCAAAGTGGCCATTAGCTTACAAAAGAAATTGGGTCAAGATTCTGTTAAAACTCTAATCATTATGGATTCATCGCCCGAGATAGTAAATAGCAACACGCGAAATGTCTATGAAGAATATGCAGGGAAAGATGAAAGCACAATAATTGTGTGCTTTATGTTTGATTATTTCTCACAGTATATGAAAAGTTATGAAAAGAACGAAGTGAGAACAAAACTGTTAGAGTTCGAAACGAAACAAGAAAAATTAGAATATGCAACTTCGATTATAAACAGGATCGGATCATGTGAATATGATGTTAACCAGATAAGTGATGCTATTGATCTTTTTGTAGATAAGCCGAGAAAAGCTGCCGCTGTAAAAGTAGACGAAAATTTCAATGGTGAAATTGTTTTAATTCGAGGAACAGATTTGCATGAGTTTAATGCAGATTTCAACCATTTGGAAGATTATGGATTATCTAAAGTAAGTTTATCACAATTGAATAATGAATAATCATAATAATGAAACTCGATTCGAAAACTTTTCTAAACAGTATACAAATGGAGCTGTCACGGTTTTCAAATTGCCTGGACAACACGATAACATGATTATAGAGAATTCGAAAGAAATCACTGAGATTCTTGAAGCGTTGGCAATGAGAGCATCGACTGGATAAACGAACTGTACTGAATAAAACTGAAAAATAAATTTCAGAATTTCTCGTCATGAAAAAAGTTTTGATTCTCAATTGGGAGAGTAAAATTGTTAATTAAAAAACCCATTAAGAACAAGAAAGATACGTTTATGGAGAATAGTTTAATTCTCACTAGGCTCTATTCATGTAACTCTTCGTGATTTATTCAGTTGCATTTCTAAATTAAACTTTCCAAGTTACAACTGAATTTGACTGAATAAGAACTAAAAATCAACACTAAAGGAGGGTCTCCCATTTTCTTCACTTTTTTATCCTTTTTAGTTAAGGACCCAACTTTTTTTGGTAATAGAATTCGATAGTGGTGTAACCCCATTGTTCTGCCTTCTCATTGGACAGGTTAATGCTTGGTGGTTGCGGTTTGACTCCCGGCAAGGGCAGTATACTGGTACTTTGATCCTGTACTAGGAGGTTGACTTAATATGACTTTCACGAGGGTGTCACTAGAGGACACTCAGTCATATGACAGTCGTAAAGACTTCAAGTCTCTACAGGAAGGTAAGAAAGTTTGTTCCTATTAAGACCCGCCCCTCAGATGCGTAATAAGTGAATTTGATTGTTGACATTTTCGCTCATAAATAATTAGTTTGATTTCTATTTTTAAAATTAAGCGCTTGTACCAAACGCATTTCAAGCCTCGCCCCGAGGAACAAACTTTCTTATCACCCTGTAACTTGAATAATCAAATCTATATAAACAAAAATATATGTCTTGTGAGTGAAATTATTAGGCTAATTTTCATGACTAATTTTATTGATGCATAAGATTAATACCTTATACAATGTAATTAGATTTATCAAGTCTTCGAATCCCGAGAGTTTCCAGGGCAGACTACCAAGCGTAGATCTTGGGAGCCGTCCTGGATCATACCCAAGACCCAATGACCCTTGATGGTCCGACCACGGTGGTACTTACGCCGACCAAACTTGGCCTCGTCCACCTGAACAACGCAGCCAGGCCCACCGATTTTCCCCCGATTATCTTGGTCCTTTAAAAAGGCCACTGTGATGGACTCCCAAACGGCACGATACCATCCGGCGGCGGCTCGGGAGCTAACACCAGTCTCCCCATGAGTCACCTCATATGAAGCATCGCAGCTCCATTCGAACATGAGTAGAAGTGCCTTGTAAAGTGGGATCTTCATAGAAGAGAAGATCGTCCCCGAAGTAACACTTCGCTCAGAGGGATCAGAGCTGCGATGCTCCTTGTGTTGAGGGCAACGGAAGGTCCCAAAGGCACCGCGTTGAGGTTGCCAAGTCATACAGCGATAGTGTTGGTGGCATTGAACCTCATTAAGGAGTAGCCCAACCGATTGCGCCCAAGCAACCGCGCCTCCTTAGTTCTGTTCCACGCAGACATAATAGGAAGAGAGAGAAAAAAGAGAAAACAAAAAGAGAGGTGAATGATTGGTGTGAGTGAAGTGAGTGAATGAGTGAAGTGAAGTGAAGTGAAGTGAAGAGAAAAGAGAAATGAATACAAATGAGTAAGAATAGGTTTGCAACCATTTAAGTACTAGAAAAACGCACACTCGAGGTGCTCCCTAAGAAGTGTGAAAGCGCTGCCATCTATTGATATTAAGTTGAACTAAAGTATTTCTAGCATCATCTATCGGTTAAAAGTCACCAAAAATAAAACTGCACTGATCTTGACTAAAATGACTGACAATTATTTCGAAGTTGAAAATATTCTGGTCAAATTGCAAGTTGATCTGAGCAGTCTGTCATTACATATATACAAATAACAGTTTTGACTTTTTTTGACCTAGTCTAAGTACTGTTGCTAATATCGAATTCGGCTAAAAGTAGGTATATAAGATGTTCATAGCCAACTGTATATGCGAAAATTTTTTTTATCATCTAAGCCCATCCCACTTTCATTTAATTCTAATTTTCGCGAAGTTGCCACTTCCCATAGACTCCTTAAGGATTTTGAGTTTTTAAATGGCTATAACTCCGCCCACAGTAGTTTCCGTAAATAATTTTTTCCACATGCACAGACCATTATGCAAGCTATACACAGAAAAAATTACAAGACGATTTGAAAGGGGGGTATAGTAAAGTCTTACCAATTCGAAGAAAAGAAAAAGTAATAAGAAACTTTGTCTGTTGTAAATAAGAAGACGGAAACAGAAATAACTCCATAGTTGTTGTTAACTTTGACCGATCGGTCGAGCAATGTATCGAATGTTTCGATGGTACTGATCCGAATAAGAAAATTTCGTTAATTTAGTTAAAATTAGTTAATTGTTCCTCAAGACAAACAAAGATCACGGTGATAATGAGAAGAAAAGTCAAAGTGACACGAATTTTAAACAGAGAATGCAGAAATAGAGAAAATTTTAATATCAAAACTAGGATTGAATAATCAGTCATGGGCTTGTGTTCGGTATTGAGGAGTTTGGTCCTGAGTTCAGCCTTGAACTGATTTGTGTTGGTTTTCTCATCAGAGAAAAAAGTAAATTTTTGATTGGTTTTAGATTTAAGTTGTCAAGAAATTAAAGTATTGTGTTTATTTGATTTCAATTGTTTCTCGATTTTCATCATAAACATCGTCTTTACAATATTACTGCTCAACCAATGACAAAAAATTTGGTACTAAGGCCCATATTCACCTGCCGTAATTAAAAGCTGTGATCAACTAATCCTTAGATCAGACCGATTCCGAGCTTAGATTCAAAAGTTTTTTCACCAAGCCCGATTATTTCATTCCCGATTCTTTGAATTTGGGTTCAAATCAAGCTGAATTCAAATCAATTAAATATTAATAACTAGAAAATTGTCCCTAAATAGGCGTGTTTTTTTCTTTTTGCCCTATTTTTTCATTTTTACCCCTAATTTTGTAATTAATTTTTTAACCAACTGATTATCAAACAAAACAACGGTCAAAACAGTAAAGTAAGTAGAAAGCGCGTAAAGGACATCAGGCTTTTTTGCCTTAGAATTAAAGTATGGAAGTTTTTTCAGTTTTAATGATTTTTGAGTTTATGAGTTAAAACAAGTTAACACGTATTTTTCATTTTTAGATCTGACTCGCAGATTCCGTAAAATTCGCCAAAACGGAAAAATGGTCTGAATTGTTTTGTGATCGAATAAATATACTTATATAGCTGATCTTGGTATCAAACGAAAGCTCTTGACCTGTTCGTCAAGAAATATATATATTTGCAATTTTTTTGAATATGAGGCTCGTTAGACACAGAAAACAATGTTTTTTCATTCCGACTCGAATAGCATCTTTGGACTATCCTGAGTACCTTTTCTGCACATATTCTGATAGATCTTGATCTGTTCTATAAGAAAATGAAATAAAAAAAGGTGTTGACTGGCGTTTTTTGGAAAAAATCGACAAAACTAAGATTAGCGTTGTAAAGTGGTAAAGTGGCCTCGGCATACCCTGAGGACCACATTTTTAGTACATTTCCATACAGAAACAATGTTAGCCAAAAATAGAATAATTTTGTGACTTGGATTGCGCCTTTTTGAGATAAATAGGTGATAGCTTGTTAGAATCAGGGTCCATTATCTAAGTATCTTTTTGGTTTAATTTGATTTTCCTTAATCAACTGAATTTAAACAAAAAGTAGAAATTTATTTCTTCTCATTAACACAATGAGGATACACAATTTAAATATAATTGACACTTTTATTAAAAAGTAAAAACTTCAATAAGTTACTAGTACAAAGAGTGTGACCAAAGTTTAATGATTATTGTCAAGGTTTCAGTTTAAATACAGGTAGAGAAAAGGTCTAAGGTTTGGTCAGTTTGACCGGATTGGTCGATTTGAATTAATTGTCCGTTGGTATAGTTAATGGATGATTAACTTACTAAGGTAAGTAGATAGTAAGAGAGAGTGAAGAGTGAGAGAGAGAAAGTAAGAAGATAATGATTAAGACAGAGAGATTGGGGCAATAAAAAGAAAAGACGAAAAGTCATTGGTCAGTTGAAGCGACTGAAAGGAGCTTACTGACCGTTATGTGTTGACCAAATTTTAAGAGTACAATTGGGTTAATAAGACCAATAAATGGGAAAGAAAAGATAATCTCAAAGTTCAAAGGTAAACAAAAAATATGAGAAAATGATGTTGGCCAATTTACCAAAATTGACCAGTTGTTTGTGCTCATATCTCAGTACACATACAACTTACAACAATTCTTATTATATACTAAGACTCGCTTAATTAAGCTCTTTCTAACGATATATTATTTGTTGGTCAAAACTAATTAATTAGTTAAAATGTGTGTTGATACCAATTGTTCACTTAATTGGTCAAAATAGACAAAAACCGAAGGTTTTTGGTTACAGTCAGACCTGTCATATTTGAACAAAACGGGTGGGTAAACCAATAGATGTCACTAGTCTTAGAATGAAAGAAAAAATTTCCGCAGAATTTGAAATAAATGAAGTTTAATAATTATGATCGACCAGAGATTGACAATTGCTTGAATTATAACTTGAATTGCTTAGACCAACATGTTTCCAACAATTACCTATTATTTCAGGTTTTACATCCTGCCAAGCAAGATGAACAATTTTTATAACTTTTAGGATATCAAATTTTTTTACAAATTCTGTAACATCGATTTGTTTCAATCGATGAGATTCATATAGTATTTGTGAGTAACGAGATAAATAGTGGTCTTTAAATGATTTAATTATTCCGGCGTCTAAAGGTTGAGTCTTCGAAGTTGAATTTGGTTCGAGGAAAAGAAATCTAATATTTTTTGGCTCGTACGAAATATAGTGACCACGAAAGTTATCTAATAATAATAATATTTTCCTGTTATTTAGTTGTAATTTCTCATCCCATTTTTTGATAAGATCACAAAAGTCATCCAAGCCGTTGAGTTATAATAATAATTAACTGGTAATTTACTATAATCAAAATTAATGTTCTGAAAGGCTCGAGGTTTTGCACATTTGTAGATGACAGTTAACTTTTCTTTGTCTCCGACCATATTACAAGCACATACTATTGAAACTCTGGTCTTATCCTGTTTAACACCTCGAAGTTGACCAATTTCCGGATCATCTGTTTCCAAAATGAAGGTTTGCTCAGGTAATTTTTTAATGAATAGACCAGTTTCATCGATATTGTAGATATCAACAGGTGAGTATTCATTAATAATAGGTAATGTTGATAATTTCCATTCGTGAACTTTAACCTCATCAACAGAAGCAGCATCGCCATGTAATTTTATATTTTTGATACATAATCTCTTCTTTAGTGTTTCCAAATAACCATTAGAAGCGAGAAAATCAGTCGATCCATTTTCATGATATTTCTCCTTAGCAACTGTTTTTAACATAAATGTGTTAACAGGTAGATTATGTAGATTTGAATCTTTGATAAATTGTTTGATTTGAACATCACAGTTTTTGGTTAATTTTGCTGGTGATTTCTTAATCTTTTGATTGTATCCAAAATTCAGCAATGAAAAAAATTTTCTTTCTGTTTGTATATGTAATGAACGGCACTCCTGTTGATACCAAATTGTTCACCAACTTCACGATATGTGTAGCCTTCATCTATGGCCTTTATTATTTTTATTTTATTCTCCAGTGTAATCCGCACCTGAAAGGTAAAAAAAAAAATCAAATTAATTACGATTATAACAATTAATCAACATAAAGAAAAATTTACCTTTTTTTCATCCTTCTGATCCATGGGCGCAGCCATATTTGTTCACATCTCTTTTACTCTAACATCCAGTAGATGGCAGGATTTTGTTCAAATATGAAAGTGTTCAAATATGACAGGTCTGACTGTAATTGTTGTTGAACCAATTTACCGATCGACTTGATCAGTATATTAATCGATCACATTTATCAAGAGCTTCAATTATATGTGTGTACTGTTGTCGGCAAATTGTTTGTTGTGAAAAAGTTAGCCACTTGAGACAATACCCAATGTTAAGTCTATGGGGAATCGGAAAAATGTTACAACTGATGTCGCATGGGAACTAGTTGGAGTAATTGTAGTAACATGAAGTAGTAAATGATTAAAATGAATGAATATAATCAGTGAGTATAACCAACATATCTAATTTTACTCTATTGTATATTATTTAATTGACATTGTAAAGTCAGTTGATTATGAGGAGACCAATAGTCAACTCTTAGGCCCGTATTCACCAACTGCAATTAAATTTGAGTCTAGGTTTAAATCAGCTGATCACAGCTTTGTATTTCACCAAGGACCGTGGTAAAAGGCAAAAAAACCAAAAAAGGCAAAAAGATCAAAAAAGGCAAAAAAAGGCCAAAATCAATCACGTCGACCGTGGAGTGAAGTAACGTGTCTAACTGCGTTATATTTAGAATTTTTAGAAATATAATTACAATAAGGACATCGAAAACAGACACTATTGAAATAAATAACCATTATATCATTGAGCTCAGCACAGAAAACTGAAGTTGGATCATCTGGAGGCTCTGAATATGTTGATGCGATGATTGGGCCTTGGAGAGGGCAAGGATCATTTGGATCATATGAGACGGAGAATCTTTATCTTTGGTTGGACATTTTTGGTAATAATAAATATGACTCATTGATTAGGATTCTAATTGTTGTTAATTAATTGTTGCGAGTTTAATTGTTGCAAGTTAAAATGCTGTAAATTTGAATTTGAATTTATTTATTAGTTTGGATATCATTTAAACCACACCAAGGATTATGAAGAGTACCCAGTTTCACCCAGATCACTCTACTCAAGGCTGGCGCCTATGCCTGAATTGTACGAAGCAATCACGGGCAAATTTCTTTAGCCCCTCTTTCTTTTTCTCTTTCTTTTGGCCCTATGACCCCTGCCCATATGCCCATACCTTCGGTACCCACCCCCACATAAGGTTAGTATAGCCCTATGACCCATGGCCCTATTACTTTTAACGTAGCCCCGAAATTCCCTTTCTTTTCTCTTTCTTTCTCTTTCTTCTCTTTCTTCTCTTACTCCTCTTACTATTCTTCTCTTTCTTTTTTATTCCTCTTTCTTTTCTTCTCTTTCTTTTTTTTGATGACCCTTAACCCCGTACCCTACCATAGTACCATGTATGGGGAAATGGTCCACCCTCCCTGCAGACAGTCAACATCAAACTATCGTAAATCCTTGGCCTCTAGGATTCTTTTGTAGCAATTTTCAAACCTTCAAGAACCATAGTTACTGTAGAAGTTCCTTTTCTCATAGCCTCGGTCACTAGTTGATTCAATGGCATGAGCTCGCCTCGACAGCATCTAAAAACATTTATTTTGATATTTAATTAGTTGTTAATAGAGAGATTTTGTCTAATTACCTGAGTCCATCTTTGAATCACTTTTCACAGTAAATAAAATCAAGTTAAATGATGAGCTCCTCCTTCTTTTGCCTTTTAGCTCTTTTAGCCTTTTTTGCCTCTTACTACGGTCCTTTCACCAACTATGATCAACTCTTGATCTCGGATCAGATTTAAGTTTAGGTCAATTTAATTTGAGGATTAAAAAATCTTGTTTCACCAACCGAAATCAATTGATCCTAGCTCAAATTGTTGTTTCACCAACCAAAATCATCTTCAATTGATCTCGAAAGTCTTGATCAAAATTTAATCTTGGCAATTACCACGATTGACTTTTGATTCGGACTTTTTTTCTCGTTTTTTTCCATTCTTACTCATTTTTTTGAATTTTTTCACATAAATTGATTAATATCGTTATGTCCTATTATTTTTCTACAATTTTCGCTAGCGTAAATAAAAATCTCTCTTAAAAAAATATTAAACAAAGATATTAAGAAAACTTGATCAGTGTAATCATATAACTTGTTAATTGTTTTGAAATCAATCTTAATTTCAAGTATTTTGCATAAATAATTAATTAATCCATCCCCTTGAAATTAACCACTTTTGTCTAAAGAGAAATATGCTTTTATTGTTGTGACCGTTGTTTTGTTTGATGATCGGTTGGTTAAAAAATTAATTAAAAGTTGAGAGTAAAAATGAAAAAATATGGGGAAAGACTTTCTTAGGGACAATTTCCTAACTAAATTAATATTTAATTGATTTGAATTCAACTTGATTTGAACCTCAAAATATCGTTTATCAGATCGTCGATTGTAGTTCAAACTAAAAATTACTTAGATTAGACTAACCATGAAGATATTTAAATAATTAAGTCTACTTTTTTTCAGTGATTCTCTAGACTCTTGGGATGGGAAACTTTATTATTAATACTTTCTAATAAGAATGATTATATCGATAATATCTGATGAAAATAAATACAAATTCTTCTTAATTCAATAGAAGAAAACATATTAGCTTGCATGAGATGGTTTGGGTTTCCAAAAGACAACAACAAAATGGTTTGTTCAGACACCATTTACAATATACATGGCAGTCTCATTTTCTGGTATATTAATGTACTTAGTATTTAATTAGCTGGGTACCTTTCACTTTGCCAATTCAAATGCATATGTATTAGATTCTGATAAATTAAATCAATTGTTTTGAATATACATAAGTTGCACTTTTTGCCGTTATAAATGTTAATCATCTTGTCAAGTTTAGTTTTCAAAAAATTTATTGTGTGAGTTATATTGCCATGGCTTCAATACCTTACAACTTATTAGTTATTTCTGGTATATCTGGACGTTATCCTGAGGCTCAATCTTTGGAAGAGTTTTGGTTCAACCTGTTGAACGGTGTTGATGGTGGTTCTATCGATGATAGAAGATGGCCAACTAGTGAGTATATCAATTTGGTTTTCGAAACATTTGATTATATTACCAAGAAACTTGTATTCGTCTCTCTCTTTCTATCAGATTTGCTCAATATACCTAAAAGGTTAGCCAAAGTTCCGAATATTGGCCTTTTTGATGTAGAATTTTTCAAAATACCTACAGAGTCTGTATCAACCATTTTGCCATCAATTCGTGTTTTGCATGAGGTTATATACGAAATGTTTATTGATGCTGGTAAGTTTACAATCGTAAAATATTTTGAGAAAAGTTATTGATTCGTTTTTGAATCAAATGGAAGGTTTCATCCACGATAGTTGGCGTGGTACGAACACAGGTCTTTTTGCTGGTGTAAGTGCGAGTCATAGACCACAATTAGATGGAGATCCTCTTGGTCTTAATCATCCTGAAAGTATAAATTGGTTACATTATGTGCTTGATCTGAAAGGTCCAGTCATCAGCGTGGACACTGCATGTGCCGCCGCTGCTTCAGCTTTCGATATTGCAGCGAGAAGCATATTGTTTGGCGATTGTGATCAAGCGATTGTTCTTGCTCATAATCATTGTGTTATTCCATACATTTCGCTATGTTTCAGATCATTTGGAATGACAAGTATTGATGGTAAGTCCAAATGTTTAGATGCTGATGCTAATGGTTATCTCAGATCTGAGAGTATTGTTGCGATTTTAATTCAACGTAAATCTGATGCCAAGAGAGTTTACGGCTCTCTGATAAATATCGTTGTGAATAATGATGGATTCACCAAAGAAGGAATTACTTTTCCACGACTCGAAGGTCAGATAGATGTTCTTAGACGATTATTTAAAGATGTGCATTTAGATCCAGAAGATATCGATTATGTTGAAGCGCATGTAACGGGAACTGCAGCTGGAGATCCAATTGAATGTAAGGCATTGATGGAAACTATGAGACCCAATTCAGATAAACCTCTTCTTGTTGGTTGTCTTAAATCCAATATTGGTCATTCTGAAGGTTCTTCCGTATTAAATGCGATCTCAAAAGTTGTTAAGATTTTCCAAACTGGAGTAATTCCTGCTAATTTACATTTTATCGAACCAAATCCAAATATCGATGGACTGATTAAAGGTGTTATTAGACCAATTCTTGAAAATACAAGATTCGATGGAGATCATATTATGGTAAATGCATTTGGGTTTGGTGGTGTCAATACTACCTTCATTTTGCAAGCCAATTCGAAAAGAATCGAAAAGGCTGACCTGATTTTGAGTTCCAATAAAATACCACGTTTAGTCAATTTTTGCAATCGAACTTATGAAGGTTTGGAAACTATTGTTGATTTTATCGAGGAGGAAAAAGGATCGTTAACAAAATACACGTTGGCACTTTTGGATAACATGAGTAAGATCAAACCATCAACAGGGTTTGATCATCGTGGATATTTACTGTTGGATGATGAACAAACAGTCATTCATCAAACATTTAAACAAAATGTATCAACTGATGAAGTGTTTCCTTGGTTGATATTCACTCCAATGTTTAATGTCACATCACAATCATTTGTTCAACTGTTGGAAGTTCCTCTAATTTATTCAAGAATAAGATCTATGCAAACTGATCGCTTGAGTTCATTAGGAATTGATGTTATCAAGATTATTGAATCTAATCAACAGGATTTAATTTCCTTATTAATTTCGTCAATTGTGATCCAAATTGCTCTTTGTGACCTACTAACTAAACATTTGGAAATTAAACCCAAAGGTATCATTGGTCATTCGATTGGTTCAATTGCTGCTTCTTATGCTGATGGATGTATAACTGATGAAGATGCTCTGTTAATCGGTTATCATATTGGTTTCGCTTGTGAACAATTGAAAAGAAAAGGAGCAATGGCTTATGTTAATTTACCATGGAGACAAATCGAAGAGATGAATTTTGGTTGTATCGAAGTAGCTTCACACGAGTCGGAAGATTGGACGTTGATCACTGGTACTGAAGATGCAATTGAAAAGTCCATCTCAAAAATCGAGTCTAATCACAGGACAAATATCAAAACAAATCTTATTGATACTAA